AAAGCAGGTGAAGTGAGTGTGGTGCTGGAAATCACTGTGAGTCACTTTAACTTTGAGATCTTGGGGCTCCACATTTTGTAGCCTGCTCAGTTAAAGCAAACATATGACTTTTCTAAAGGGTCCAATAAAAAAAAGGGAAAAAAGAAACATTGGTGGGTTCGGGGGATTAATCTCCAAAGCACACTAACACATTGCTGCACTATTCATGGTCTGTGGTTTCAACTGGAGTTCCCTTGAAAAGACTGTGGGCCTGCTGCACCTCAATCCAGGCTGTTTATGATTCAGAAAGGAATGAATGTGAATGGATTTTATTGAGCAATTTATAGACTATATCTCCTTTGAAAAACAACGTCCCACAGAAGCAATGTTATTATTTTATTATTGTATATTTATTATTTGTTAGAGGATAGAAAACAAAGTGAGCGTCTGTAATATAACAATAAAACATTATGGCCTTTTCTCTGTGTATATATAGGAACAATATTTCCATTGAAACAAGCAGGAGGAGGCGGTTTGTGAGAATGTTCATTTTGTCTAATTTTTTTTTACTACTTATTTTTAACTATTATATTCTTATTGAAAGACAAATACTATATCTCAGTATAACTCAGTATAAGTATTTGTCTTTCCATATTACAAACCTAAGTATAAGACGCACAGTAAGGCTTGTCAAAACCAGAAATCAAAAAGTAAAAAAAAAAAGAAAATGCTATATATTTAAAAATATTGATAAGATAAGTAAAACCCGTTCCATAAAAGTATTTGTGTATAACATGACTAAATATTGCATATTTAAATCATTACTGATCAAGCATCAAGCAAATATATAATACACTTTACATATAACCAATATAGATTCCAGCAATATTTTGTCAACCAATTGCATTCACTGAGAAAGTCATGATTCTAGCAGAGGTAAGAGTGCCAGAAGACATGGCGCCCTCTGCTGGCCACATTGCAACACTATTTTCACATGAAAGCCCAAACTGCAACAACAGCAATGTTCAAGTAAGTAAGTAAGTAATCTGTATCTATATACCGCCTTTCACAGACCAGAGTCACAAAGCGGTTTACAAAAACCTGGAATGATCTTCCTGAAAAATGTGAGACAAGCTTTTAATGACATTGTTCGAATAATTTAAAGCAGCTCTGCTTAGCTGTGAATACTATGTGGACTCTTCTTTTCTAAAATCCATGTTTAATGTTTCCATCCTTTCATTTGGTAGTATTATCATTTGCAATGTCTCTGTCATGGTTTGGACTTTAATCCATTCGTCCATTCTGTTACATGTTGAAATGAAAAAAGGAACCCAAAATGCACGACGGAAAATAAGTGTAATTTAATATAATAAATTCAAATCCGTCTAACAATAACAATAAAACATGAAATTCCAGAACAAAAAATAAACCAAGAACAAACGTGGTATATAGAAAATGTAAGCTGGGAATAGAACAGGGTATAAATCTGATAATATAATACATCCATGGTATAAATACACAGCTGGAAACACAGGTGTAACAGGTCAGGGCGGGGCAAACAATCAACAGGACAAACAGGAAGCAAAACTCAAACTACAAGAGAGTTTTCCAATGTGGTTTTACTGCAAATGCCAAATTAACTGAATCCTTTCCGGTTTTGTAAAGCACTGAAGCCTGTGTATGAATTGTGCTATACAAAATAAACTTGCTATGACTTAATGCTTTGAGAGAAAGTAAAAGTATGACCAGTCGACTATTTGTTGAGAAATCTTGACCCTTTTTTCAGAAATGTTTTATGAGATGGACAAAAGTGGAGCCCTTAAACTTTATGAGAGATAGAGGACTACTAAAAACAGGTAAAGAGTGTGGAAGGAAAATGTATGGATATGTTTGAGGGAAGGCGTGTCACTATCATTATTTGATAGTATTTAAATCCACAAACCCGTATGGATCTTTTAAAGGACTTTTTATGCAATTAGTAATATAAAATCTTTTTCTCATGTCTGACAGTCCTTTCAACTGGCCAACATGATGTATTTGTTTGTAGAAAATAATTAGACCATAGGCGACTAATTAGATGTTTACTGGGAAACAAGATGTGGAATTTTTGTTTCATGTTGCCCAGGAATGAGTGAGAAATTACTTTACCACTAAACTATGACTAGTAGTTTGACTTTTATCATTGTTACCAGGACAGATTTTTCACCAGTCCTCCACCACAACTTTAAACTAGGCTCATTGAATCGTTATGTCACATGAACGCAATCGATTCTGCTACTTTGGCGCCGAAAGGGTTTTAAAACATAGCGGAAAATCAAAATGTGTGGGTCTTCTAGAAGAATTGCAGGAAAGGGGGCTACTTAGATCAGGGTGTTGCTTGAGAGGTGTTGTAAAGGGAGCTGAGCGAGAGAGTGAAGGCAGCAGGAGCAGTTTGAGGCACAGAAGGGTGCAGGAGGGAGGGGAATACCACCCACTAAGCCAGTTGTGGAGAAGTCCTGGGGGCTGGGCTGCTCACAGGAAACAGTTGTGGCTCCATCCCAGGCCTCACACCAAGTGGCTGAGGCCACCCAGTCACTGACAGACAGACCCACCAAATGGTCTGGCCCGGCCGCCTGACATGCGTTTGTTTATTTTGCATCCTTTAGTGGCGAGGGAGAAAATTGTTCGACACAAGCTGTTTATTAGAACTTTGATTTGTCATGTCATGTGCCCGTGTTCACTGGCCAGATATGCCTGACATGTAAATATAGGAGCTTTGGGAGGCTACACAGTAACTTTGAGGTTAAGTGAGCTGTGCTGCTGAGGTAACTCTAAAGGCACTGTTTAAAGTGCACTCTCCAGTTCAAGAGTTTAAGGGCACGTCTAAACTTGGACCGATTCACTTTAAAACTGGACTATGTCTGGTTCACTTGGGGCAAATAACACCTGAATAGATCGTCATCTAGAATCAGAAAATAAAATTTCAGTTGGAGGGCAAGTGCCAATACAAATCAATTAAAAGTAAGCCTTTTTTTTTTTTAAACGTTGAAAAAGAAAATGTCTAAATATTTCCCTGATAATTTTTTGACAAGGATCAGATTCACAAACCTCTCCCACTCTCCCTGACTCCGGTTGCCAGATACGCAGCCGAATCCAGCTTGATTGACTAGGCTAGTTCAAATGACAAGCGACAAGTCCTACAGTGTAGGTTTCTCTGATTTATGTTTTCTTGCATGCTCATGTTCTATAGACTACAACAAAAAAACAAAGCGGTCACAGAACGTATTGTTTCAAATAAGTACAAGTTCAACATTGATTTTCATCTTTAGTCACAGTAGTATGCAAGAAGTCTACCTTTCCTGCAGAACTGCTGAGATAAAAACCAAGCCCAGTTGGAACAGGGCACATATTTTTCATATTCTCCCTGTGTAGGTAAAATCCTCCAGCTCTGGTCCGGACCAAGCCGAGCATCTGTACTACAGCGACCATTGCTACTAATAGAGGCCCTAGTGGCATCAGGATGGGTCAAATGCAGAGGATGAATTGCCCTACGCGATAGGTGTCAAAGTCAAGGCCCGGGGGCCAGATCTGGCCCGCAAATGAATTATCTTGGCCCCTGGGATGATATTTGATTAGTATTAGAACCGGCCCGCACAGAGACATAATGAAAAAACTGAATTATTCATTTAATATTCAAGACATGTGCTTTCTCCTTGAAGGAAGTTTGTTTTTGTCTGTAGCCTGATGAAAACTGTATTCACTTCATGACCGACAGAGCCATACAAAAATATGGGATTATTCATTTAATCATTAAATAAAATATGGTTCACTGTGTTAGGCCATGATTCAATAATATGTAATGATTTTAATATGTTCTAATACACATTGAACTAGTCTGGCCCTTGGCTTGTAGCAAATTTGTTTTTTGGGCCCTCTGATGTATTCGACTTTGACATCCCTGCCCTACGGGGATAAATAGTGCACCTTTACCGTTACCCAAGATGAAGCGGTTGTTTTAGGCACAAAGTGTTTCAGAATATGCAATTAAATCAAAAACAATGTGGCACTGACTACTAACCTTTTGAAAACTGTTGCTGATGATGCACATCCAATGCTGAACAGTGATGGAGCAGTCGGGTGGGGCTTCTTCCACTGATTCTAGGGGTTTAGGTGTTGGGACCACATTAGCTGAATAGACAAGCGTTTTGTCAACAACAAATCTATAACCAACACCGTACACAAAAATAAAGATAATTTCAGGTGGAAATATCTCATGTATGTGCACAATATCACAACAAATGGCCATCATATGGTTCGTGTCAGTACTATCTGAAAACTAGATTTAAAAAAAATGTAGGTGAAAACTCCAAGAACAAATAACAAGACATTTTACATAGGCTACTGTTTCAGACTGCCATACAATAATAATGTATATATATTATTTACAGTGTATGCATATAACTTTGTACATGAATTTGAAACATGAGCGAGGAATTATTGTATTGAGTTATTTGTCTGTCTTCATATGTTTTACATTGCTATGACAGCCGGGCTAATGTTCACATCAGCCTGCCCAGGGACTACAGGTGGAAATTAGCATCTTTGCTCTCCCTTCTGTTAATGTTTAATTGTACACTGTCCCTGTTCAAATAAAGTTCATACAATACCATTGGTTCTGTCTTCAAAAGCCACGAATTAGTTAGATGGATTTTAGGCTATTATTTTTGAGGTTTAAAAGTTAGGTTTCCCAGCTTTCATGTGAGGATTTTTTGTGTGTGGGATGAACAATATGAACTTGTCCTGCAGATGGCGCTACACCAGTCCAGAGGAGAAATACGTCACGATGCTTCAACCAATCAGATTCATAAACCCCCGGAAGCCAGACGTTTGAATCTGGAGCCGCCTGGTTGAGTCTTGCATGACTTTGTTTCCACGTCGAATATATTCAGATTTATGCTCTAAACAACCTCAACACTTACATTGGACTTTCAGCGTGTATTTGGACGAAACAGCTGCACCGTTGGACCGTTGGAGAAGCAGAGATGGAGCCCGGCTTGTACAAACACCTCATCGGGCGGTCTGTGAACATAAGCCGTAGTGACGGTAATAACATATCAAGCGTGACATAATGGATTATGTTCATGTTGTAGAATTATATTTCAGTTGGAGGACAGGTGCCAATGCAACGCTATGGGAAAGAAGCATTTCTTTCAATGTTTTGAAAGAAATGCTGAAAAATGATTGACAATTTAATAAAAAATTTAGATTCGCAAAGCCGCCATATTCTTCTTGTGTCTGAAAGTTTCTTCTATTGGCCAACACCATGCATGGGATTTTTGAATATTGTCACCACATCTAGACATTGTTGACATTGAGAACTAGCAAATGTCAAACTTTGACAGTTTCTGAACTAGTAGATGTCAAATTGACAGTTTGACGACTATAGATAATTGGCCCAGAAATTGACTCTAAATTTGAAGTGTGAATGTTACCGTAGTGGTTAGCAATGACATTTCAGCTGCCCATACATCTGTTAATTTCTGCTTTTATTTTTTTTCTTAGGTCGCATCCATTTGGCAACTGTCAAAACTGCTGATGCGTCCAAGTGCACTGTCATGGTAGAGTGGCAGGAGAAAGCCAACTGCAGGGGGAAAGAAGTTAGTAACACAAAACTGAACTACTGCTACTACAGAACATGTACAACAAGAATCCATCAGACTTAATGACGTGCATGCAAGTTTTGAAAAGAGGTTGGATGAAGCAGACTTATAAACTCCCCCTTTCACTCTTTCGATACCGACAAGCAGACTTTAAGAGAAGGATACCAGATCTTGTATTGTGTTGGCATCTTGTCATGAGTTCATTTTTTTATCTATTGTGCCTTTATCCCAACACTCTGTGGTATCACAATACTAGACAATAGCCCTTTAGGCTCCAAAGAAGTAGAACTGTAAGCTCCAGGTTCCAGGACTCTTCTAATCTATGCATCTATACATCCTACAAATATTTCAGTATTTCTTGCATATGCATATTTTGTTTCACTATTTGCTCTCTCTTACAAATTGTCAAGTTTCCCCTCTTTTGTCTTTTTGTGCATTTACATTTTGGAAAAAGTTCTGGTTAACAGTCCAAATATATCTAAAGAATACACAATAACATAGTATACAAGCTTGTTTCTAGTCTGTTCATAGATTGTTTTGTTTTTAGGTTGAAATTGGTGAATTGTGCGCTCTTAACCCTGAATTGTTAGAAATTCAAGTTGAGAATAACAAGGCACAAGAGCTGCATGCTGCTGCCCCTGAAAAGGTTGGTTCATGTTCGAATGCCCTGAGAATGGATTTATTGATTTAATTGCGCACATTCTGATTGTATGAGTCCTTTTGTTATTGTTGACTTGTAGAAGTATGAAGGACGCCTGCGGTCATCACGGATCCCAGCCTCTGCCTCTTGTATGTACATGAATTATACTAAAGCCATTTCTTAATGAAGTTGTTTGATGTTATCATCTTCATTTGTCAGCCTCTTTTCTTCAAAAACCCTCTACCGCTGCAGTGATCAAAGCTGAAGTGGAAGGTTGGCCATGCACTTTAATGCCAATGCACTTGGGGTTCTGTCACAGAAATGTCCTTTTGGGTCCTTTCACAAAATTGGTGCCTTCTTTCTGATCTGATTTATTTTTTTTCTTTTACAAATTGGATTCCGTTTTGATAGTTATGTGCTTATATTAGGAGGGGGGAAAAAAAGTAAAGCTCTTTCAAACCTTTTTATAACCACCCCGGTCTAACCCATAGACCGGGGTGGGTTAGGGTTAGGGTTAGATCAAGTTTCAGCACAACTTTGTTCATGAGCACTTCCTTATTGGGCTTCAGTGATCTAGGCAGTTTGCCTAGATCTATGTTCAGTCAATGCCCCAAGTTTTACTGTGGAGAATCTTGTGGGGGGTTTTCTGCATTAGAAATTGGTAACAGGAAGAATAATCACTAATACTACTTTGAACTGTTAAAATCTGTTTTCTTTCTTTCTTTTAATCTTTGTTATTACTGGATAGAAAGTTGTTTCACTAAAACTGTCTTTAATTTGTTTTCTAATTTCAGTGGCCATTAGGACTCAAGGCAGGCAGACCTGTAATTTTAATCCCACATCCTCTTCGGCCTCATTGGCTCCGATTACTGGATCAGCTAAATCTGAGCTGTCGCCAACCAGTGGCATCGTTAATTCAGGTATGTCATAAGATAAGAAAGACTTTATTGATCTCACACTGGAGAAATGTACATTTCACATTTGGCAAGGATAGAATCGCTCGGATTGTGCAAAAGACAGAAGTGTGCAAACATGTTAACGGTTAAAAATATAGTCTGTGCAGGATATAAGTATAGTACAAAGGTCTTAAATGTTGTCTATTTGTGCTGAAATGTCATAGTACAGGAGGATGTTGAGCGTGATTGTTTTTTGTTTTCTAGCCCTGCCCGTGATTTGTTCATAATGCATTGTACTGTGTGGATACCTCTAGGTTTCCCCCCCATTGCAGCTGATTCTATTCAGCGTTTTAAAAAGAATGAAACTAAGCAACTGACATCATTGGCTATAGCTCGTGAGGCTGCAAAAGAGAACGAAGAACCTCCCCAGCCGGTCAAAGGTCAGTCTTCATTTGAGAATTTTATTTCATTTTGAATTTAAATCATTTTTTTTTACCATAGTATCAAATATTCTATGCATTTAGGCAGAAGAAAATCTGTAGCTCAACCAGAACTAATCAAGAACAATAAACGCATGTCTTGTGTTGTCAAACCACCTGAAATGCAACCCAAAAGAGGAAAGGTCAGTGAAAGATTCCGTGTTTAAATTACAGAAACTCTAGCGTTCATTTAATGGTATTATTTTTTGCCTTAATTCAGTTTGGAGAACCAACTCGACCGAATCAAAAATTCTATGAGATGATCCAAGAGTTCAGAGATACTTTGGAAATTGCACCAATCTCAAATACTGACGTGGTAAATTAATACCCCTTATTAAATGAATAAGTAGATGGATTGCAACTAGAACATTCCCTGATGTACTTTTTATTTTTAGGTTGAGTCTCAGAAGATTTGTGTCTGTGTTCGCAAAAGGCCACTGAACAAGCAAGGTGCATTGCGGATGTGTATTTTTTATTAAACTGCGTATTAGTGAATTGTTTCTGGTCTAATCTTGATCTTTTCTTTCTATAGAGAACAATAAAAAGGAAATAGATGTTGTGTCTGTACCAGGCAAAGGAGCCCTTTTGGTCCATGAGCCAAAAACTAAAGTGGATCTCACAAAATATTTGGAAAACCAATCCTTTCAGTTTGATTATTCTTTTGATGAGAATGCTACCAATGACATGGTTTATAAGTAAACAAAATCCATATTTGTAATTTAGATGGCTACTTATACTGGTATAACTTCACATGAATAATCTATCAAATTTGATCCAAATCAGGTTTACAGCAAAGCCTTTGGTGAAGTCCATATTTGAAGGGGGGATGGCAACATGTTTTGCATATGGTCAGACTGGAAGTGGAAAGACCCATGTAAGTCTGACTCCTGTTCTCAGTAAATATTTGGCTAATTTCATTTCAGGTAATTTTATCTATCCATCTTGAAATTAGACTATGGGAGGAGACTTCTCTGGCAAGCAACAAAACAGTGCAAAAGGAATCTATGCTCTTGCAAGTAAGTTTGAGTCTATTAATGGACGGGAAATGGGAATACAGATTCAGTATTTTACAATGGAAATAAAAGGTCTCTTTGACTTATAGCCCAGGATGTGTTCATCTATCTCAAACACTGGAGATACACAAATTTGGATTTGTGTGTTTATGCGAGCTTCTTTGAAATCTACAATGGGAAAGTATGTTTGAATTTGAATTCGTGTCAGTTTTATGTCATGGCATCATAACACACTTGCCTTTTTAGGTGTATGACCTGCTGAACAAGAAGGCAAAGCTTCGAGTGTTGGAAGATGAACGGCAGCAGGTTCAGGTGGTGGGACTGGAGGAAATCTATGTCACCTCAGCCGATGATGTCATCAAACTGATACAGACCGGGAGTGCATGCAGGTACAAGTCTTCACGCTTGCCTAGTTTTGATCCAAGTAACTGCATATGTGTAATGTGAGAACATGTGGTGATCTTTGATGTATGCTTTGCATCCAATGTAAAAAATGACCGAGAGGAAAATGTTACGTAATAACAATAAAAACCAAATACTTTTTCTAACACTAATTTTTTTGTTTCCGTCAGAACATCTGGGCAGACATCTGCCAATGCAAATTCTTCCCGCTCTCATGCCATCCTTCAGATTGTTCTACGGCGTAGTGACCGAAACTCTACCTTGCACGGCAAGTTTTCTCTGGTTGATTTGGCTGGTAATGAGCGAGGTACCGACGTCAACAGCAATGACCGCTGCACTTTGGTTGAAACTACGGAGATAAATCGCAGTCTTCTGGCTCTCAAGGTGGATTTTGGATAGTGTTGGTTTTACAGTATTGAAATGACACATAATAATCATGCTGTCTTCATAAATGAACTATTTTTCAGGAGTGCATTCGTTCACTTGGTAAAAACAGTGATCACATACCTTTTCGAATGAGCACGTTGACCAAGGTTCTAAGAGACTCCTTTATCGGAGAGAAGTCCAGAACCTGTATGGTTTGTAAATTTAATTCATTCTTCAGGTTCAGATATTTTAGATTGGGTTTATTGTTTACAAACGGTGAAATCTTTTCTCTTAATAGATTGCCATGGTTTCTCCCAGCATGGCCTCCTGTGAATATACAATGAACACACTTCGTTATGCTGACAGGTACTGCAGATTTGTGACTATTCCGTTATAATAATTTTCATACCTAGAATTCTTGTTTTGGTGACTGTACTTTACTCATTGTTCTTACCTATGTCAGGGTAAAGGAACTGAATGGAAAATCCAAATGTAATGGAGGAGCAATGGTGGAAGTGTCTTCGGATATCTCATTGGAGGTACAATTTTACATGTACCAAATGTAAATCTGTGTTTTTAAGAACATGTTTCAAATGCAGTGTGTCTTCTCAGGAGTCTGCTGAGGAGACCACTGTGTATGAAGCTATATCTCAAGTAGCTGAACTTGAAGAAAAGGCATTTGTGGAGTTGCAGGTAAATCATATTGCCTTTTAATGATAAAATGTGTGAGGTTTCACTTTTGGAAACGTACACTGTATGTTTTTATTCTATTTACAGAAAGCCAACGACTTGGTGTTGGCCATGCAGCAGACTTCGTACAATATAGAGACAGGGTTTTCAGACATAGTGGAATATTCCCAGAAGTTGATGGGTTTGTGGATTTTTAAGTTATTTCACAATACGTCTTTCTTTTTGCAATGTATTCCAATGCTTAGTAAATCAAATGGGCTTTTTCTTTCAGACACAGCTTTGGGTCTGAAGTCTGCTATAGAACAAGAGAGGATGGCAAGGTTAAACCACTGATGACTTTTTCACTGTATTTTATTATACCATGTTTAACAATATTAACAGTGTTATTTGTTTAATGAATGTGTATTAAATCAATGTTAAGGGTTCAACTGTAAATAAAATTATTTTCTCATTTTACATAGGGAGTACAGTATTTCGTTTACATTTTGTGAAAAAAATTGACCGCAACTTGCTGCTAACCCCAACACTTTGTTATGCAATCTGAATACTTGTAAAATAGGAGTGCAAAGTCACCATTTGATTCTTTGGGCTGAGAGCTGAATTTGTGGGAGGGTGGTCTGTTTCCCAAACTAGCTTTATTTAATAATGCACTTATGAAACAGTTGACCAGATGAAAATTCACTCAGTCTTGGAACAAAAATGAGTTCTAGAGGATCAAAGCAACCCTCAGACTTTGCAAATAGATTTAGGTCTAGTGTTAGAACTTTTTTTTCACTTCTGATTGTAAGATGTGTCGGGCCAAAATAAACATGCTTGAAATCTGACTTGCAAAGAGGTTGCATCCGATTTTATGAATCACACTTCCTTGCTTACCCTTCTCAGTTTACTGTCCTTTTGTCGTAGCGTGATATTAGTGGAATAAAGTCAATTTTCCCTGGAGTGATTTGCTCAGCAGCCACAGACAAGAAGTTAACTATTCTGTCCAGGAGGTGTCTCTGTGGAGCTGGTGGAGGAGAAGCCTCGCTGTCAAAAGCGTGTAGTGGAAGTGCCCTCTCTAACCGGAAAAGATGGCGGCGGTGAAATGGATGCGTTTTCCGCTCCTTCTGCTGGGATTTTGCTTGTTTTACCACTCCACGTCTGGAGACAGCAGTGGGGTGAAAAAGATGAAGATGCAGTTTGCCGCAGGACCCCTTCTCAAGTTTCAAATTTGGTATGAAAGTGGTTATTTTGACGAGTATCTAGACTTGTGCTAACAACATGACGTAGGCCTGTTGAAGCTAGCTGCTAACATCACAGAATGTCTTCGCAGATTTACTAATAAAACATACAGACTTTGGGAAATAAACGGTTTTGTATCTGCCACTATAAAAATACGGTTTTAGGTGTATTGGTCATAGCCTTCTCTAGTCTATTGAAGGCTCCAAAAAGTAAAACGAAGGTTGCAGTTACCTTACTGACTTAAGCTAATGCTAAGCCTAAGTAGCGTGAGAATAATTTAATTAATTGTTCGGTCGTTGTTGAACAACAGAAGCCTAGGACATTTTCACATAGATTGCCCATATAGACCGAAAGGGTTTGTCTGAATTAAGCCATCATTCTGAAAGTTATTATCAGAAGTCAGTTATACAGGATGCAGCAACTTAGCAGACATCATAATCCAATCTAGTCAGCTCGAGTCCTGACTAGAACCAAGAAGTACGACCACATTAGTCCAGTTCTCAGGTCTCTGCACTGGCTTTCTGTGGCTCAGAGGTAATCGTATTTGAATCTGTAACAAGACTTTAAAACAGCTCTGCTTGTTTGCAAGTCTCATAAGTGACATATTAGTCCCATATGAACCAGCCCGGACTCTGAGGAGCACAGGGACTGGACTCCTGTTAGTGTCCAGAGTCAGAACTAAACATGGGGAGGCCGCATTTCAGATTCATGCTGCAAAAATCTGGAACAATCTTCCTGAAGATGTGAGACAGGCCTCCTCTCTGACAATGTTTAAAACCAGGTTAAAACAGTTTTGTTTAGCTGTACATACAACTGGGGGATTTTTATATTTTTCTTTTGAATGTATTGTGATTATTTATGTGTATGAATTTTGCGATACAAATAAACTTTCCTTGCCTAATGAACGGTTGTGTTTTTGTTTCTGAAGCATTTCCTGAGGGTACAAGCGGGTGTTTGAGGAGTATACGCAGGCCTTATACCAGCGTTACCCAGACATCCGCATTGAAGGAGAGAACTATCTTCCCATTCCCCTGTATAGGTAAGAATCAGTGTCGGAATCCTTTAATTGCTTTTGTAGAAACAATGAAGTCACAATCATAGAATTTGCTTTTGATGGTGTGCATTATTATCATTATTTATCCAGGAAAACCTTATTGAGATTAATCATCCTTTTCAAGGGTGTCCTGGGCATTATTCAATCTTGATAAAATTCTAATATATAAATAAATACACACAATAGACATTTAACATAGCAGATTATCAATGAGTATCCAGAGGTATGCTATTATTAAGAGACAGAAGTTTAAACTGAGAATTGTAATGGCCAGTGCTCTAGTGTCTAGTGTTCATGAGTCCAATTGCAGAGGGGAAGAAAATGATGGACCATAGCCTCCTGCCTGAATGTCTGAAATAGTCCATGTGCAGGGTGAGAGGGGTCTGCAGTGATACAGCCAGCTCGAGCTCGATCACCTTCTCAGTGGCGACGATGATCCGCTGTAGTCTCTGCTTGTGCCCTGACGAGATTTAGATATTGCACTGTTGGCCAATAAAATATATTCTGGATTACGGTACACGTATCTGACAAACGCTAGTAAAATCATCACCAGTTCTTTAGGGCCACCCTCTTTCACCTTCACCTTTTTGTAAGAATTGTTTAATCAGTTTATTTAATAATGGTTAGTTACAGGCAACAGTGCAGCATCTTAAAGGTGCACTTTTATTAAGCGCACCTTGTCTGTGCACTTCAAGTCCATAATTTAATGAAGCAGTTTAATTGGTGTGTTTGTTCACTTCAGAACAAACACACCATTGAGAACTCATTCTCAATACAGTTCTGTGGTTATCTGTTTGATTGGTTCACACTGAACGTTCGTCTGAAACTATTCTGTCGTTCCAGGCACATAGCTTCCTTCTTGTCCGTTTTCAAGCTGCTGGTGATCGGAATGATCATCATTGGCAGAGATCCCTTTGTTCTTTTTGGGATACCAGCGCCAGGCATTTGGGAGTGGGGTCAGACAAATAAGGTAAACCTGTCTTTCTGACTTCACGTAAATGCCAATATTTTTTATGAAAATTCTGACTTTATTTGTTGAAGACAAACATGGTGCCATTACCAACTGTGGAATCCCCTGAGATGCTATTAGCGGTTCACTATCTTTGTTGTTTTAGAATTCCCAGAGTGGTATTGGGATAGTCTGCAGTTAACACTTGAGCCCTAGTGTTTATACAACACCATGAATTGCAAACACATTTACCTTTGGGTACCAATAAAGAAACCTTAAATTAAAGTACAGGTTGTACAGTAGTAAACCAATGTAATCTAACGGTTACCTAATTATAACAATTATACGTTAAAAAAGTGTGAATTAGTATTTGAATCTAATTGTAAGTCTCACGTCTGGTTGATTTTAAAATGGTTACTTTCTTCCAGATATACGCTTGTATGATGGTGTTCTTCTTTAGCAACATGATAGAAAACCAGTTGATGTCCACAGGAGCTTTTGAGATCACACTAAATGGTTTGTATACTGGGTAGAAATGAGTAATCTTGTGATCAACTTGTTTATTTATTATTTTCCTCCTTCCCAGATGTGCCTGTGTGGTCCAAACTGGAGTCTGGTCATCTACCCTCCATGCAGCAGCTGGTGCAAATCCTGGACAATGAGATGAAGATGAATGTTCACATGGACACAAAACCCCACCATCATTCTTAACACCCCATGCATTCAGGCTGCAAACCCTTCTATGTGAGATGGATTCTTCAATATTTCTTCCCAAAAAAAAATTCTGTGCTAACAATACTGCCTGTTCCCTTCCAGGATTTGAGGCGGACTTCTGACAGGGCTGTGAGGTGATGTTTATGAAGGTCAGTGCTGAAGGCAGCTCGACTGTTGGCGCTGATCGGATGCCCCCATCACGTTCACTGTGCTTGGTTAGATATTCTGCCGCTAACGCCAGAGGGGATCCCTGTGCCAGTCATGCCCTTGTGAAATTTGCGGTTTGGATTTAAATCTCTAGTCTTTCTAACATTTGATCCTTATTAACACTTATTCGCTCTAAATTTCATCAAAGTAAATTTACAAGGATATTTGTACCACTGAGCCATGTGTAGATTGTAATTTAAGTAATCCATTGCATAGCTTAGACCCAAAATGTAAAACTGTGTTGTCAAAGTTGTGAAAATATACTGTTGCAGAATCCCATCTTTTAATTCTGAATAATTTTATATTGACATGAACCTGTAATGAAAAATAAAACATAATTTATAAAAACGTAACTGTCGATTTTGATCGTACGAGTTTCAATTGTTGTGTCTTGCTCTTAAACATCGGAACTTGGAAAAAGGCCTTTAACTGAAGCTGATTTTTATGTGTATTTCATGTGTCCTGGTTTACCTATCGGGACTTCAGCTCCTGTGACATCACCTACTCAAGCCTGTAGAGAACTGACTCTCCAACCCCATGTGGGAAAAGGCTTACCATTCCCTTTGTCCTTGCATGTTTGTTAAATGCAACCCAAAACGTTAAATATTTCCGTGAATTTCACCAAATGTTTACTTCTGACTTTTATTGATCTCCCATTTTGACAAAATTGACGTAGCACAAATGGTCAGTTAACGGACATGAAGTTGTCATTGTTCTAGAAGTGAAAACGGAACAAAACCAGGTTGATGCATGCTTTTGTGACCAGCTGTGTGGACTACTGTAAATCTCTGGTCATCCCAAAAAAGTCAATTATTACAAGTCCTGGCTAAGGAGAGGTAAGATCCTTAAGATGGATTTTACTTGAGTACTTGAACACACTTTCAGGTGATGTGAGGTCTGTTTCTCACAAGATTGTGCTCATCTAACTTCAAACATCACGTTCAAAGCATGATAGTGAGGGGCAAAATGACATGAACATTAACTGCAAGAGAAACACCATCCAACACCCTTACCTGACTTCAGACTGAATCCAAATGAAGTGTCTGCAGAGTCCAGTGAAACATTTCACTGCAAAAAAGCGTGGTCCAAGATTTAAACCCTGCAATGTGTATCTCCTGCTCTTGTTTCAACCAAATGTCTTAATGTATAATTAGTGAATGTAAGAAGTTGTGCAGTTGGCAAAGGTCATGTGACAAGGTATTTCCCAAAGTCAGGTTACTTCAGCCACAATCAATGGTACAGCCTGCCAGTGGAGCTCAGGACCAGGTTTATAAGAACAGCCTATATGCTTGATCCTTTAAATTTTACTTTAAGACCCAGTCAGCAAGTTATTGTCCCAGTATCTCTGGTTTAGAACAGCTGCTTCATCTCCTGGGTCCTGTGGCAGCTGCAGACAGTTCCTCGGCTGACGCTCAGCTGGTTACACCAACATAACAGTTGAGAGCTTGAGGTGTGAACCTTGTCATGCATTTTAACTATTCGTGCTGTCGCTTCCTTAACATTTAGTCTCAAGTTATGGAGGATGAAATTCTAAAACCCTAGTGTACACAAGTTTAAACTTTGTCACATTATTCATTTTTGCATAACTACAGTAAAACCCATCAATTGAAAAAAAATGCAGACAGGACATGTATTTTGAGTGAAGGTAGATTTAATGTCATAAATTCCATTGAAGGATATTAAACTCTTTACAATAAAATACATTTGTAGCAGCTTTACATTAAAATGCACACATGGTTTAGTATCAGCCGATCCAGTCAAAGAACTGTAGACCATTAGAGTCACCACAGAGGCCCAGCTCAAACCCTACAGAGAAAAAAGGTTAGTACATCAGACTCCAACCACAAGAGACCAAACTAGTTGCTCATTACTTTGTTAAATGTTGCTGCAGCAAGGAAACTTCTATATGTTTGTGAGGCAGATGTCCTTGAGCCTTGGTGGACGGGGTAGTAGGTGGCTGGGCCCAATAAAGGTTAGGGTTATGCTGCCTGTGTGCTAAACTCCCTGACAAACTCTGGAACAACTGGTTCACTTGGTTGGTTTGGTCATTAGAGGCAGGATTCCCTATGAGAGCTGGAGCAGCATGTTGGAACGGAATTAAATGATTCAAGTCAAATGGGTAAATGTGAGGGGACACCTGAGTGGGATGGTCATAGCTATGAGACAGCTGATGCAAACAGTAAAGCAAATGCTGCAAATATGCGGCATAGTCAGGTGGAGGAGAAGTCGTGGACTGGTCATGGTTATGGGACAGCTGATGCAAATAGTAGAGCAAATGTTGCAAATACTGTGCAAATTCAGGTGAAGTAGTGGTCTGGTCATTGGAGAGTTGATGCAGATAGCCTAGTAAGTACTGCAACAGTGCTGCATAATCAGGTGGAGGAGCAGTAGTAGAGGACTGGTCATGGTTTTGGGCCAGTTGATGCAAATAGTAAAGCAACTTCTCAATAGCTGAATAAGGAAGAGGAGCTGCAGTTGTGGGCCAGGTGGGATGAGTGGGCCAGGTGGGATGAGTGGGCCAGGTGGGATGAGTGGGCCAGGTGGGATGAGTGGGCCAGGTGGGATGAGTGGGCCAGGTGGGATGAGTGGGCCAGGTGGGATGAGTGGGCCAGGTGGGATGAGGATCTGCAGTTGGATTGCCATCTGGAGTTTTGGGGCACTTCAGAGTTAATGGGACTCCATGCCAATTTATTGGGAAATTGTTGCTTCCATCCTGAAGATTAAAGACAGTTAGTGTTCTTTAAGTACAAACTATGTCTAGGGCTATAGTAAGTTACCTCATAAACAAGACAACACCCTTTAAAGGGAATAGTCACGGCGTAGCCAAACGGAGTTCTATGAGCATTGTACTGACAGGATTGAGGCTCTGCAACAGAAGTCATGTCAATGTTACTTGTAGCCAATATTAAAGCCCCAGAATCTACATTTAAACTGTTACTTACGCTGGCCCAGTGAAAAGTGCTTTACCAGCGGTCCAAAAGCTTTGAATTTCATAAAACCTGCTTGTCCACACCCCAGTGACGCGTGCATCTGATGCCAATGGTTTAGAATTCCTATCACAGGAGATACACATTAACAATTCAAGCAAATTAAATACATTTTATTTCTGTCTAACATGGACTGTGGTGATGTTCCAGGACAAACATTCTACAACATTCATGGACATTGGCCTCTTCCTATGAACCAATGTGTTCTATATTTTTTGAGTCCATGATTCTCTGATCTGTGTTGGAACTTGGTGATGTCAATGGTTTTGTTAAGTCCTGAGATGACTACTGTTGTGATTTAGGGCTATACAAAAAGAATGAAGTTGCCATTATATGCATTGCCTTTAAAACACTATACAGGCTTATAAATGTTTCATGCTGGCAAGAATATGGAGAGGACCAAGATATGCAGTGATCTGAACAATCAGCACAGCATACACACGAGTGTAAGTACAATTACGCTACACATTTAAAGATATAAGGAAAGAACACTTAAAACACAGTACAACAGTGATGTTTTCCACAGTTGAAACGGCACAAATACCAGCGGTAGGTTCTAAATTAAATGACACATGGTACCTGGAGAGTCGGCTTGGTAAGAGGCGGTGTCACCATCCAAGGAAATATTATTAGGGCCTTCTCCAAACACGATGATTCCTTTTCGGATGCTTGTAGTCTCTGTCGCTTCTTTTCTTTCAGTTTTTCTCAAACTCGAAGCCTCTGTTTGCGTCAAGAGGAGCGCAACTAGAAGTGCGCACACAGCTGCACAACTGACGTCTCGTTTGCGCCACATGGTTCTCACGCGTCGGACTCTGAACGTGAGAACCATGTGGCTGAGTTTATAAATGGTTCCCGACGATGTTCCGACCGATCACCACAGACTAGCAGCACCTGGTGAAAAATGTTCCCACGAATTATTATTAAAATAGCACAACACAATCTGAGATTTCAAATGATAGATTTTTATTGAATATCTGTGGAGAATACCACGTTGATTTTCCTTTTCTGTCTTTGTTTATGTATTTAATCAGTTCATTAATTCGAAATGATTTGATTTATTTTATATTTCTATTCTCTGCTTTATTTTCATGCCCTATTTATTTCTTCTGCCTGATGTATTATTTCCGCTCTCTTTAAAAAAAAATCATTGTTATTTTCTTGATTTTGCAAATTAAGGGGGCAGATAGTGACAGATATTTAGACCAAAGCAACGATCGTGGAGACTGGCTCTCCCTGGATATATATGACCCACTTGTGCACATCATTTTCACTTTGCATTGGTGGTTTTTACAAATTTTTATATGTTTAATATGGACACTAGATAATAATAATAATGCATCGGTTTTATATAGCGCTTTTTTGGACACTCAAAGACGTTTTACATGTCATTATTCATTCACTCCATACATGGTGGTGATAAACTACTACTGTAGCCACAGCTGCCCTGGGGCACACTGACAGAAGCAAGGCAACCAGTATTTGCCATTGGCCCCTCCGACCAGCACCAACCATTCACACACACACCAGACTCATTCTAGGCAATGGGGGTAAAGTGTCTTGCCTAAGGACACAACGGCAGTTTGGCACTTTACAGCCGCCCCACTGTGGCATCAGGTGTTCCCAAAGGTTAAATGTCTTGCCAAGGACACAATGACAGCAGACACGACAGCACGACCCTGGCTCAAAGGCCAATGCTCTACCAACTGAGCTACTGTCGCCTAGATATTTGGTTGTTACTGTGAAAGTGCCCTAACCAGGCCCTGTCAGAAGTGAGTTAGCTCTCGCCTCTTCATCTCTGTGTCCACACGCATTTTCTGTAGAGAATGGTCGAGGCACAACACTAGAAAATAGTAAAAACATGCAGCGACACATGTGCCTCAGTGGGCCATAACCAGGAGAGCAAGCAGACCCATGATGGTACGATTACTTTGATTTATCTGTAGAGCTCCACCCCAATAATTAGCATTTTTCAACGGAATCGAGAAAATAATAATTCAGGCTGCAAAAATAAAGAAAGCAGCGCATGCATAAGAAATGGGGAAGACAAATACAAAAATGAATGACAAGAGGAATAAATAAATAAATGCAAATAGAAAATAATAAGGCTTCATTTCATTAGTTTTCAGCAAAAAACTTTTATTGATCTCCCATTTTGACAAAATTGACGTAGCACAAATGGTCAGTTAACGGACATGAAGTTGTCATTGTTCTAGAAGTGAAAACGGAACAAAACAGGTTGATGCATGCTTTTGTGACCAGCTGTGTGGACTACTGTAAATCTCTGGTCATCCCAAAAAAGTCAATTATTACAAGTCCTGGCTAAGGAGAGGTAAGATCCTTAAGATGGATTTTACTTGAGTACTTGAACACACTTTCAGGTGATGTGAGGTCTGTTTCTCACAAGATTGTGCTCATCTAACTTCAAACATCACGTTCAAAGCATGATAGTGAGGGGCAAAATGACATGAACATTAACTGCAAGAGAAACACCATCCAACACCCTTACCTGACTTCAGACTGAATCCAAATGAAGTGTCTGCAGAGTCCAGTGAAACATTTCACTGCAAAAAAGCGTGGTCCAAGATTTAAACCCTGCAATGTGTATCTCCTGCTCTTGTGTCAACCAAATGTCTTAATGTATAATTAGTGAATGTAAGAAGTTGTGCAGTTGGCAAAGGTCATGTGACAAGGTATTTCCCAAAGTCAGGTTACTTCAGCCACAATCAATGGTACAGCCTGCCAGTGGAGCTCAGGACCAGGTTTATAAGAACAGCCTATATGCTTGATCCTTTAAATTTTACTTTAAGACCCAGTCAGCAAGTTATTGTCCCAGTATCTCTGGTTTAGAACAGCTGCTTCATCTCCTGGGTCCTGTGGCAGCTGCAGACAGTTCCTCGGCTGACGCTCAGCTGGTTACACCAACATAACAGTTGAGAGCTTGAGGTGTGAACCTTGTCATGCATTTTAACTATTCGTGCTGTCGCTTCCTTAACATTTAGTCTCAAGTTTGGAGGATGAAATTCTAAAACCCTAGTGTACACAAGTTTAAACTTTGTCACATTATTCATTTTTGCATAACTACAGTAAAACCCATCAATTGAAAAAAAATGCAGACAGGACATGTATTTTGAGTGAAGGTAGATTTAATGTCATAAATTCCATTGAAGGATATTAAACTCTTTACAATAAAATACATTTGTAGCAGCTTTACATTAAAATGCACACATGGTTTAGTATCAGCCGATCCAGTCAAAGAACTGTAGACCATTAGAGTCACCACAGAGGCCCAGCTCAAACCCTACAGAAAAAAGGTTAGTACATCAGACTCCAACCACAAGAGACCAAACTAGTTGCTCATTACTTTGTTAAATGTTGCTGCAGCAAGGAAACTTCTATATGTTTGTGAGGCAGATGTCCTTGAGCCTTGGTGACGGGGTAGTAGGTGGCTGGGCCCAATAAAGGTTAGGGTTATGCTGCCTGTGTGCTAAACTCCCTGACAAACTCTGGAACAACTGGTTCACTTGGTTGGTTTGGTCATTAGAGGCAGGATTCCCTATGAGAGCTGGAGCAGCATGTTGGAACGGAATTAAATGATTCAAGTCAAATGGGTAAATGTGAGGGGACACCTGAGTGGGATGGTCATAGCTATGAGACAGCTGATGCAAACAGTAAAGCAAATGCTGCAAATATGCGGCATAGTCAGGTGGAGGAGAAGTCGTGGACTGGTCATGGTTATGGGACAGCTGATGCAAATAGTAGAGCAAATGTTGCAAATACTGTGCAAATTCAGGTGAAGTAGTGGTCTGGTCATTGGAGAGTTGATGCAGATAGCCTAGTAAGTACTGCAACAGTGCTGCATAATCAGGTGGAGGAGCAGTAGTAGAGGACTGGTCATGGTTTTGGGCCAGTTGATGCAAATAGTAAAGCAACTTCTCAATAGCTGAATAAGGAAGAGGAGCTGCAGTTGTGGGCCAGGTGGGATGAGTGGGCCAGGTGGGATGAGTGGGCCAGGTGGGATGAGTGGGCCAGGTGGGATGAGTGGGCCAGGTGGGATGAGTGGGCCAGGTGGGATGAGTGGGCCAGGTGGGATGAGTGGGCCAGGTGGGATGAGTGGGCCAGGTGGGATGAGTGGGCCAGGTGGGATGAGTGGGCCAGGTGGGATGAGGATCTGCAGTTGGATTGCCATCTGGAGTTTTGGGGCACTTCAGAGTTAATGGGACTCCATGCCAATTTATTGGGAAATTGTTGCTTCCATCCTGAAGATTAAAGACAGTTAGTGTTCTTTAAGTACAAACTATGTCTAGGGCTATAGTAAGTTACCTCATAAACAAGACAACACCCTTTAAAGGGAATAGTCACGGCGTAGCCAAACGGAGTTCTATGAGCATTGTACTGACAGGATTGAGGCTCTGCAACAGAAGTCATGTCAATGTTACTTGTAGCCAATATTAAAGCCCCAGAATCTACATTTAAACTGTTACTTACGCTGGCCCAGTGAAAAGTGCTTTACCAGCGGTCCAAAAGCTTTGAATTTCATAAAACCTGCTTGTCCACACCCCAGTGACGCGTGCATCTGATGCCAATGGTTTAGAATTCCTATCACAGGAGATACACATTAACAATTCAAGCAAATTAAATACATTTTATTTCTGTCTAACATGGACTGTGGTGATGTTCCAGGACAAACATTCTACAACATTCATGGACATTGGCCTCTTCCTATGAACCAATGTGTTCTATATTTTTTGAGTCCATGATTCTCTGATCTGTGTTGGAACTTGGTGATGTCAATGGTTTTGTTAAGTCCTGAGATGACTACTGTTGTGATTTAGGGCTATACAAAAAGAATGAAGTTGCCATTATATGCATTGCCTTTAAAACACTATACAGGCTTATAAATGTTTCATGCTGGCAAGAATATGGAGAGGACCAAGATATGCAGTGATCTGAACAATCAGCACAGCATACACACGAGTGTAAGTACAATTACGCTACACATTTAAAGATATAAGGAAAGAACACTTAAAACACAGTACAACAGTGATGTTTTCCACAGTTGAAACGGCACAAATACCAGCGGTAGGTTCTAAATTAAATGACACATGGTACCTGGAGAGTCGGCTTGGTAAGAGGCGGTGTCACCATCCAAGGAAATATTATTAGGGCCTTCTCCAAACACGATGATTCCTTTTCGGATGCTTGTAGTCTCTGTCGCTTCTTTTCTTTCAGTTTTTCTCAAACTCGAAGCCTCTGTTTGCGTCAAGAGGAGCGCAACTAGAAGTGCGCACACAGCTGCACAACTGACGTCTCGTTTGCGCCACATGGTTCTCACGCGTCGGACTCTGAACGTGAGAACCATGTGGCTGAGTTTATAAATGGTTCCCGACGATGTTCCGACCGATCACCACAGACTAGCAGCACCTGGTGAAAAATGTTCCCACGAATTATTATTAAAATAGCACAACACAATCTGAGATTTCAAATGATAGATTTTTATTGAATATCTGTGGAGAATACCACGTTGATTTTCCTTTTCTGTCTTTGTTTATGTATTTAATCAGTTCATTAATTCGAAATGATTTGATTTATTTTATATTTCTATTCTCTGCTTTATTTTCATGCCCTATTTATTTCTTCTGCCTGATGTATTATTTCCGCTCTCTTTAAAAAAAAATCATTGTTATTTTCTTGATTTTGCAAATTAAGGGGGCAGATAGTGACAGATATTTAGACCAAAGCAACCGATCGTGGAGACTGGCTCTCCCTGGATATATATGACCCACTTGTGCACATCATTTTCACTTTGCATTGGTGGTTTTTACAAATTTTTATATGTTTAATATGGACACTAGATAATAATAATAATGCATCGGTTTTATATAGCGCTTTTTTGGACACTCAAAGACGTTTTACATGTCATTATTCATTCACTCCATACATGGTGGTGATAAACTACTACTGTAGCCACAGCTGCCCTGGGGCACACTGACAGAAGCAAGGCAACCAGTATTTGCCATTGGCCCCTCCGACCAGCACCAACCATTCACACACACACCAGACTCATTCTAGGCAATGGGGGTAAAGTGTCTTGCCTAAGGACACAACGGCAGTTTGGCACTTTACAGCCGCCCCACTGTGGCATCAGGTGTTCCCAAAGGTTAAATGTCTTGCCAAGGACACAATGACAGCAGACACGACAGCACGACCCTGGCTCAAAGGCCAATGCTCTACCAACTGAGCTACTGTCGCCTAGATATTTGGTTGTTACTGTGAAAGTGCCCTAACCAGGCCCTGTCAGAAGTGAGTTAGCTCTCGCCTCTTCATCTCTGTGTCCACACGCATTTTCTGTAGAGAATGGTCGAGGCACAACACTAGAAAATAGTAAAAACATGCAGCGACACATGTGCCTCAGTGGGCCATAACCAGGAGAGCAAGCAGACCCATGATGGTACGATTACTTTGTTTTATCTGTAGAGCTCCACCCCAATAATTAGCATTTTATCAACGGAATCGAGAAAATAATAATTCAGGCTGCAAAAATAAAGAAAGCAGCGCATGCATAAGAAATGGGGAAGACAAATACAAAAATGAATGACAAGAGGAATAAATAAATAAATGCAAATAGAAAATAATAAGGCTTCATTTCATTAGTTTTCAGCAAAAAACTTTTATTGATCTCCCATTTTGACAAAATTGACGTAGCACAAATGGTCAGTTAACGGACATGAAGTTGTCATTGTTCTAGAAGTGAAAACGGAACAAAACAGGTTGATGCATGCTTTTGTGACCAGCTGTGTGGACTACTGTAAATCTCTGGTCATCCCAAAAAAGTCAATTATTACAAGTCCTGGCTAAGGAGAGGTAAGATCCTTAAGATGGATTTTACTTGAGTACTTGAACACACTTTCAGGTGATGTGAGGTCTGTTTCTCACAAGATTGTGCTCATCTAACTTCAAACATCACGTTCAAAGCATGATAGTGAGGGGCAAAATGACATGAACATTAACTGCAAGAGAAACACCATCCAACACCCTTACCTGACTTCAGACTGAATCCAAATGAAGTGTCTGCAGAGTCCAGTGAAACATTTCACTGCAAAAAAGCGTGGTCCAAGATTTAAACCCTGCAATGTGTATCTCCTGCTCTTGTGTCAACCAAATGTCTTAATGTATAATTAGTGAATGTAAGAAGTTGTGCAGTTGGCAAAGGTCATGTGACAAGGTATTTCCCAAAGTCAGGTTACTTCAGCCACAATCAATGGTACAGCCTGCCAGTGGAGCTCAGGACCAGGTTTATAAGAACAGCCTATATGCTTGATCCTTTAAATTTTACTTTAAGACCCAGTCAGCAAGTTATTGTCCCAGTATCTCTGGTTTAGAACAGCTGCTTCATCTCCTGGGTCCTGTGGCAGCTGCAGACAGTTCCTCGGCTGACGCTCAGCTGGTTACACCAACATAACAGTTGAGAGCTTGAGGTGTGAACCTTGTCATGCATTTTAACTATTCGTGCTGTCGCTTCCTTAACATTTAGTCTCAAGTTATGGAGGATGAAATTCTAAAACCCTAGTGTACACAAGTTTAAACTTTGTCACATTATTCATTTTTGCATAACTACAGTAAAACCCATCAATTGAAAAAAAATGCAGACAGGACATGTATTTTGAGTGAAGGTAGATTTAATGTCATAAATTCCATTGAAGGATATTAAACTCTTTACAATAAAATACATTTGTAGCAGCTTTACATTAAAATGCACACATGGTTTAGTATCAGCCGATCCAGTCAAAGAACTGTAGACCATTAGAGTCACCACAGAGGCCCAGCTCAAACCCTACAGAGAAAAAAGGTTAGTACATCAGACTCCAACCACAAGAGACCAAACTAGTTGCTCATTACTTTGTTAAATGTTGCTGCAGCAAGGAAACTTCTATATGTTTGTGAGGCAGATGTCCTTGAGCCTTGGTGGACGGGGTAGTAGGTGGCTGGGCCCAATAAAGGTTAGGGTTATGCTGCCTGTGTGCTAAACTCCCTGACAAACTCTGGAACAACTGGTTCACTTGGTTGGTTTGGTCATTAGAGGCAGGATTCCCTATGAGAGCTGGAGCAGCATGTTGGAACGGAATTAAATGATTCAAGTCAAATGGGTAAATGTGAGGGGACACCTGAGTGGGATGGTCATAGCTATGAGACAGCTGATGCAAACAGTAAAGCAAATGCTGCAAATATGCGGCATAGTCAGGTGGAGGAGAAGTCGTGGACTGGTCATGGTTATGGGACAGCTGATGCAAATAGTAGAGCAAATGTTGCAAATACTGTGCAAATTCAGGTGAAGTAGTGGTCTGGTCATTGGAGAGTTGATGCAGATAGCCTAGTAAGTACTGCAACAGTGCTGCATAATCAGGTGGAGGAGCAGTAGTAGAGGACTGGTCATGGTTTTGGGCCAGTTGATGCAAATAGTAAAGCAACTTCTCAATAGCTGAATAAGGAAGAGGAGCTGCAGTTGTGGGCCAGGTGGGATGAGTGGGCCAGGTGGGATGAGTGGGCCAGGTGGGATGAGTGGGCCAGGTGGGATGAGTGGGCCAGGTGGGATGAGTGGGCCAGGTGGGATGAGTGGGCCAGGTGGGATGAGTGGGCCAGGTGGGATGAGTGGGCCAGGTGGGATGAGGATCTGCAGTTGGATTGCCATCTGGAGTTTTGGGGCACTTCAGAGTTAATGGGACTCCATGCCAATTTATTGGGAAATTGTTGCTTCCATCCTGAAGATTAAAGACAGTTAGTGTTCTTTAAGTACAAACTATGTCTAGGGCTATAGTAAGTTACCTCATAAACAAGACAACACCCTTTAAAGGGAATAGTCACGGAGTAGCCAAACGGAGTTCTATGAGCATTGTACTGACAGGATTGAGGCTCTGCAACAGACGTCATGTCAATGTTACTTGTAGCCAATATTAAAGCCCCAGAATCTACATTTGAACTGTTACTTACGCTGGCCCAGTGAAAAGTGCTTTACCAGCGGTCCAAAAGCTTTGAATTTCATAAAACCTGCTTGTCCACACCCCAGTGAAGCGTGCATCTGATGCCAATGGTTTAGAATTCCTATCACAGGAGATACACATTAACAATTCAAGCAAATTAAATACATTTTATTTCTGTCTAACATGGACTGTGGTGATGTTCCAGGACAAACATTCTACAACAGCCATTCCCAAACTCAGTAACACCGAGGCCCCCTTAAAAATCTGACGGGTCTGCGTGGCCCCCCAAAATAATAACCAAGAAGACAACATTAAGAATAGGCTCTTCTGGTTATTTTATTTTGGGGAAATAGCCTCTGCTACAAACATTGTAATACAAAAATGATTACAGTGGATTATTAAAGTCAAATAATGCACAAATATTTTAATATTACAAACAAAACATTATAAATGTAACATTAAATAATTATATTATATATATATTTTTTTTTATGACTTCCCGCGGCCCCCCTGCAGTACCCTCGCGGCCCACCAGGGGGCCGCGGACCCCACTTTGGGAGACACTGTTCTACAACATTCATGGACATTGGCCTCTTCCTATGAACCAATGTGTTCTATATTTTTTGAGTCCATGATTCTCTGATCTGTGTTGGAACTTGGTGATGTCAATGGTTTTGTTAAGTCCTGAGATGACTACTGTTGTGATTTAGGGCTATACAAAAAGAATGAAGTTACCATTATATGCATTGCCTTTAAAACACTATACAGGCTTATAAATGTTCATGCTGGCAAGAATATGGAGAGGACCAAGATATGCAGTGATCTGAACAATCAGCACAGCATACACACGAGTGTAAGTACAATTACGCTACACATTTAAAGATATAAGGAAAGAACACTTAAAACACAGTACAACAGTGATGTTTTCCACAGTTGAAACGGCACAAATACCAGCGGTAGGTTCTAAATTAAATGACACATGGTACCTGGAGAGTCGGCTTGGTAAGAGGCGGTGTCACCATCCAAGGAAACATTGTTAGGGCCTTCTCCAAACACGATGATTCCTTTTCGGATGCTTGTAGTCTCTGTCGCTTCTTTTCTTTCAGTTTTTCTCAAACTCGAAGCCTCTGTTTGCGTCAAGAGGAGCGCAACTAGAAGTGCGCACACAGCTGCACAACTGACGTCTCGTTTGCGCCACATGGTTCTCACGCGTCGGACTCTGAACGTGAGAACCATGTGGCTGAGTTTATAAATGGTTCCCGACGATGTTCCGACCGATCACCACAGACTAGCAGCACCTGGTGAAAAATGTTCCCACGAATTATTATTAAAATAGCACAACACAATCTGAGATTTCAAATGATAGATTTTTATTGAATATCTGTGGAGAATACCACGTTGATTTTCCTTTTCTGTCTTTGTTTATGTATTTAATCAGTTCATTCATTCGAAATGATTTGATTTATTTTATATTTCTATTCTCTGCTTTATTTTCATGCCCTATTTATTTCTTCTGCCTGATGTATTATTTCCGCTCTCTTTAAAAAAAAATCATTGTTATTTTCTTGATTTTGCAAATTAAGGGGGCAGATAGTGACAGATATTTAGACCAAAGCAACCGATCGTGGAGACTGGCTCTCCCTGGATATATATGACCCACTTGTGCACATCATTTTCACTTTGCATTGGTGGTTTTTACAAATTTTTATATGTTTAATATGGACACTAGATAATAATAATAATGCATCGGTTTTATATAGCGCTTTTTTGGACACTCAAAGACGTTTTACATGTCATTATTCATTCACTCCATACATGGTGGGGATAAACTATTACTGTAGCCACAGCTGCCCTGGGGCACACTGACAGAAGCAAGGCAACCAGTATTTGCCATTGGCCCCTCCGACCAGCACCAACCATTCACACACACACCAGACTCATTCTAGGCAATGGGGGTAAAGTGTCTTGCCTAAGGACACAACGGCAGTTTGGCACTTTACAGCCGCCCCACTGTGGCATCAGGTGTTCCCAAAGGTTAAATGTCTTGCCAAGGACACAACGACAGCAGACACGACAGCACGACCCTGGCTCAAAGGCCAATGCTCTACCAACTGAGCTACTGTCGCCTAGATATTTGGTTGTTACTGTGAAAGTGCCCTAACCAGGCCCTGTCAGAAGTGAGTTAGCTCTCGCCTCTTCATCTCTGTGTCCACACGCATTTTCTGTAGAGAATGGTCGAGGCACAACACTAGAAAATAGTAAAAACATGCAGCGACACATGTGCCTCAGTGGGCCATAACCAGGAGAGCAAGCAGACCCATGATGGTACTATTACTTTGATTTATCTGTAGAGCTCCACCCCAATAATTAGCATTTTATCAACGGAATCGAGAAAATAATAATTCAGGCTGCAAAAATAAAGACAGCAGCGCATGCATAAGAAATGGGGAAGACAAATACAAAAATGAATGACAAGAGGAATAAATAAATAAATGCAAACAGAAAGTAATAATAAGGCTTCATTTCATTAGTTTTCAGCACAAAACAGATGCTTATCTGTATCTATTTTTCAAGATTTGTAGTGATAGCTTAATAATTATTATCTAATCCGGACCTTGTTTCATCATTTCATAGATTGTCCACTTGGAGAGCGCATTCCAAGCAAACACCAAATACAATACATCCATGGACCAATCTCAACTGGAGAAAAGTGGTGCAGAAAAAAACATTCATGATGCCAGTTTTTGAATAATGCTGTAAATATTAATTTGTTTATTTTATTTTAGGTAGGTGCAAAGGTCCTTCCTCAAGTGGATGAGTTAGTATTACACTTTGAGCTTAGACCCGGGCTGGTGGAGACTGTGTGTGGAGGTCGAGGGGAGGCTGTGTGAGAAGGTGTGTGGGGTAAGGAGCTATGTGGTATAGGCAGGGGCAGTTCTGTGGATACACTGGTGTGTGAGCAGGCAGAGTGTGTATTGGATTCTACTATAATGAATGGGGAGTCAGCGGAAGACAGGGGTGTTGTGGTCATATTTGCGCCTTCTTGTCTGGACCCGAGCCACACAGTTCTGGATATGCCAAAGCGTATGCAGGCTCTTGCCCTGGATCCTGACGAGGAGGGCATCACATTATGATCCAGTCTGGAGGAGATAAAGGCATGGACCAGTTTGTCTGCATTGGGTTGAGAAAGGGATGGGCGAAGTTTTGCAATGTTTTTTAGATGGAGGAAGGAGGTTTTAGAGAGGTGACGGATACGAATACGGTGGAGAGCTGTGGGTGAAGTTTGACTCCCAGGTCAGTGACAGGGGAATAGTACAAAGAACATGTTTCCCGTGATGAATAACGAAACGTCGGGCAAACCTGCTAACTGAAGTACAGATGATGGGTGGGCAACCTTTCTTTGTTTTGAGTAATCCCTGTACGACTGAGAGCTTACAAAAAAGTGTGCTGAATGACTGTAGGGGATTTGGATTTGACCAGCAAATGCACCATTATGGAAGAGTAATCGCCCTTGTAACTTAAATGTGTTTTGATACAGTGATTGTCATATCCTTGTTTGTTTGATATTGATGGTACATGGTACATGAGGGGAGGAAAACAAGCAGGTGCTGGTGATACCTTGGTTTGGTTTGGTGTACCACTGAGGATAGCCTCGGTTTTACGACTGTTTAACAAAAAATTGGAATGTCAAATAGGAAGGGATGTTTATTGATTTCAAGTGAGATGTGTCCATTTGGGAAGCCAACCTGGGACCAAGCTGCAACTCCCAATGTTTTGAGATGTTGGTTAAAAATATGTGCATAACCCTCTCCTTTGTCTGGATGTCATCGAGTGCACCAGTCCCTCCTGCAGCAAAAGGTTTATTTATTTGATCTAAATGTGTAGGTTGATAAGCCAAGAAAATAGGTATTCTTTGGGAAAGCTGTGCAGAAAGTGTGGTATTAAATTGTTTCTGCATCCAACATAACTACACCTGCGGACTGCCCTGCCCGACCTGCCTGGGAGTTCTTCAGTCCTGCACCGGACCTGTCCACGTTCAAAGGCCACTGGTCCACGTTCTGTAGCTTAGGTCCTGGATCTATAGCCCGTCCGTCCGTGTGGAGCGGATCCCTTTCTCAATTGTGGGTCTCCCCGAGGTTTCTCACTTTTTTCCCACTGGGTTTTTGTGAGTTTTTTTTTGGGCAGTTAGTGTCCAACAAAAAGGATGTGGTGATGATCCAGGACACTTAAACAACAACACGTATGGACATTTTCTTTTTAAAATGTGTTCTATATTCTTTCTGTGTTTTAACTGATGATTCTCTGATCTGTGTTGGTGATTTCAATGGTTTTTTTAAGTCCTCTGAGAAGACTTCTCTTGTGATTTAGGGCTATACAAGAATAAATTGTATTGTAATTGTATGACTGACAATGTCCTCGGAAAATGAAGTATCTGTTCACAGGTTTGACTTGACCCCTGCCCTCACTATTTGGGCAAATTGTTGCAAACAGTCCAGTCACTACATTAACTAAGGCCTTGCAAACAGTCCAGTCACTACATTAAGTAGGCCTTGCAAACAGGCCCCATTCTGTCGTCTTGTATATCTTCAACTCAGCGCTCTTCCTCTGGGCGCTCCAGGATGACATACATACACATGGCTCTTCACACTTCACTGCCTCTAAGCTGCACGTGATCCAGACACTGCTGACCGCTTTGAAAAGAGCTATTGTACAGCGGTAGTCTTCCTCCTTGTTCCTATAAGGTAAGTATTATTTATTTGCTTTACTAAGAATTATAATATTGTTTTGTCCATTAACCTTCCCCTCCTTTTATAGAAACAAAAATGCACTGAATTGAACTTAAGAATGGAACACAATGTCAATAGGTATTTTTTCTTTTTACATTTTTCACGACCTCAATCCCGTTATAACTGAAAATTAACAAGGCATTCACTCACGTTAGCAGTGTCTGTCGCTCTGGAACATTCACTCTGTGTCTAAATGGAGGACTATGATGTGGACATGGAAGAGGAGGATGGATTTTTTGTGATGAAGGCAAAACCGGTTAAACCCTGGTGGATGGACTTTGGTGAGGATGAGGAGATCCAGCACCGGAGCAGTACTCGGGGTTGTATGGTGAACAGTCGCAGCTGGGCAGAGGAGCTCCAGGATATCATTACTCAGGCCAAAACCGAAGAAAATTGTGATGAAGGGAGGACCAGACTGTCGAGTATCTCTGTGAGTAAAGGTCATCTAAAGCTTTATTTCCTATACATACTATAAATACATACAAAGCAGACATGACAGTATCAGGATTTCAACTTGAGCATAATGAGCAATGTCCATCTATCACACATCGGTTGGTTCTAACTGAAGCAGTGATAATGTGGGCTGCCATTCAATTCAAAACAAGATATGTCAGTGTATAGATAAATGTTGCGGTGTGAGGTGTATTGTGGTTTTGAAAATCCATTCATTCATTCATTTTCATTCATTTTCAACCCCCTTTATCAGTCCATTTCTGGGTCGGGGGGGTGGCAATGAGAGCTGCCACCAAATGCTCATAGCACCAGTTCCTCTGCAGGTGGTGAGTCCACAGGAAGATGGCTGCCCTGTCAGCGGTGAAACAGCCTTGGTCTTTCAGCTGGGGCTTCAGGCAATGTGGGTTCAAGTGTCTTGCCCAAGGACACAACAATAGTATACATTTGTGGGAGCAGTTGGAGTAGGTCCCATGGTGGGCTCAAACTCCCGACCTCTAGGCCATAAGGCCAATATATATATATAATATATAATATATATATATATAGCCTAAATGAAGAAAACATTAAATTGATTTTCTTGCTCTTGCCACTACATCTGACAGCAAAAGGAATATTTTGGAAATGAATATGTAAGAATCTGTAAAGACCAGAAGAAATATTAATGCTGAGAGGAGAGAGTTATTATTATTATTATTTATACCGCAGGACCCCTCTGAAATAATCAAGGCTTTCTCCTTTTTATAATGATTGAAAGTTGGTGAAAAGGGGCATTTTTATTGGTGGGATAATGTATGCTCAATGTTATTTTATATAACATTATTTTGAATATAGATAATATGGCTCTGTGGTCTGACCAATCAGGAATTCTGACCTAAAACACTGATAAGTTTGTATAGGCTCTCAGCGGCTAAAACACTGATATAAGGCACCAAGACTAACAAGTATTAAGAGACTCAAAGATTTATTGTCAAGTTTCTCACAGTGGGGGTGGGTCCCGGTGTTCTGTCGAGTTGTGCCGCCTCAGCTGTTAATGATGTATACTTGTTAGCTATAACTCTAAATTCAGCAATTAGGATATGTAAGAGCCAAACTTGTACAATTATTGGCCTGTGGGTGGCGCCTGTGTGTTGTGTCTGTGTGGGGGGTAGGTCTAGCATAAATAGGCTCTCATAATGAGCTGTTCAGGTGTGCAACTCGGGAGGGGCCAGTGGTTTTTGACTGCTACTTTTATGGAGTTTTGTTGTCGTAAAGAATACATGAATAAAGATTGATTTTATTATACCGAAATGACTCGTGGACTTATGCATGCATAAGTCCACGAGTCATACAATAGTATGAATGAAAATAGGGTGACAATGGGTCGGTAGAGCATTGGCCTTTGACGCTGAAGGTCAAGGGTTCGAGCCCACCACCAGACCGTCTCCATCGACTCCCACTGATGTCTGCTGTTGTTGTGTCCTTGGGCAAGACACTCAGCCCCACTTTGCCTGAAGCCCCCCGCTGAAAGACCAAGGCTATGCTCTCACTGACAGAGCAGCCGTCCTGTGGACCCTGACCCAGAAATGGATTAAGAGGAAGAAAATGGGTGGATCGATGTTACTGAAAATATCTCAATCCTAATAACAATAAGTATAGGCCATAATGGGTTAGGGTTAGTTTTAGTGGAAAATAAACCAAAATAAACACACAAAAAAACAAAACCATGTCTATAAAATCAACAAAAGCAGTACTTATCAATTATCAATTATCAATCTATCTGGGCTCCTGAGACACACATGTTGTGCTCTCACTGTCTGTGTGGTTATGTGACTTTAATGTTTAAAACATTAGTTCAACATTTTTTAGAGGACATGCTGAAAGCTAAGTCCACATCATGAATACAGCCCTGGCCCAGTTGAGATAAATACAGATGATCGTCGCAACAGAGACCTCTAGTGGTAGTTTTTAGAATACAATAAAATGGTTCATATTCATGTAGTGTAGTTCAGCCAGTATTGAGGAGAATACTGACTTAGCAACTGTATTGTGAACATAGGATTTGGGCGGCAGAGTGGTGAGCACTCTCATTAGGAAGATCCTGATTTAAAATCCTTGGGTGCTCCGGTTTCCTTTACCACTAAAAACATGTGTAATTTCTCCCACTCTCCGGAGACAGGACTCCCTTAAAAAATAAATTCTAAAAACTCAGTGGGACTTTCCTGGTTACGTGTTTTGCATTTTTTTATCATTAAATGTTGTTATTGAGAAGAACATCTCACTGTGCAATGCTATACAAATGATATGTAGATACGGATGTCCATCACATTTATACAGAGAACTTTGGTTTATTTTTATTTGTTTTCTTGCAATCACCTGTAAGATTAAATCCAGCCTGCAGGTCAAATACCACATTATATTGATAATGCATTGGTTTTATATAGTGCTTTTTGGACACTCAAAGACGCTTCACATGGCATTATTCATTCGGTGATATGAGTGGCCACAGCTGCCCTGCGGCAGACTGACAGAAGTGAGGCAACTAGTATGTGCCAAATTTGCTTGGTTAAATCCCTATAGCATGATGTGATCAAATGCTACTGTACATTTATACATCTAAAAATATGTTCTAACTGGATTAACATTTGTAAATTAATTAGCAAATGTAGCAAAAAGTTATCCATTTGTTATACGACGAAGTTAGAAACGAGGAATTTCTCACAGGTCTGAAATGGAAGAAAAAAAGTGGGAACTCAAGATAATTTCCTCCTAATTTAAGGAATTTTCATCTGAAAGCTATGTCCTTGCATGCCGTTTATTCGTTCACAAACGGCTTAAATCTGTGAAGCTTTTGCGATTTGCGACCTTTATACAATTACGATTACGATCCATCTCTCTGCCCGATCCCGGTTTATTGTTAAGACCGATGAAGAGGAGATGCAGAGTCATTTGCATCATGCTCTATCCCTCCCTCCTTCCCTCCCTCCCTGGCTCTCCTGCACGCAGCTGCAGTAACCGTGCGTGCGTCTCCTGGGTCTCGATTCACTGCAGCGCAAAGGAAAAAAGGCAGGACGGCTGTTTTCGTCCGATGCGCTGAAGAATGGTGCACCAGGAGAAACGCGTCTACCAGGTCTGTCGATGCAGAGATTTAGTCGCGTTTATGTTTTGGGATGTAGCAGACGAGAACTGGATTATTCCAGGTATAGGCACGATGGGTGTCCATTGGAGATGGCGATCAGCTTCACAGGAGGAAGATGTGGGTGTGTCATAACGGATGCAGATTTGTCTCATTTTATTGCAGCTAGTGTAAGGATCTATTGAATCAATAACAGTTCCTGAGAATAAAACTACACACACACACTAAACCTAAAAGTCTGTTTATGATTTCATTAAATGACATAATGAATAAAGAAAGACATTTGAAGGCCTAGAAAATGTATTTTAATTATGCAAGTTTTTGTGTTTTATGTGAATGTGCGCACATAGTTCATGTGTTGACAACAACATAGATTGTCTACAGCGGTGTCCCATGTAAATTTGTTCCTAAAAATACACAATTGAGTATTGCAGTTTCATAATTTGAATGATACAACTGATAATCATGAGTGATGAGTTTTTGCTTGACTTTTGAGGTTGCCAGTGAGGCTTCATGATCCACATTGAGTCTGCTGATAAGGCTATGGCTGTGTGTGAAATTCTTGTCTGCATAATTTCTGTATCATGATTCTCCCGTCCATCTAAATGTCCAACTCCGATGAATGTAAAACTGAGAAAGAAATCTAAGTAATGTGACTTTTCCCTTTTTGGCAGTGTCCATTTGTGTGCGTAGCATCTATCCTCCTCTTCATCAGTAGGTGTGCAGCTATTTTTGTAGACGTGACCTATTTCTCACAGTTACGCTCAATCTCAGGAGACGCAGCAGCACAAACAAAAAACAAGGTTGCAGAGAAGGAAAGAAGACAAAAGATGAATACTAACTAAGTGATGTTATTCTTGTCAGGCCCAGAGGAACGAGAGGGAGTCCATCAGGCAGAAACTTGCCCTTGGCAGTTTCTATGACGACGAGCCCGTCATCTACACCAGCAGCTGCAGCAAAAATGGACCATCCTCCCGGTGAGAATGTCCGGCCACATAAACTCCAGGAAAATGCAATTTGTTTCATGTGTTCAGTTGGATGTCAGCACACATACAGCGCTTCTAAAGCAATGGTATCAAACTGGTTCCAGAAAAGGCCGGTCTGGCTGCAGGATTTCATTTCAACCAAGAAAGAGCACACCAGACCATTTCCTCAAGTTATGTTTCAGGCTGGACTCACTTGAGGAAATGGATGGATTCTGGTGCTCCTGCTTGGTTGGATTGAAATCCTGCATCACATCGACCCTTTGAGGCCCGGTTTGATGCCCTTGATCTAAACGTTTTATAAGGGACTATCTAAGTAAGTATTGTTGATTTATACAGCACATTTTACAGACCGTGGTCACCCAAAGCACTTTACAATGTTCAGAGCTTAATTCATCAAGAAACTAAGCAGCACATGTCCTAGAACTAACCTGCACACGGTATTCAACTTTGCACCCACAGTTTAGCACCTGGATTCATATATGAGGCCCATAGAGTTATAATATAAGTACTGTATATATTCTGTAATCAATTCATGAACTGTTCATGTGTTCCTCTCATTCCTGTCAACACGTGTGTCTTCACAAATGAAATATATACTCAGACATTTATTAATTTATTATTGTGAAAAGTACAATATTTTTTGTTGTTTAAGAAAGAAAAAAGATGCGTAATGGTCACAATTTTGAAATTTGTAAACATGTAAACGGACTCTGCAAAACACTGATAAACGTATAATATGCTTGATTCTAGGCATTTTATTGCCTAAAAACAAGGTTAGCCAAATGACAAGGGAACATTACATATTTTTGACAATATGTTTCTCATGAAATTACTTGACTTTTTACAAAACAAGAATCTTTTTATTACATAAAGATTATTTTTATGTAATATTTTCCGTTGCATTTTAATTGTTGCCTTGCTATGTTTTTGAATTATGAGATTTTCACTATCAGAAATCTAAAGGCATAAAACTCCTTTTGGTTAAGCTGGTTTTGAGACTGAAACCTAAAATTAAAATAACTTTAAGCAATCGCTGACTTTTGATATTTTTGGCAGTGCAGACATGCAAAAAATCTGTACTGTAAAAGCATTTATGAAATGGCAATGGGCTTATTGTGAAAGACTGGCATAGGAAATGTGGTTAGTCTCAACAAATAATCAATTCTCGCAACGCCATCTTTACACTCAAAGGAGTTTCTTTACAAGTTTCAATTGAAAATGTTGCTGAATGTGAGATTGGCCTTTCAAAGTGATGGGAATGTCTGGTTTTATAGTTTTGTTTGATTCCTTCGTCACAACCCATAGATGAGACAGAGTTGCATTACATCAGCAGTGTTATGGTTAACCAAAGCCACACTCCTCTGCTCGCTTTCCAATAAAGTGAGCCTGCTCTTTCTCTTCGAATGGGCGTTCTTTTATTTACATCCTCATCAAACTCACACCAGCGGTTAGCTAGAGGAAGTGCTGAGCGTGAGGTCAGGTGCAGCTAGAATAGGAAGTACACCTTACATGTCAGTGTCTACAGTCATACATTACGCCCTCATGTTAAAGGTGAAATGTGGTCTTGACGAGGGATTGCTGTGGGAATGGAGGAAAGTAGACTCTCAGCCCAAAGTTTACTACAGTGACAATGCTGTTGTGATGTAATGGTCGAAAGTTCTCAAAGTTATATACATTTTAGGGGGGGGGGGGATTTACTAATCTCTAAATTGGCTGTGTACTGTATGTTAAAGATTTCACTCTGCTATTTCAATGATATGTCTCTGCTTTATGGATGCTTAATGGTGAAGTGGTTGTGTTGTTTGTGAGGTGTTATTTTTACTCAACTTGACACACTTTTTACAGCTGTTCAAAAGGGAAATGGATTTGGAGCATGTGTGCCACCAGGCGATATAAATAAAAACCACTACAATAAATGAACAAAACTGAAAGACTCGTTAATCGTGAATAGGCCAATAAGTAAATTTCTACATTTTCGTGACACTGTAGCATGCAATGACCTGATACATGCTTGTTTTGTGGCCGTTCAACAGTCGGCAAAGTGCTGTGAATCTGCAAGTGTGCTTCGTGAACGACAGCAGCAGTGATAAGGACAGTGATGCAGAGGACAGCAGGACAGAGACCAGCTTGGACACTCCTCTGTCCCCTGTGGTATATACCATCTTTTTGCATCAAGATTTTTCACTTTTTTAATGTTACAATCATTTGTTTTTTGACTAATTTGCGTCCTTGTCTTCCTGTTCAGAGCAAGCAGAGCTCCTCTTTATCAGACCGGGACACAACAGAGGAAGACTCGGATGCCTTAGATGACTGTGGGGGGTTCTGGAGGGTTCAGCGAAGGCTGCAGGAGGAGGCACGAGTGGCTCTGGCCCTGGCACGGCCCATGGCTCGAATGCAGGTGGAAGTGGAACGGCAGATCCAGCTTCATCGGAGGTCACCTGTGGCCGACTTGGTGAGGCAAAAGTATGACATAGACACCCCATCATAGATCAATCATTGAGTTCAATTTTTTAGTCATTTGTCTGTGGGGGAAAACATGAACAACCACTAAAAACCTTTTGTGTTCAAAGGAAATCCCTCTCCAAAGAGCACTAGTCCACTATCTGAACTACATTTACCCACACAGTACTTGTCATCATTTAATTAGTCATTTCATTGATTAGGACCTGTTATGAACGGAAGGTCATGACAGATCATAAAAGCACTAAAGGCCATACAGGACCAAACAGAGGAAGGTTTATGTATATAATGTACTGTATGCGTAATATGTATGTAAGTATGTATCTGTGAATGTGAATGGCAGATATTGTATTTACATGATTGTATGTATAGAAGTATAGATGTATATGTATGTATGTGTATGTATTTATGTGCAAAACATATCAAAGAACAATGTAAATAATCCTAAAATGTAAATAAAAAAATATTATTTTATCAAAAAAATAAAAAATAAAAATGAAATAAATAAAACTAAATTGAACATTCAAACAGTGGTGGGAGAAGTTTTTACTTCTTTCCTGCTCCATTTCGAGCTGACACATTGTAAATATTGAAAATGTAAATATACCGATGCATATCCATGTTTAAGTATTTGCATGTGTAAGCATATACTGTAAGCACAGAAGGAAACATAACAATGTTCAAAAGTTCTCCATAAACAAAGGGATTTCAATATATTTGAATAAATGGATAAAATAAGTACGTAATCTACTTGTAAAGTCTTAAAGCACTTTACAATTGTGGGTATTTGTCTCTCACTCCACCCAGAGATGGGAACGAGTAAAATAAAATCAATCAATCAAATGTTGTTCGTCTTCAGCTTCCAAATCTTCCTCACATCAGCGAGGGTCTGATGAAGCGGACTCTGCGGCGTGGGGACATGAGGCACATGAACCTTGGACAACTGCAAGTCATCACCAATGATTTGCACTCCCAGGTTCAGAGTGAGTACACACACAAGCTTATGGTTAGATCAGTTTCTTTATCAAATGAATAAATAACATTCTACTGTGATGCACTGCAGGCCTAAATGAGGAGCTGGTACAGCTGCTGCTCTTACGGGACGAACTTCACGTGGAACAGGATGCTATGCTCGTCGACATCGAAGACCTGACGCGGTAAACTAAACTTTGATCTTCATTTGCTAAACATGTTTATTTGACAGAAACAAAAAAATGCTTTTGTTTTGTTTTGACAGACATGCTCATACCCATTATCAACACCAGGCAGAGAAAGCCTTGTCAAAATAAGAAGCCTGTCTTGCACGCTCTCGCCACACAACACGGACTGTTGTCCATGTTTATAGTGACTCCATCTGTGCTGACTGTCCCTTGAGAAATAACTGCATCAACATTTTTGACAACACCATATTTGCTGGATACAGAAGGAAGGATATAGCTTTGGGAATTGTCCACAAGAGTTTTGACTTCTTTCATAGCATGAACACAAATTGTTTATATAACAGTATAACATCAGCCATTGTTCCCACAAATACATGAATAAATATACTGACATGGCCACATGAAATGTAACATGGCGCCTGAAGACAGGACCGCTTCACCTCATATTTATTTTTAAATGTTTTGAGCAATATACTATTCTAGGATGATTCTTTTGTCAAATATACTCCACATGTTATTGTTCCATTAGAGGGATCGTTGATGTGAAAGTGGAGACGACTAAATGAAAATTATGCAATGCGTATTGCTCAAGTTTACTACTAAGATGTATCTTTGTAAACATGATGATATAGAAAGACATTTATTTATCATAACATACAAAACATTTATAAACATTAATATAAAAGACTTTAGAGATTTGAAGGAAATGCCTTGTTAAGCTATAGGTTTTCACTCTCGCTTTTTACCACAGGTGTCTTTATATGCTTTATCATTGGTTGTAAAAATAAAAGTGTGTGAACAAAATGAGTACGTTGTTGTAATGTGAATTTCCCATGTTCTAACACTTACACTCATGAGTATTGACTGTGTGTGGAAGACCTACTCCATAGGTGGGGTTCCCCACTCCAAACCTTAACATATAGTCAAAACACTAAACCTATGCAGCTTTTGGTAAAAACCACACTGTCAATTATGACTAAACTTGAATTTTTGGAAAATTTGCCAATGGGTCAAGAAAAAAAAAAAGTTTTTGGATATACGCACAACTACTACTATTACTACTACTACAACCACTAGAACTATTATTTATACTACTAATACTTGGATGAAGGACTAACTATTATCAAATTATCAAATGATGTCCATAGAAACGTTGACCCTGATCAGAAGTCTCCATCCCCCAATTCTCACTAGCGTGTATTCCCATTTACCACACATGAAGCTTGGAGTCCTCAGAGGTTCTATATCCTCTGATGCTAATGCTGTCCATTCTTCTTGGCAAAAAGCCTGTCAATTCCCGGGCCGCCTTGCATGAACTGCACATTTGACCTCCCCACTGTTAATGTTTTAATATGAAAATAGAATACATTATATTTTATGTTTATATATTTCATATATTTATTTTTAAAACGTCACACACACAGTAGGAAAAAAGGCTTTCGGTTTTATACATTTTCTGCGTATATACATAAAAAAAACCAAAATGAAACAAAATAAACAGAAATACACAGTTTATACAGGGGGTTGGATGAAGCAGACGCTTCTTATCTTTAATGATCTCCCAAATATATTCATATTTGCCTCACACATCATTTGTCTTGAACTATTGTACAATTTCTTTGTGGTATGAGAAACTGAAGCACCCAGTGAGGCACTCATCGCTGCGCCACCGTGACACAAAGTTGTAGAATATATCATATATATTACATATATACACAAATATTGTATATATTGTACATTTGGTCAGTGCTATGAGGGAACAAGGAAATGACATAATCTTGAGTGTGCACTTTCATTCTACAGTTAGGTGTTATGTCATCATGCAACACACTCCATGAGAGGGAAACCCCTGCCTCCTCTGCTCTCTATAAAACTTTAAGGATGGAGGTTTGTCACTCACAATCCAACCTTTACTGGAGACAAGATGCTGCCTCTATGTAAGTATACTTACTACTATTTATTATTCTGCGTAAACAAATACTTTTATGCTAATGTTATGTCTCTGTTTTAGATCCTGTATATCTGCTCATTCTATTGGCCATATGTCAAAGAAGTTTAACATTACCAGTTAAAACTAAAGAGCCAATGGCTGATACATGTACTGTCTATTCACGGGCGCTTTTGAATGACATCTCTGATGCCCTTTCCCCGGACAACATCACACTGCAGGTAAGAATATACACAGAGTAGAACCCATATTTCATTTCACACACTATTTGTAAATCTGCGTATAAAAGATTTAATCTAGATCTATACTAGTCACAACAAATGAGGTATCTTTGGCTTGAATTAAAAAAGCACAAATCTCACAAATGTCTTATTAATTTGACAAGACATTTCAATTGACATTTTCATGTGTTTTGTGCTTTTTTAATCAAAATAAAAATTAACTATGAGTGGTCTGTAAACAGTCCTCCACACCATGCTGCAAACATTTTGATAGCATGAGACCAAAACAAAATCTAAGCCTCATCAGCACTCAATTTTGAGGCTTCAAACAGACTGAAGTGTTACAGAGTCATCAGCAGGTTCCATTACAGAGACAAGAAGAGTCAAGGCTTTGTGGCCACATCGCTGATGACCACTTGTAAACAATAACGTGCAGGACCTAATAATACATATTCCACTCCAGCGAGGTGTGTCACATCAGGCTCTCTGTACACAAGGACAGCCTCATTGTGTTGCGTGGGTGAGGGGGCCTTTATGCTGGACAAGGGGCCACTGAGCCTGAGTGCTGTTCTCTGATGAAAATCCATCCAGCAGAAATGATGGCCGCCAACAATGTTGGAGAGTGCTACATCAGCCGCAGTTGTCATATGCACTGCAACTGAACCAAATGACAGAGATCGAGACATTATTCTCACCTTATAAATTTGTTTATTTTCTTCCTACTGCTTTTGTAATAAAATGTTTGAGAAGAAGAAATCACTACAGCATGTTTTGACTTAAATACCCAATAAATACCTGCTTCTATGATCTAATTTAACTTCTGTGTCTTGTATATTTTACAGGAAATGTTGTTTAAAGGGATAAATTGCACGCAACAAAGTGTAGACCTCAACATAAACACTGACACGCCATCAGCCTGTGCACCTCATGTAAGAGGATTTTCTAAAAAAACAATGTATTCCCATAATGAAATGGTTTGTAATATAGTTTTCTGTCAAACAGGGAACAAGCTGCTTTGGAGAGTCAGAATCAAACTTTAATCAGGTAAGGCAAATAAAACTGCCCTATGAAAGTGTAAGTAGCAGGTGTTATATAATAGTAGTATGATAAATTCTGATTTCTGTCCCAGGAGACTTGCAAGCACAGCATTGGGAAGGACCTGCATCATTACTACATGTTCCTGACAGCCCATCCCGGCCTTCACATGATCCTTGAAAACACTATTCTTCTCAGGCTGAGACAGCTCATTATGGTAGCTTATGCTTTTTCACTATTTAAATTGTTCTATTCAAATTGTACATACAAACACACATTTATATGAAACACTTTTATGACTTTTAGAATTGCTTCCCACGGGCTATTGCACCTGAAGACCGCAATCAGGTAAGGTCGCCTCATACACACATAGCTAACCACTCAGCACACAGTCAATAATGAATGTTCTCTTCTGCAGTCTTCAACAGAGAGCCTGAGCAGATACGACGACCGGCTGAGTCTGTGTAAAACACTGAAGGGCTTTCAGATCCGCACCATCACCATCAACCGGGCTCTAGGATACATACAGTCTGGGGAACACAACAAATAACTATGGTCAAACTCCAAAGTAACACCTGTGATGTACTTATTTGCAATGTATTTGTATTTATTCATTTATTTATTTATTAATATCATATTTATTTAACTTATTTATTTGTAATAATAGTGTTAAATTGTATAATTAAAGGATATTTGAATTAAAAAAGTGAGTATTATTTTTTCAGGTGTTAAAAAGGTTAAATTCAAGTGGGGGTGTATTTGTATCTTGTTATTCAGCACAAGTATCAGCATCAAAGTAATATTTCCTTATGTTGGAAACTCAAGACCAAATTACTTAAATAAAATAAATTGACTTATTGAAACCTGTTTACCTGCCACGTTCACAGCTTGATTTAAAAGGAATACAGAAGTAGTGGGAGAATGGAAAAAGGAGTCTCATTGATTCATATTTGAGCAAGGTGTATTCATGGCTCTATAATAATAACGGGGTGTATTCACGGTCGCCAAACGAAAACATCTGGTGTGTGGTGCCCCCTAAAGGATTTTGAAAACAATTGTTTTTTTAAGTGCCAATTAGAGCAACTGTATATCATGGATAGTAAGCTACATACTAACAAAACCAACGTCATCATTATATCACTGCTTAGCGGAGAATTATCACTGCAGACGTACTACTACTACTACTACACTACTACTGGAATGCGCACTTTATATATACGCCTATATATACTCACTTTTGGCAAATTGACAACTTTGTGACATCTTCTGCGGCAAGTCTTGTGATTTAGGGCAATAGAAAAAAAGTAGAATAGAATATAATTATTCACAGCCTATGATTTGAATGCAATCTGCTGACATGTCGTTGACGCAGGCGCAGAAGACTCAAATCAAGACGCGCGAGCACACCTGTTGAGCTTGCTCCAACCACAGCCCGAACATGTCCGCTTTGATAATACGTCTGTGTCTTCTACTAACTTTGACTGAAGGCCAGAGGTTCGTGCGTGGGGCAGAACGTTACCAAAAGCCTACGCGACATGAACGCTATAATCTTGTCCTGGAGCCGGAGTCGGAGCCGGAGCTGGACCTGCAGCTGGAGCCGAAGCCGGAGCTCAGGGCGGGGGCAGTAGTTGTGAGGTGCCACGCGGACTCTATGGAGGTCCTCGTGCACGCGGACTTGTACAGCACGGGGCTCCGCGTGGACGGCGCTCACCTCCGTCTGGGTTTTCAAGAACACAAGAGTCCAGAGAAGTGCAGAGCGGCGGCCACAGGACCCAGCGAGTACACGCTTCAGAGCCTGCTCATGGACTGTGGCACTGTCAAACACCCAGTAAGGCTTTCACACACCCGATTGATTCAGGCTGGACGATGTTGGGATTATAGTATATCACTCCCTACTGAAACAACACGTTTAACATAATACTCTGACGTTTCGCCGTGGTTTGCATTAGTCATTGATGCTTATAGGAGCTACACGTGTCACAGATAGGATTCCGGCAACAAAAGTGTGATTGTAAATTGAATGATCGTTTATTACATACAATCCCTTTTTAAACGTATGATTATCTTGAAATAAGTTGGAAATGATAGAAGTGCTGCATACCTAGCAGATGAAGTTTGTCCACGCTCCTATTAGTTTTCTTTAAATCAATACAATGTGAAGTATCTTTGTACAGTAATCTAAGTTGTTTTATAACTTTTGAATAGTTTTTTTGCTGTCACTTCTGAGTTACTTCAAAAATGAATGTTTTAGGATGCTCTCGCCACTGCTGAAGTCGTATAGATAGTATAGTTTCCCTGTTAAGCTGAAACTATTAATCTGTCTTTTTCTATAGTCATCAGAAGAGATCGTCTACTCTAATGTACTGATCTATGCCCCAAAACCTTCTTCAGAGGGGTTGTTGAGACTGGGTGGAGCAACCATTCCAATTAAATGCCATTATAACAAGTTGAGTGCAGTTTGAACATAGTAAATCAACAGCAGCCTATGTTAAGTTGACTTTCCCCTTTTTCTCTTGTGTTCATGCAGGTTTTATTCTGTAAATCTCCTTCCTCTTTCCCCCGATTGGTCCCCTTTCATTTCCCACACCACAGCTAAGAGTAAACTGGATTTCAATCTGAAGCTGATGACTGGTAGGTGCAAATGTCTCATTATTATTTCATCTGTGTGGTGTTAGTAGTAAAACAAAAAAAGAACAGTGTTTGTGCTTCCCAAGTTTTTTTTAACATTGCTCTGCTACGTAATGTCTTCGTTAAAATGAAGTGACAAGGCTATCGACACACTTTTTCGCTAATAGAATACAACATATTTAACTGTGAAATGTTTCACAATGGCTGTACATCTGTCATGATCTTAGGAGATTGGCAGTCCGAGAGAGGGAACCATGCGTATTATGTGGGTGATCAAATTTACCTTGAAGCATCATCAGTCTTTGGAAACCATAAGCCCCTGCACATCTTTGTGGACCGCTGTGTGGCCACAACCACCGCAGATGAAAACGCAGCCTTAAGATATGACTTTATTGATCACGGGTGAGAAACTTGCACAGAAGGGACAGGTGGTAGTTCTTTTATGACTGCTTGTTGTATGCTTCTTCTAGATGTCTTGCTGATGCGTATCTGACAAACTCCAGTGCAAGATTTCGCTTAAGAACCGAGAAACACAAGATTCAATTTCAACTAGATGCTTTCAAGTTCTACCAAGAAAAAGCTGACCAGGTGAATTTAAGTTATGGCTTTCTCAAATGATTCTGTAAGACTTAGTTTCTTGTTATTGACTGCATTTTTGATTTTATGAATGTATGGAAATTTATTGAAGAGATTATTAAGTCTCAACCTAAATGTTTTGGTTCGAAATAATGTAGAAGTAATAATAAAATAACTTCTCTATTCTTCAGATTTTTATCACCTGCCACCTAACTGCTGTTCCATCTTTGGTCAACGTCAAATCAAGACACAGAGCTTGCTCACTCATTGCAAACAGGTGAATTAGTCCCGAACAAATTATCTGAGTACTTCCATGTAAACGTCTTTCTGTTTTAGATGGCGTTCTGCTGACGGAAATGACGAGGACTGTGGGAGTTGTAATATTCCTTATCCGGTTAAAGACTTTTCCACCACTGCACCGCCCACAGTCTCCTCTCAAAGAAGCAGAAATATACCTAAACTACTTCCAGCCAGTTACATGCGTGTCCGGCCAACTCATTCAAAGCCTCATTCAACTGCGACGATGAAAGAAGGGATAAGAAAAGGCAATTAAAATCCATTTCTTTAAACACATACCACATTGGAAGTGTGCTTATTTTGAGTGGAAGAATATTGGGTTTTAAACTATTGAGACACAATGTTAAACCAAGTCGTGCAAAAAATATTGAGGGAGTCGTCTTCCTGTGTGCTGCTGTTTTTTAGGGACTGTCTTTCTCGGACCCCTCGTTGTCCTCCCTTCTCAAAGATAATCACTTTACCCCAACAAAGAGGCCAGTGATGACATCAAAGTGACGTCTTGAGGCAAGGTTTCACTCCATTTCCTTGTGACTAAAACCTTCTGAACACCAGCACTTGGTTATTTTTATACTTTTAATATTCTTTTACATTTTGTTCTTTTTAAAATTACATTTACTTTATCCCCAGGGCAATTTTGTGTAAGTTTCTCTGCTTCATGATCATTAGTTACTGTTTAGCTCCTGACATTAGCCACTGGCATTTTCATTTCACATGACTGCTTTTTGCAAGAGAAGAGCAGACTCATTTAGATATCATAGTTTTGACCATAACGCCACAATCTACTAATGTTTCGATCTAGATGCTCTAATCCTAATCTGGCTACTCTATTGAACAAATATTCTTCGAATATGTGTAAGATTTGCATTGTTCATAGACCACATCAATTATTCAGTTTCTTTGTAATAATAAAGTAAAACTGATGAATAAGCAAATGTTATGTTTCTTTTAGCCACTGTACGTCTAAGTATACACTGAAGGCTTTTAAAAATCGCTTTGGCTTGAGTTGACCCTACATTATACACAAGCCTATATTCAGATTGCTAATGGAACGTTGAGCTGTGGCGCACGAGCCAGCGCCCTGACACGCGCTTCCTGGGCGTGTGCGATGCGCTGTCTGTGGTGCTGAAACGACCCTCTATGCCTATATGGCGATTGAACTTACCTGTTTTAAACCCTCTTCCTACCATAAACTAAGACTTATGGGCTTCTTTCTGGACTGGTCGATTAGCTGGGCGCCTGATGACTTGTGGCATTATAAATAAGCATGTATGCTGGGCCAACTGTGGGGGCTGACGCCATCAGACGCTCCGCTAAGTGCATAATGTATCAGAGAGCGCCCACTTAGACCCAGCCCACTTTCGCTTCTGTAACTGAAGAGGCTGAAGCCTACTGCTCTTTGACTCTCCGTGTTCGGACTGGGTTAGTCTGATGGCCCAAAGTGCAGTTTGCTCTCTTACTTTGGAATTCAAATAGTTATCAGATTATTTCCTCAACGCCTCTGAACAAATTCAGATTCTTCGAAGATCATGCTTTTGGACAACATCCTACTAGTGGCTATTTTAACACTTCTATGTTTTACGTGCAAGTGTGTTTTCGCCATACGCAGGTGTGGACAGAGCATATGCAGTGATTATCAGGTGTGCTGTGCGCATGGAAATGACACCGCCGTAGTGACTTGTTGCAGGGAACTCGTAGACAGCACCTACTACAACATCGCCATGGTCACACGGAAACTTTCTGGGGTTCTCATCATGTTGCTGCTGTTTGCTTTCGGGTACTTTGTGCAGAGGATGCTATGTTCCCGGTCCAGGCAGCTCTCTGCTCCAAACAGCGGACCCCCCACCGCTGCTACCTCCCAGGAGATGCTCATAGAGAACTATACGCCAGACAGCTTGCGGAGTCCAGCCATGAGCGCTCCACTGCCCTCATACGAGGATCTAAAACGGCTTCCAACGTATGAAGAGACGATACGCGAGTCCTGCATACAACAGGGGACTCTCACTTAAATCCATTCAAAGTAGCTACAATAACTGGATAACACCACACCAAAATAATCTGCTACTTCAACACATTTATTATATACACGTGAAACAAACTTCTTTTTTTTCATAGCCGAATAAATTATCCCCAGAGCGCATGTTTTTTGTGGTCCTCCAAAACATTACGAACAAAAGGTAAAACTGTAGTGTTGTACCAGAACATGTGCATCAAGCCTGTGGGGTCTAATGTCAGTTTCCACTTCTGAAATATTGCACAGTTTCCTTGATGTGTCCCTTGACTCCTGTCACATGTGTGAGTTTAATCATGTGGACCAGCCGCCTGAAGGCCTCCTCCAGTCCAGAACCGGTGGATGCAGAGCACGGCTGAACGAACCAGTCTCGGTCCGGGCACAGTCTACTCAGGCTTAAACCATTCTTGATCTCGGAGACTGTCATCGCGCCCTCTACATCCTGTTTGTTTGCCAGCACCACCAGGGGACGGCAGTGCAGCTCGTCACTGCCCAGGGTCAGCTCAAGCTCTCGCTTCGACTCGTGAAACCGCGTCCGGTCAGAACTGTCCACCACGAACACGATGGCCGCGGTGTCCTGGTAGAAAGTCATCCAGTGCTCTCTCATTGGACCTTGTCCGCCCACGTCCCACATGGTTACGGCAATATTCTTTCTGTTTTTCCTCACCTCAATCATTTCCACGTTGAATCCTACGGTCGGACTGGTTTGTACGCAGATCTTGTGTTTGAGTTTGTAGAGAAGAGTGGACTTGCCCGCATTATCCAGACCCAAAAGCAGAATCCGAGCCTCTGGTAATTTGGTTCCTTTTTGACCCATGTCTTGGATCACGAAATCAAACTCTGCAGCCTGACTTCCTTGTGTGTGTGTGTGTGTGTGTCTGTCTGTTCGTGCACTGCGCTGGCCATGTTTAATAAGTGATGTATTAGTCCCATAACTCGGCTGAACTGATAAGCCACACCAGAGGACAAAGTTTCAGTCACTTTACAACTTCGTTTTCTCTCATTTAAAGGTACATTGCACAGCGTTTTGCTTGTGTCAGTCTGCTGTTTTTCCTGGAATCCGTCTAAGTGCACTTTGCAGGCAAAATGACTGACCACACAACCTGGTATTGAGCTGTGAGTGTGGTGGTTCAGCTCTTTGCTTCTGTTTTTAAATGTGCAATATAAATCAATTTTATTTGAAGTTCGTTACAACCCACTGTAAAATTAAAACTATTTGCATTCTGTACCATGATTAATTTTCTAAATTTGTAATGATTGATATAAACCAGACAATATGGAAAATTCTGTAACATAACAAAACTACAAACTTTTTATTTTTATATACAACAGTTACAATTCTCAGACTAAAACTTTCAACTCCTCAATGTCCCATGTTTGCTCGCCTAAACTTTCTGATCACTTCTTTTTGTCATGGATCACAAACATGACATGGAAAATCATAAGTAATCTTTAAGTGTATCCTAATCAATATTTCAACTGTTTTAGAAAATTATGTGAAACTGAAAAAAAGGTCCTGAAACTGAAGATGCTATAGAAAGAAACTATACTAAAATAAAATATTAAATCAAATGTGTAATTAAACAATGCCAGTACATGTTTGTGGGAAGCCATGGGTCACTATAGAAAGTGTCCTGAGTGAATGTTTAGGACCAGTTGAGAAATAAATATTTTAACATTCACTTTGTATTTCTTCTTTGACTCATGGGTCTGACTTGAATAATGCACAGTGAATAAGTGAATTCTTATCATTATCACATTCACTGCAAGTGTCAGTTATTTACATCTCTGCTTCCACCCCACCTCAGCTCCAGCCCCTCCACAATCTAGTCAGTTTTACATCTTACTGTTCCAAGAACCTTTGTCAAAACATGATTGGCCTCAATCCTCTCCTGAAGAATAACACTAGCAATGACTCAACGATTCAGGAGGTAATCATGAACATGCATCTTTATCTGAGCCTTGATTGCATTCAGGTTTTCATGGTGCAACAACTAGAAGGATTGAGTGACTCAGATTCCATTTTGAAAGTGTCTTCAGGTCCATGTTGATGCTGATGGCCACTTTTCTCTATCAGAAAGCAGAATTGAGTCTCATTTAGGTTGCCATGGAGTAATCTGGTTTGATACTCAGACCTGAACTCCTGAAGCTGTATTCTAGCTGAATATCCATCCATCCATCCATTTTCTTCCGCTTTATCCGTTGCCGGGTCGCGGGGGCAGCAGTCTAAGCAGAGACGCCCAGACTTCCCTATCCACACACACTTCCTCCAGCTCATCCGGGGGGACCCCAAGGCGTTCCCAGGCCAGCTGAGAGACATAGTCCCTCCAGCGTGTCCTAGGTCTTCCGCGGGGCCTCCTCCCGGTGGGACGTGCCCGGAACACCTCCCCAGGGAGGCGTCCAGGAGGCATCCGGAACAGATGCCCGAGCCACCTCAACTGGTTCCTCTCGACGTGGAGAAGCAGCGGCTCTACTCCGAGCTCCTCCCGTGTGACTGACTGAGCTCCTCACCCTATCTCTAAGGGAGCGCCCAGCCACTCTGCGGAGGAAGCTCATTTCGACCGCTTGTATCCGCGATCTCGTTCTTTCGGTCATTACCCAAAGCTCATGACCATAGGTGAGGGAGGGAACGAAGATTGACCGGTAAATCGAGAGCTTTGCCTTTCGGCTCAGCTCCCTCTTCACCACAACGGTCCGATACAGCGACCGCATAACTGCGCACGCTGCACCGATCCGCCTGTCAATCTCACGCTCCATTCTTCCCTCACTCGTGAACAAGACCCCGAGATACTTGAACTCCTCCACTTGAGGAAGGACCTCTCCACCCACCTGCAGAGGGCAAGGCACCTTTTTCCGGTCGAGCACCATGGCCTCGGATTTGGAGGTGCTGATTCTCATCCCAGCCGCTTCACACTCGGCTGCAAACCGCCCCAGTGCATGCTGCAGGTCCTGGTTCGTTGGAGCCAACAGGACAACATCGTCCGCAAACAGCAGAGATGAAATCCTGTGGTCTCCGAACCGGACCCCCTCCGACCCCTGGCTGCGCCTAGATATTCTGTCCATAAATACAGTGAACAGAACCGGTGACAAAGGGCAGCCCTGTCGGAGGCCAACATTCACCGGGAACAGGTCTGACTTACTGCCGGCAATGCGAACACAGCTCTGGCTCCGGTCATACAGGGATCGGATGGCCCTCAGCAGAGGACCTCCGACCCCGTACTCCCGGAGAACCCCCCAAAGGACACCCCGGGGAACACAGTCGAACGCCTTCTCCAAATCCACAAAGCACATGTGGACAGGTTGGGCGAACTCCCATGAACCCTCGAGTATCCGATGGAGAGTATAGAGCTGGTCCAGTGTTCCGCGACCGGGACGAAAACCACACTGCTCCTCCTGGATCCGAGATTCGACCATCGGCCGTAACCTCCTCTCCAGTACCTTGGAGTAGACCTTACCGGGGAGGCTGAGGAGTGTGATCCCACGATAATTGGAACACACCCTCCGGTCCCCCTTCTTGTAGAGAGGGACCACCACCCCGGTCTGCCACTCCATTGGCACTGCCCCCGATCGCCACGCGATGTTGCAGAGACGTGTCAGCCAAGACAGTCCTACAACATCCAGAGACTTTAGATAGTCAGGGCGGATCTCATCCACACCCGGAGCCTTGCCACCATGGAGGCTACCAACCACCTTGGTGACCTCAGCCAGGGAGATGGATGTACCCGCCCCAACATCCTCAACCTCTGCCTCTGTAACGGAGGACGTGACGGGGGGATTGAGGAGAACCTCAAAGTATTCCTTCCACCGCCCGACAATATCCCCAGTCGAGGTCAGCAGCTCTCCACACGCACCGTACATGGTGTTGGCAAAGAACTGCTTCCCCCTCCTGAGGCGTCGGATGGTTTGCCAGAATCTCTTCGAGGCCGACCGATAGTCATGCTCCATGGACTCTCCGAACTCCTCCCAGTCCCGGGTTTTTGCCTCTGCAACAGCCCGGGCCGCGGCACGCTTGGCCTGCCGGTACTGGACAGCTGCCTCAGGAGTCCCCCGAACCATCATGGCTCGATAGGACTCCTTCTTCAGCCTGACAGCATCCCTTACTGCCGGTGTCCACCACCGGGTTCGGGGGTTGCCGCCGGGACCAGCACCAGAGACCTTGCGACCACAGCTACGAGCCGCCGCATCGGCGATTGAGGCAGAGAACATGGTCCACTCGGACTCCATGTCCCCCTCCTCCGCCGGGACCTGGGAGAAACTCTCCCGGAGGTGTGAGTTGAAAGTCCGTCTGACAGGGGGCTCAGCGAGACGTTCCCAGCAGACCCTCACTATACGCTTGGGTCTGCCAGGTCTGACCGGCTTCTTCCCCTGCCAGCGGATCCAACTCACGACCAGGTGATGATCGGTTGACAGCTCCGCCCCTCTCTTTACCCGAGTGTCCGAGACACGCGGTCGAAGGTCAGATGATACGACAACAAAGTCGATCATCGACCTCCGGCCTAGGGTGTCCTGGTGCCACGTGCACTGGTGGACACCCTTGTGCTCGAACATGGTGTTCGTGATGGACAAACCGCGACTGGCACAGAAGTCCAACAACTGAACACCGCTCGGGTTCAGATCAGGGGGGCCGCTCTTCCCGATCACCCCTCTCCAGTGTCACTGGCGTTTCCCACATGGGCGTTGAAGTCCCCCAGGAGAATAACGGAGTCCCCGGGCGGTGCACCGTCCAGTACCCCTCCCAAGGACTCCAAGAAGGCCGGGTACTCTACACTGCCGTTAGGCCCGTAGGCCGTCACAACAGTGAGAGACTTGTCCCCCACCCGGAGGCGGAGGGACGCGACCCTCTCATTCACCGGGGAGAACTCCAACACGTGGCGGCTGAGATGGGGGGCAATGAGAATGGCCACCCCAGCTCGCCGCCTCTCCCCGCGGGAAACTCCAGAAAAGTGGAGCGTCCAACCCCTCTCAAGGAGTTGGGTTCCAGAGCCCAAGCTGTGTGTGGAGGTGAGGCCGACTATCTCTAGTCGGTATCGCTCAACCTCCCCCACGAGCTCGGGCTCCTTCCCCCCCAGTGAGGTGACGTTCCACGTCCCAAGAGCCAGATGTTGTGTGTGCGGACTGGGTCGCCGAGGTCTCCGCCTTCGACTGCCGCCCAGTCCTCTCAGCACCGCTTCACCACGGACCCCTCTGCAGGTGGTGGGCCCACAGGAGGGACTGCCCACGTCATCCCTTCGGGCTGAGCCCGGCCGGGCCCCGTGGGCTAAGGCCCGGCCACCAGGCGCTCGCATACGGGCCCCGACCCCAGGCCTGGCTCCAGGGTGGGGCCCCGGCTGCGCCATGCCGGGCGACGTCACTGTTTTCATTTCTGTGCTGTCCATGGTGTCTTCTGGACTGCTCTTTGTCTGACTCGTCACCTGAGACCTGTCTGCCATGGGAGGCCCTACCAGGGGCATGAAGCCCCAGACAGCATAGCTCCCAGGATCATCCGAGTACTCAAACTCCCCCACCACGTTAAGGTGGCAGTCCAGGGGGGGACTATCTATTCCATCTAGCTGAATAGATGAACGTCTATTGTTCACTTTGTAAATCGGCCCATGTGGGTACGGTGCACCTGGTGGAGGAAAACTACAAATATGAGAAAAAGCTGAATGGCAAAATACATGTCAAACTTCAGCCTAATCTTTTCCGACTAACATAATCATCTTTAGGATTTGAATGTGTTGTGTATTCACTTATGTCCAAACAAATAACACAATACTTTTGAATTCAAAAATATTTTATTTTCACATTTCATATCACGTGTAAATAAAGTAAATAAATTAAAAATAAATAGTATAACTGCCTCTAAATATTAGCAAAACATAGTGCCATTTGGACCAGCTCAAAATAAGGCATCAACAAAAGTTGGCCAAAGAGAAATAAATACAAACATACAAGCTTTTAGAAGACACATTTGACATTCAAACTAAATCCTAAAAAGGCTCAATCCCTCATTTAACCAAACATCTCTTACAAAAAGCTAAACATGCTTTTTCTTTGTCTTATCAAACATGAGTCTTGACTATTACATTTCCTCCCACACTTGCACACACAATGTGCTCCGCATCGCTTCGCCCCAAAGAATGCATTCAATAATACAGTAAATCAATAAAGTTTGGGGCAGACAAATACGGGTTACTTGTTGATATTAACATTCAGTCTGACACAGTTCAAACAAGAAATCCCACCAGTCAGACTTGCGTTTAGCGTAACTCCAGTTCTTCTTTCTTCAGTCTGATACCGGTTGTCTTAATAGACTCAAACAAGAAATCCCAGTGATCAGACCAAACCTTGCTTTTGCTCTTAGCACCTTGTCCAAGGGCTGGGCCTTACGCACTGGGTCAGACAGACCCACCAGACTCGGACTGCGCCACCACAGCCCATAGGCTCGTACATATACAAGCATCATTCATTGATCTTTCCTTGCGATTTTTGTGGATAATTCAGTATCTTGTCCATCGCTCCGTGGATTTAACCCAAACTCCTCCAGTGGGATTATCCATAACGTATTCCAGCCCTTCTGTCTCATTTCGCTGTTGGTGCCACTTCTCCTCGGCGCAGGCCCAACCTTTGAAATGAAGGCTTCCCGATTTATAATCTTCCTTTTTCAGATTTCTATCAGAAATGGCACATACTGAGACATCCATTTTACCTTCAGTGGATTCGGTAGCAACGTGAAGAAACACAACACTCGTCTCGATTGATCTTTTAGAACCCTGTTGTCCCATATTTCACTTGAAATCTTCTGACTCAAAGTTCTCAATGGACTTGCTCTCCTCTGTCCCTGTCCGGATTTATAATCCTGGTAATCCTGTGGGCTGAAACTTCCCAGCTCAGACGTGACGCACCAAGAAGTGGCTTCTTGGCATTCGGATCATTGCTATTTTAAGTGCGTCCACCTGCTAAGAGCGTCTCCAAACTCTGACTGAGAGCCACATTTAGCTTCAAGACCCACACGTGTGCCTCCAGACACGAAACGGGTCACTTTAGATTGACTGGACACCGCACTGCATGAAGTGACGTCATTATCATGTGATGTGATGTTCTGAGAGCCTGACCATCAGCTTAAACTAGCAAAATAATTTGGTCCCAGGAAAAAAAAAAGTTATATTTATATTACAGCGCATATATTACAGGTGCATCCCAAAATAACAATACATTAACCAATCGATGCCGCTTTTGTGTTTAAGTGTCAACTTTATTGTCATTATTTTACAAATAAAAATAATTTGTGGAAACCTTGAGACATGACACAAACTCAATAAATAAGGCATCAGGCAAAACTCTTAAATAAGGCTTCTTCAAAACAAACAGAACACTTTTGACATGAACAAATAAACAGTTTAAAGAAGCTTCATCACAGATCATTGCTTTTACGGTATTGCTTCATTTTCGTCACACCATAAACGAGCATTTATTTCAGTGCAACTTCATGTGATGTATTCAAGGATGACGTACTACTGTATATCATTTATTTGACAGCGGCACATACCTAAGGTTACATGAGGATCTTGTGTTTAACAGTGTGAATGTAAAATATTCCATTCCCAACAAAAAAAGTGCATATTTGTATATTTGCAGCCTATGCCTTATGCAACTGAGCATATAGTTGTGCATTGATCTTTTCTATCAGTATTTGCAAAAAAACAAAACTATGCAATGTTACAATTTCTGTTATTTCCTTTATGCATCTTCAGGCACTAAAGAGTTCCCCAGAGTAGCTGCATCATCTATCATTCATGTGCGTAGAAAGTATGCGATCTAGAATACTGGTTATATGCTAAATTAGAATACCATGGAGGTGAGTTATTCCAGCAGTCCAAAAAGGGAAACACGTATTTTTAGTTAAAACATTTTCTCAAAGTTTGTTCGGATGAGGAAAATACAGATGTACGCTGTGCGGTTTTACATCTACTGGCTTGTTTTGCCGCCTCCAGAGCCGCTTTTGAACTTCACCACCATGACGGTAATGTTATCGGGACAGCCGCGGTAGAAGGACTGCAGCACAATACTCTTGGCACCAAAATGGGGCTCGTCTAGACGCTCACGGACAAAGCGAACAGCCTCCTCGTTACTGAAGGCGTCCCACAGACCGTCAGAAGCCAGGATCATGAACTCAGGCTGGAGTTTGTCCAGGTCAAACGTCATAATGTCCGGGTCAGAGATGACAACGTTGAGGTTCTTCAGGGGATAGTCTCCGAGAGAGCGGGACATGGCCAGGATGCCTTGGACTCTCCACGAGCCGTTAAAGCTGATGAAGCCACCTGCAAAACAAAAGGAGATATAACATGTGTCTCCTATAACTTGATCATGAAAATAAAAGCTTAAATTTAAAGTATTTGTATGTTTGATCAGGGAGAATGCACCAAGAAAATCCCAGACTCCAGGAAAATGCAAGTTTAAAGCTGTATTCCTGGGTATAAATGCCATTATTTTTTTAAAAGAACTATAGGTTGCTCTTACTAATGTAAAAATCGTAAAGAGACAAGCACGTAATAAACCACAGGTGCTGATATTTAACAAGTGATAATCAAACCAGGTGTATTTCACCAGAAAAACTGGCAACCCCCTTAAAAAGATAAACAAGATGTAGCATTTGTTTGTGTCACTGGAAACATGATTCTTAATCGAATGCTAGATGTATTTAGAATATTAACCACTAGGTGGCATCACAGCAGCATGTCTGAGGAACAGACGGACTTTGATGTTTGTATGAGAAGTGATGGTAGGAAGACGTCAACATTCCAGAGGGGTTTGTGGTGTTGGCAGGGTGTGTGCTCACCGAGTGCACATTATAGTATTAAACTATAACTTTGACAAGGACTTTGGCAAATGTATGAATAAAATACATTTTGCTTATCTTTTGTTTTTGAAAGTGACCCGCATTCTGCTCTTATACTGTTTGCTGTGACGTTTCTGCTGCGCAGGCATTTTTGCCTCAACGGGGAAATAGTGTGTTTGCTAACTGGACCTGTAATCTGAGGAGGGCTTGGGATGTGACCTTGTGTACAGTGACGTAAAGGGCCGGAAGTACAGAGACTCATATTACATTGTATTAGGTCAATATAGATATATTTGTTTAAAATATGATGTCTACAGCAAGTACAATACTTTATTACTTCTTTTAAGAAAAAAAAGATTAATATATGATATATTTTTTTTAAATACCCTACAAAACATTCAATTCAGTTCTACTTCACATTATTGTGCCAAAGAGGGAGCTGAGTTAAAAGGCAAAACTCTTGATTTATCTGTTGTTCCCACCTTCGCCATTGGTCATGAGCTTTGGGTAATGACCAAAAGGACAAGATTTGGCGGACAATCCTTTAGAGAAAGGGTAAGAAGCTCCGATTGCTAAGTCACACAGGAGGAGCTCAGGTAGAGGGGTGACTCAGCTGAACTGTCCCAGTTGACCTGGGAACGTCATGGATGCCATTGATAAACTAGGGCCTCATGTGCATTTCCTTGTCTCCATTCCATTTCTTTTACCCTAACCTTTACCAAAGGCACCTCGTAACCCTTTAGTTTGTTTTCAGAAATTGTATGTAAAATAGACAAAAGGATCACTCTTAACATATTATAATTGATTAAAAAAGCTATTGTCACAAGTAAACATGAGCTAGCATAGCCACTAATACAACATGATGTAAGCTCAGAGAGGGAAAATACATATGCAAGGGCAGACAGGAGAAAGGAGGAAGCAGACCTGACTGACAGCTGGAAAGATGGTAGAAACAAGGAAATGCACGGGAGATGTGAACGTGGACAGGAAAGTCTGGGTCTCTCTGCTCACACTGCTGCCAACTCGGCAACGGATAAAGCGGACTACAATCAATGGAATGATGGCGATGCATTTAAAGACGGCAAAAGTACCTGCTCTCTTGATCCGTTTTCGCTCCTTGAGTTGATAAGGTTTGTGATCGTGTGACAGTGCAACAGCATTTCCATCTTTGTCACACAAGACGCCGCGGGAGTCTCCAACATTCGCTACAATGAGTTCTCGGTCCGACAGAAGAGCCACTAAGCAGGTGGTGCCTGTGGGAACCGGAGAGACACGAGATGTACAGGTTGTAAATAGGCATGCTGGGATACAAACACTAGAATATGTTTGAATGTTACAGAAAGACAGAGTTTTTCTGATGGCGCTCACTACACTCTTGATGTCAAGGTATTGTTCTGCTTAAAATGTGCCTAAATAAAACTACCATAAAACAAGTTGACTTAATTACAAATCATTTTTTGGGCTGTATTTTGATACTGAGTTACCGGAAGTAACTGGGCTGTAACCCTAACACTCCAGTATAGATGGAAAAGCATAGTGCCCTAGTAATAAATGAGACAGTTGTGATTTTGTTTTACGTGTGCTTTGGGGCTTTTGCTTATAAGATAATGCAATTCCCATTTACAAAGCACTTACAAATAATTGAAAACAGTAGTGTGTAGACTTCATAAATGTTTTGTAAAGACGATTGATTTTAGTCGTGGGGTGGGGCTTAATCTAATGTACAATCTTTTGTCCATCTTCTGAATGTTAAAAGTCAAAACATGCATATATATTTACATTCAAGTGTGAGTGTGTGCACCTGCATGATCACACAATAATCGTACATCACGTGCTTTGAAAATTCCAGAAGTAGGTAGTATCAGACATACCCCCTCCCTTCTGACCTGCTTCATCATGGCTGGACGAGAGCTTTTCCAGCATTTCTCTGTCCACAGCCAGGATGCGCTGCTCCAGGATGCTGGCATAAGAAAGCCCACTGTCCCTCTTCTCTTTCTCAAAGGCCTGCAACTGCTGCTTCAGAGCATCAGGCAGGTGGGCTTTCACAAAGTCTGCTGCAGCCTGCATACACGGCACAATGTTAGCGTGTGAGAACGGCAAGGGCATCGACAACAATTTAGCAATGTAATCAAATCCATCAACAAGTCCCGCCGAAGTTTCTTTGGTCTCTGTCACATCTTTAGTATCAGCTTTTTCACAGACGGAAAAGTGAAAAAAAAGAATGATCCGATCAGCTGTCAGCCCAAAGCTTCATCTAGTAACTCATAGGGCTCTTTCTTATCTCAAATATGCAAACATGTTTTTTAATAATATAAAGAGTTATTCCATGGTATAATTTATGAAACAGTTAAAAACAAGTGAAGTACCCAGCCCCAAGGAGTTGGTGACTTGTTCTTAGGCACGATAGAAGCTGAGCGTAGATTTATCTATAAGCATAACTCAAAGAAAGAAGAAAATCCTGGCTTTGATCTGTCTCATATTATCAGAAAGACCTGTGTCCGTTTTTATAGTTACTGTTACTTCTTTGTTCAGAATTGGCGATGGATTTCTCCTGGACAAATGCTGCTATAGCCAGAGCTTTTATAATAATAGATACAAACAACTGCTAAGGGACAGTATAAAAGACTGGTTGGATTAACATTTAGTTTTACTGCTTTATTTGTTAATAACGTTTAAAAACATTACATGTGTAGAATTCAGGTTCCCTTTGAAGATATATGTCATCAAATTGTTACAGGAGACGTATGGCTGTATGTCCCTATAATGGTGTCCTGTTCGGTTATATTCACTACCCCCATAGTTTACTAAATCAAACTAAAACCCACACACATTTAGAAATTGACGATAAAAGATTTGAAGTTTTAAAATGATTTGAATAAAGTAATTTAAATGTGTAGATCAAACAATTGAAGAATGTGAAATGTGAAGATTGTTACATTATTACACCAGTATTACAGTATTTTATTCACGTTGCCACAAGATGTCAGTGTTTATCGTTGCTTGTTTTGGTCTTGTGTGTCCTCCAGAGGTGCTTCAGATTTGTTTTCGTTTTTTTTTTATTCTAAGACTATACGAGATACAAGTGTGAAAAGTAAAGGCAAGCATCGCAGAATCAGTTGAATTTGAATATTTCTATTTTAGTTGGAAGGTTTAAAAGTTGAGCGGACAAATATGTGGAAAAAGTGGGACCTAATATTGACTCAATACTTTCTCTGTCAATAGCAGTAGTAGCGCTTACTGTACCTCTCCCCCATGCCCATCAAATATTGCGAATATGGATGGATGGCTCTTGTTGGTGACATCAGTAAGCACTTCAAAGCGGTCCTCCATGTGATCTCTCCGGCCCTGTATGGAGTACACGGCCACGTTGTTGTTTTTGAATTCCCATGTTTTGGAGAATTCTGCATCCAGCACACTCAGGCCTCCCAGGCGGTCATTCTGCATCATCTCTGCTACTTTCCCCTTCATCATCTTCACCGCGTCTCGACTGGATTTTACGATGGTTTTCACCTCGTCTGTGTGGAAGAAGTAGCTCCATAGAGCCAGACTTATGCACAACAAAAACAGTGTCTCCGGCCTGAGCAGAAAATAACGCATGATGCGACCAAGAAGAGACAGGAGCGTCATTGTGTCTCCTATCATCACACGGGACCAGCTGCAGTCCGTCTGTGGGCTCTTTGCTCGGTCCACTACATCCACACACTCATGTCACATAGGCTACATCGAGCACCTGCACTTCGATTATCTCAACATCGATTACCGAGACGCACATCCGAGCGGACGGCACTGGGTTGAATGGATCTCCTGATCAACTCCTTCTGCAGCATTTCCAGGCTGGCTTCAGGAGTCCATACTGGGACCGTGACTTTGCCAGAGGCCGCAGTGGGACCTGGAGAGCCGCTGCAATAACGCAGTGTCCTCCTAGTGAAAATGTTCTTTTGAAGAAAATCGGTGAATTGAAAGATACACGCGTCTTCTTCAGCAAGAAAACAAGCGAATTCACAATGAACGAGACAGACAGAAACAGGACACGGATAGTTTTCAGAATAAGACGTACGTACATTAGATGCAGGTGCGATGATAAGGCAAACAATTATTATGAAATCAAAACAGGATGCAGCTTTTAGAAACTATTATTGCTTGACACTTACTGTTGACGAAAGTGCGCAGCTGCAGATGCGCAAAGCACTCGCACCAATGGCGCAGCGGTCTGTGAGAAATGATGACGTCATCTGCAGATTAACAACATCGAGAACGAAAAGTAACATGTTTTTTCACCATCAAACTGGATCCCAATCACTGTAACCCTTGCACTTGGCCAGAGAGAGGGAGGGGGAGGGACAAAGCCTTTCGCCATATCACCAGTTTTAACAAGTGCAAACAGCGCCTCTTAGCGTCTCCTTGTGTGTACCGCTTGTGTCTGACAGAGCTGTTTGTAATTGCTTATAGTTTACTTCCTTGGTCTATGGAGATCTTAGTGTATTTGTAAAGCATTGTTTAAACTTCTCCAGTTTGCCGCTTTGACCAGTGCAGTGAATGGGAGAAACTATAGTTCTGGGACATTGATCTGCTTTGAAGCTTTGCCAACCGTGTTGGCCACTCAAAGGTGATGAACTTACAAAGCACAGTCTCAGATCATGATGTGTATTTATGCTCTGAAGATTACATTTGTAATGTTATATTTATAGTGAAGTAGTGTACGGAACGGGGCCTTTTAAAACAACACCATGCACTTTACATGAACCCATTGTGACACAAGAATCATATCCCATATCACAAAGTCTGGTGGCGAATACGACCAGCTTTGTAGTATATCCCTTAGGAGTCATATAATCTGTTCTGGCTACCTACCCTACAAGCTACAGTGCGTCGTGTCCTTTGTCTCTGCCTTTATAAATGAGTGGCTGCATGAGCATGAGCTGAGGAGATGGAGGCAGTGTGAACACACCATCAGGCACCTGTGCATTATCACACTACTTCATTTGATTACTCTCATATGGTATGGGCTTCAATTATCCAGATCTTCTCATACCTGTGTAATAATGTCTTCTATGGTTTTGGTTTTGTTTCCAGTTTGTTTTGACTCTCACCTCAGAATGATGCACGTCCGCTTCATCCTTCTGTCTATTCTGATCGTGGTGATGGCTGTGCAGATCTGTGAGGCCAAAACCACACGAGGACTTAAAGCTGACAACACTAAGAAGCCTCCCAGAGCAGGGCCACCTGGAGGCTTCAGGAGGACCACTACCACGACACCGTCCAGTCACACTGATGAGACCACTGATGTGATGACCGACTCATACACACTGTCTGCCACTGACAGTACAACATACCAGAGCGAGCTGTACCCCACAGGATACCTCAGCGATGCCATCGTCCCTCCTGGGAATGCTCTGGGAAACTACACCCTGGACTACAACGAATGTTTCTTCAACTTCTGCGAGTGCTGTCCACCTGAGAAAGGTCCTGTGGGGCCCCAAGGAGATCCTGGACTGCCAGGGCCTCCAGGGCAGCCAGGCCCTCCAGGTGAACTTCACTAAGTTTTATAAAGCTCATTTGGATCAGTAAATGTATCGGTCTGCACCAGCTGATTATTGTACTCTGTGTAGGATTACCAGGAGAGAAGGGGGAGGCAGGGCTCAGAGGGGCGTCTGGCCCTGCAGGACTTCCTGGAGCCAATGGACTCAATGGCGACATAGGTACATCGGAGCTTAGCAGCAGATGAGCCTTTGCCTCATGTCTGTCCCTTTCCCTCACTTTGTCCTTATCACCTTTTTTACAAAGCATTGTTGTATTTAAATATTTTTTGGATATCATTTTCTACGCTTTATTTATCACAACTACCACAGGTGAAAAAGGTGACCAGGGACCCATGGGCCCACCTGGCCCCCCAGGGCTTTCAGGAAAACAGGGAGACAAAGGTATTTCACTATACAAATACACTGTTTACCTCATTTGCTTATTTGACTTGGACAATTGAACATACATTTTGAGACACATGTGTGTAAACAAACCAGATTATTTCCAAAGGATAAAGTCCCAGGGGGGCTGGGGACAAAAGCAGACTTTCACATGATTATACTGTCCACACACAGTGTTCCAGCACAGTCCAAACATAAACCACATTCTGTGTGTGTGTGTGTGTGTGTGTGTGTGTGTGTGTGCGCGTGCGCGTGCGTGTGTGTGTCTTAAACTCTTCCACTGTGGAATGTTGACAATATAAGTGAAATCAAGTTACTAGTCACATTATATTTACAATCAAGTGCACCTGTAGGCTAAATTTAAGACTTGCGCCACTCCACTCACCATCGCTATTGTTTTTGCTGATTTTCAAGGTGACCCTGGCTCCAGAGGAGAGAAAGGTGAACGTGGTGCCATCGGTTTGAAAGGAGACCCGGGGGATAGAGGTGAACCAGGTCTGAATGGGACTAAAGGCTCCGTGGGGCCAGCAGGGCCCATGGGTGCTCCTGGACTGGCAGGCGCACCAGGCCTTAAAGGCGAGCAGGGATCTAAAGGAGAATGTTTGACAACTGACAAGGGTCCAAAAGGGGAATTAGGTGCCCCCGGCCCGCCTGGACCCAGAGGTGAGGTAGGGCTGAATGGGACTGATGGTCTGCAGGGAGATAAAGGAGAGCCCGGGCCTCCTGGACCAAGGGGAGACACAGGGGCCAGAGGCCCTCCAGGCCCTCCTGGGGGACGAGGTATGCCTGGGCAGAGGGGGGAGAGGGGAGTCAAAGGTATCAGAGGCCCACGGGGTCCTAAAGGACCTCCTGGAGAGAGCGTGGAACAGGTCCGCTCTGCTTTTAGCGTTGGCCTGTTCCCCAGTAGGTCGTTTCCTCCCCCTGGACTCCCTGTGAAGTTTGATAAGGTCTTCTACAATGCAGAGGGCCACTGGGACCCAAACCTTAACAAGTTCAACGTCAGCCACCCTGGGGTCTACCTTTTCACATACCACATAACAGTCAGGAACAGACCTGTTCGGGCCGCCCTGGTGGTCAACGGGGTAAGGAAGCTGAGAACGCGGGACTCTCTTTATGGCCAAGATATCGACCAGGCCTCTAATCTGGTCCTGCTGCAGCTGAGCGAGGGGGACCAGGTCTGGCTCGAGACGCTGAGAGACTGGAATGGAATCTACTCCAGCAGTGAAGACGACAGTACTTTCTCTGGCTTCCTGCTGTACCCCGACTCCAAGGACAAGTCAATAGCTTTAGAAAACCTTTGACAGCTCCACCGCCAAATGCTCCAAAGTTTCTAGTTGCACTGCTCTTAGATTCATAGTTTGTCACTTCCCATGCATAAAATATAGTTCCAATAGGTTTTTCATGTGCTTTTTAACTAATAAAATGACCATGAATCTGTATTCATCTAGTATCTGTTTTTTTCATACACATTTGTTCTAATCTAGATTTGTGAATCAAACATTGAATAAACACAACAGGGTAATCTTTGTTCCAGCAATATTCTGATGTATGGTATTGTCCAAATAATCTCCAATCATTTGGAGACATCATGACATTTATGTCATTACAATATTTCTGGGGATGCCGGAGAGGATTTGTTTAAACAGCAGGTTTATAAGGAATAATGGGCATATTTAAAAAAGACTAGGTGCTAAATATCACATCCAAATCTGATGAATACGCAATATTGAGCAAGCTGTGGTGTTTTGAATAAATCAGGAGTATTGAAAAATACAGGAATTACACAACCAACAAAATCATTACACCCAAAATATAGAAGGGATGGCAGTCCCCAACAAACATAATTTTTGAAAACACTGGTAGAATAATCAAAATCAGGAAACATTTTAATTCATAGATTGCAAAAACAATGCAGCTTCATTTTGGACAACTACCTGCTAATTATTTATGTATTCTTAAAAAAAAAAACAATTTAGGCCTATATGACAATGTACAGGTCTACAAAACTGCAGAAATATTGTAGATATGTTAAGTAAAAGTTGAAAATATCGGAGGCCCAAAAGCAAATTTTGTTACCTGTGTTTATGGTAGCAATTTTTGTGTCTTGATCACAATCTCTAACTTATGAGACCAATCTGTATGTTGGCCTATATGAGTGATCCTACTATGTTTGCATCCATGTGTGTGTGTGTGTGTGTGTGTGTGTGTGTGTGTAGTGTATAGCCGGTGTTAAACTGTTTTTGGCTTGTTTGTTTATAGCCCTATCTGTGCATATGAGTGTGTGCGTGCGCCTTTACGCAACTTATTTAGCCTGTGTAGAAAAATATAAATAACTACCTTGGCCGCGTGTGCAGTGTGTAATCTCTTCCCGGCAGGCTGGATTCCCACTGTGAGAAAGACAGTATATTGTTCCTGCAGCGGTGGAGATAACAACTCATTAGCATACTGAATCATTTGGCTGCAAGAGGCACTCTGCCACCCATCTGCACGGCGCTGATAAACATACGCACATACACAAACAGCGCTGGCTTTACGCGCGCCTTCCCCTTTCAAAACCTCATATACCCCGCCTGTATCCCTCTTCGTTTTGTGAGCCTGTCTTTTTTGGAGGAGGCGCAGGTAAATGTTTGGCAGGCATTAACCCAGAGAGGTCCTTCAGCGGAGCCGGGTCCCAGAACACCTGGATGTCTCTGATGCTCCCTGGAAGCAATTATAGTTTCCCCCCCTCAACAAAAGTCCAAGAGCTGCTGGCGCTGGAAATGTAACAGTAGAAAATAGGCAGCGACTGTGAAAGTTTGGGAGGAGTTGCCTTTAAAAAAAATAAAATAAAAAAGCATAACTCATTCCCACTAACTTCTCCATTGCGTGGCCAAACCCTGAAGTATGACATATTTTTTGTGTGACCTGTGAATGTGACATCACAACATGTCTAGTTTGCAATTTAAAATATACAGTCTATGGATGAGGACCAGAAAATCTAATTTGGTAACTATGGGAAGTGTCAAAAGTCAGGTTTCTGTCTTAGTTTATGACTATTTTCATTGGAATTATGAATATCACGCGAAACAAAAATGATTGCACTACAGCTTCTTTCAGTTCTCAACAACTGTGGTCTATTTATTCTCTCAAGTCTCTGTGATAAGTGGTAACAACATATAAAAAAACAAAAAAAAACATATGAATAATGTTGCCCACTGTTTAATGGACTTGTTTGTTTCATGTATGTTCATAAAAATAACAAAACAACAAAAATATGGAATATGTTTGTGGATCCAATCACTATCAAATAATGATCTGCGAAAACATATAGATTTTTTTTCAACAGTTCAAACAGCTTCCCGTAGTGTGGGCACCTGCTCTCCAACTGAAATAGAATTCTACAACACGAGCACAACCAATTAGACCTGCTTGAAATGGAAGTGATAGTTTTGCACAGATAATCACAGATGGAGATGACAAAATTGAGAAATATGTTGAAGGTTTGAGGAAAAGGGGAGCTGTAGAACCAAGAACATCATATTGAAATTATTAAAGTTTTTGTGGAGACTTGATCCTCACATGTTCATAGCAGGAGCCCCATCCACACCTTTTAGGGATAAAACTAACCACACAGTGTTGAAGGGGAAAAAAGAAGATCCGAGGCGCAACTATACTTTATTTTTCTTCTATAATGGTTCTTTGAGTGTCCAAAAAATGCTATATAAGTGTATTATTATTATTATTATTATTATTATTATTATTGTCATGGAACGCTAAATGACTTTTACTATTAAGTTAGTTGTGCGTCTGACCTTCTTTTTTCCCCTTCAACATTGTGCTTTTCGCATTTTGGATCTTGAAGAGCACCTGACTCTTACACCCAACCCACAGCAGCGCTCGCTCTCCCTCTTACCTAACCTTACCTAACCTGTTATTCATCATTCTTTCTGAAAACACTGAAGATATTGCTCTGTTTATAACATTTGGTGTTTGGCCAGTGTGATGTCATGAATCACACCAACCAGGAAGTATAAGAAAAATGCTCAAACTGTGATGAAACACATTAAATCTATTTTCATGAAAAGTGGACACACACACACTTTACAGGTGCATTGGGCAACATTTTTGCTATACCTGCTTGTTGCCATGGAGACATGCTTTCTTTGCTTAGAATGTACCTCCGTGTATGATATTTTTTTTACTGTGAACAAATCTGACTTCTAGCATGGTATGGGAAATTATGTGATGTCCTATACTGTGGAAGAAAAACGACTATAAATACCCTATTATATACCTTATTCCAAGTAAGTTGCCTAGAACACAATTAAGCAAATATATTGGCTGTTTGGCGTTATAATCAGACACAACACGGTGCAGAGGAGGTTGTCCAAAGTACTTTCACAAAGGCAGGATTTCCTGTAGGTCAGCAAGCAGCTTCAAACTGGACAGGACGTTGTCACTCGATGGGAGGGAGTAAGATTCCAGCGAAGACTATTTGAAGGGAGAAACAGGACTAAAGCAGCAGAGCGAGACCACACTGCACTGTACAAACATGTGCGACCCCAAAAATCTCAACATTTATGGACTTCTATGTTCATTTACGGACATTGGTCATCTGCCCCTCACGAACCATTGTGACTCTGTGTGTTTTTTATTGTTGCATTTCCTGTATTTGTAAAGTCCTCCGACATAAAGGCTGTTGTGATTTAGGGATAATGGGCTTGTTCACACTAAAGGGCACAAAAGTGTGACAAAAGGCCAAAAATTTGATTTTAATAATCAGAAGATATTTTATGTTTTTCATGTTTCCAAGCACCTCCTTTGTCCATTAGAAGTTGCTAGAACATAACTGTTTTATACATTAGACAAGTTTCCTATAGCGGCCCTGTTTATTTTATCTAACGGACGTGATGATTTGACGGAATGAGCTTTGTGGAAGTTTGATAGGTATTTTCAGATGTCCACATTTGATTCAGAGATTCTACTTTTTTACACAAAGTAGATGCAAAGTGATACTTTCATATTGTCAACCAATTAAATGTGAAAACAGACCAGATTTTTTTTCTTCTCAAGTAAAATTTTTAGAGAAAAGAGGACCGTCCTCATCACGTCCGTTATACATTTTTCAGGGGTCATTTAATTAATTTTTATTTTTTTATTTTTTTACGATTCCTTTTTATATCAAGTGATTTCCTCCTGTTGTGGTAACCATGTAAATCTTGTGGGATTTCATCTTCTGCTTTTTCAGACTGAGGACATTTTATTTTCTATGTAACCGGCGTCACAGTAGAATGGTCCAATCAGAGGCTAATTTGGTCGTTTAAAATGTTGCTAAACATTTTTATGTCAATCTTTCCTTTTGATTTTTTCCACACTATCTCTTCAATGTGTCTGTGTTTGAAATCTTTTTTCCAATCTATGAAAGTAATTTTAGTTTTTAAGTTATAACCTTTTAAAGTCCAGATACTTCAATTGTCACTTTACTGTGAACACACTCATTATACAAAAATAAATCGGATTGCTCAAATCTTCTCATCTCTGTAATGTAATAATAAAAGGAATAAATTAATGCTATTTTTGAGGTGTTGTGCCAAGATCAGAGATGGGGAGAATATCTTGAACATGTATATAAAAAGTATTTTGTAAAGTGTTCCTTAGCACAGTAATAGAATAACTTTTGTTTGTGATGGATATTTTGTAAGTGTGAAGTATACGGATCAGACACACCACTAAAAACAATGGTCCAGGATGTGTGATTTAGGCAGAAGCACAAACAAATAATCAAAAACTGGATTGGTTTCTCAAAAATACTATTCTCAATACTATCCACTCAGCCACCGGCGGCACGGTGGCTGAGTGGATAGCACTCTCGCCTCTCAGCAAGAAGGTCCTGGGTTCGAATCCCGGTCGGACCAGGGCCTTTCTGAGTGGAGTTTGCATGTTCTCCCCGTGTCTGCGTAGGTTTCCTCCGGGTACTCCGGTTTCCCCTACCGCTAAAAATATGTCCAATAGTTCTAGCATGCGCCTCCTGTACTGGCGACCCCGCTCCCATCTCTGTGTGGAATGAGAGACAAAAATTAACAATTGTAAACCGCTTTGAGACTCAGATCTGCAGTGAAAAGGCGGTATATAAAATAAAGATTACTACTTACTAATACTTATTCTTGGTGTGTCATTTTTTCCCACTGACCAGGATGAGAGAATAACCGGCTCTATGATTTGAACAGTATACAGTACTTACAGGTGAGACTAATGTGAAACTAATGTGACAAACTCATAAGACGCAAAGTGAGATATACCAACTCTTTATTCTTGGTAATGTTGATAATCGTCTCACAGCTGAAAAAATCTAAATAAACATTTAAACAAAAGTCTGAATGTTTTGAAGTTGGACTGTAAGCCATAATCATCAAAATGACAGGAAACAAAGGCTTGACATGTGTCACTCTGCCTGTAATGAGTCTAAATCATGTTTTGGTTTCATATTTTAAGTTGAAACGGAGAAAAAAAAACAAATTTTCACCTGAGTTTCACATTTATATTTTTACTATTGTAAGTTCTTATTTTGGACATCCCAGAATATTTAGAAATGAGAAAAGACAAAGAACATTGCGATTTGCTTGACCCTTGAAATTGTGTTTTTGATTCGACAGCGATTTCATTTGTGGCCCAAACAGCCACTCACAATTTCACAATCATTTAATATATCTGCATTTGTAATAAGCCTGAATTTATACTAAAAAAAACTAACGAAAGAAGCCACAGTCAGGGCACATGGCATAAGCTATATTATTGAATTAACTTAAGCGCATGCATGGTCCAGCTTTTAAGAAAACTACAGGTGAAACTCAGACAAATAGAAAGTTAATTTATATCTGTTTCAACTTAAAATGTGAAACCAATGTATAATGTACTCATTACAGGCATATGCTAAGCCTTTGTTTGCCATAATTGTTATGATAAAAAGTCAATTTTCAATTTTTCTATTTAACTGTGGGCCATAATTATCAACATTATAAATATAGACTGTATCTCACTTTGCATGTACTGAGTCCGTCATATCAGTTTCACATTGAATTTTGAAGCACAGAAGTAAATGGTCTTTTGAGTTTCACCTGTAAATATAAAATTCCGTGATGTCATTTGTTTGTATACATTTAACAATAGCACGCACAAACACATTCTCACATTGTTGTTTTATTAAGGGTTTCTGTATAAAACTCCTCAATGTGACATTGGATATATTCATAGATACAACTTTACAACAAATATGTCTTTACCGTACAATATCCCTTACCGCAGTTAATAAAATACCATTATTACCAAAGGTACCAATATAGGCTATCATATATGATGCCCTGCTCGCAAAGAAGCAGAACCGAACAACAGCAGGCATCACGACTGTCTCTAGCAGAAATATGCTGGTGTTGCTGGTAACACTGTGCATGTAAGAGATACAGCAATGAGGGGATATTCCTGTGTACCATACTAAACTATTAAACCATGAGACAGCTTTAAAAACACCCAAACATTCATATCAAAAGGAGCTCATGAGGCATTTTATGATCTTGTGTGACCCAAAGACACACTGCATGTCAGGTACCGGCATTGTCATTATCACCAGAAATGGTACCACATGTTACAAAAATCAAACCCTACATGTTCATGCCATTGATCTATCAAATCCATTGACAAACACCAAGTTGTCACCACACCAGTCACGGTTTTTGTGCCGAAGAAAGACTTAATACTATTTACATAATGCAACTGGGATGTTGGCACCTTTTTGGTTAACACAAAAAAATTGCCATAATCTCCAGAAACATACAGCAATTTGTGACTGGACTACATTGTAACCATCTTGTCAAATCTGCAAATAGCCTAAAATGGTTCCCTTTAGCCAAGTGTGTGTGTGTGTGTGTGCGTGTGTGTGTGTGTGTGTGTGGTGTGTGCGTCTTTGGGCAGAAATAAGATAATCACTTGGTCAAAACATGCAGAATGTACAAGTCCTTCGATAGAACCCATACACTCAAATTCAGTGCCATGCAAACTGCTTGAGAATTTGTTCAAAATCCACGGATGGCAAAACATTGTTAAAGGTCCTGGGCAATTTCAACCTTGGATCGTTCCTGCTTCAATTGCTTTTTTCAGAGGCCATTTGAAACATTGGATTATCGCCGGTTTGCCCCATTGCGTCTCAAATCTCTAGATGGAAGATGGATGGAGCGTTGAGCCGATATCGTCCGAACCGGAGGCGAGTCCTGGTCCTCCACAAAGCTCTCCGGACTGCCCTCTCCATCCCCGTCTGGCAAACTTCCACAACTAGAACTGGGGGACATCGTTTCTAGAATATCGTCCCGGGCCAAACTCACAACCGTGTCCTGCCGCGGTCCTCCTTGTGAGTTCCTATCATGAGCTCCCACTCCAACTAGAATTCCAGTTTCTCCATCTGTGGTGGTTCCCAGATTCCTGCCTCCGTCCTGATCTTCCAGCAGGTTGGAGAGAAAGCTGATGTATTTCATGGCCAGCCTCAAGATCTCGTTTTTGCTCAGTTTCTTGTCTGGAGGGTGAGTGGGGATGAGTTTTCGGAGCTCTGCAAAAGCCCCGTTGACGTTTTGCTGCCTCCAACGCTCTCGGCTGTTTGTGAATATGCGGCGGACAATTTTAGGCTGGCCGGCTAGAAGAGAGGAGGAAAAAAAAGAGTAAGTTTGATGTAAAAAAAGAAAAAAGAAAAAAAAGACTAATTCTGCTTTATATTTTTTTTTAACACAATGTAATATATGGTGCCTGATAGTGACAGCTTCAGGATTGTTCTCCATGCAGTGAACGCAGATGAACAACTCTGAAGTGACAAACTGTGTATTTTAACTGCAACATATGCAAATGTGGAAAAGGTTGGAGGAGGAATCCCTGTGCCAAATCCTGGAACCCAGTGGGGGCTCCGCTGCTACCTATGGGGTGTGTCGAGCACTTTTAAAAAATTAATTTAAGGATGACAAAACAGCCATGGTACTCTCAACCTCCTTGGTGTGTTCAGGCTATTGTTGCCCTTGGAACACACCCAGTCTATCTTAATCCTTCAGCCCACTCTGCAGCAAAACCTTGGCATATGAGGCAGAGCACCCCCATCTTCCACCCCCATGGCAATGAGTGGGCAGTGGTTGAGAAAAACAAATCAAAGGCAGAATATCCACAGAATATCTAAGAAATAAACTGTCCCAACATGCACTGGGCTATGAGAAATAGAATGTGTATGTGTCTAGCTCTCTGCATTCCTGCAGTATAGATCCATGTCAATGATGAACGACAATGAGGATGAGGAGGCGACTATTGGCAGAAGACTGGACACAGCAGAAGTGCGTCTTACCATACTTATAAAGATCTAAAATGCGCCTACCCTCGTCGAGTTCAACCTCATAAGGCGCTGGGCGGCGCTTTACCCTGTTGCTGGGGTACATGCTGTACTGCTCCGAGTCTCCTCCAAGACTGCAGTCCCGTGTAAAAATCACACACAACATAAAAGTGAGAAGTCAACATTCTGAGATGAAACACAATATTCTACAAGTGGTCCACAATTGTTTAGGCCTATTCTTTACGGGTGCCAAAGTCATTCAAGTTAATAAACTTCATAGTCCACGTGATCAGTCCCTGCCCATGTCCAGTGCGTGCATGTCTTACCTGTTGATGGCGGCGAGAGGCTGCGCCAGGTTGTAGAGCATGGCCCGGGCCGGGACAGGGAACGCGTTTGGGCTCAGCTGGACCATTCGAGCGTCGTCTCGGTGTGGCGGCGGAAGCGGCAGCGGAGGAGGTCTGCGAAGTTCCGTTATCGGCACCAAATGAGTGTCAGTCCTGTGCTCGAGCGCTTTTATAGCGTCCCTCCTGGAGAGCTCGATCACCGGCACTTCCCTTTTCAGGTCAAGGGCGTTGTGAGAGGCAGTTTCCTTGGCAACGCCGTTAATGATGATGCTGGTCCCGTTGCTCGCCTTCTGCAGAGGAGCGTCACTCGTCTCTTCCACTGCCTTCAAGCCCCCTCCTCCTCTACTCCTCTCCTCCTCCTCCTCACACCCCCCTTGCTCCCCCATCGCCTCCTCGCGCTCCTCTTTACATCCATTCTGTCTGGAGAACGCTTCCTCTTGCTTTTCAGGATTACGGACTGAGTCTGGACTCCCAGGAAGAACCTCTGGTTGCCGCTTTTCCATCATTTTCACAGCGTCAGCACTCGCACCCTTCCTCGACAATCTGCAGCATATTAAACCATTATAGCCGTTGGCACTGCCTCGTCTGTTTTACTCAGGTTATTATCATCATCAGACAAAACACTTTAGGGAATCTATTTGGGTTTTCTTTAAAACTCTTTGGGTACTATACCAAATGTGAGTGTAGTTATTTTGTTCATGTACGAATAGCCTGTATACAGTGTATGAATCCTTGACCATTAAGAGGCCTACTCCTTCTCTAAACACATCATGTAAGCTCATTGACATTTCTTCAGGCGTTTGCAGAAACCATTGCCTTCGTCGATAGTGACATTATGCCGCTATAATTAGGAAGAAACACATAGGAGCCAATTAGAAAAAAAATATATATTCTAAACCTATTTCTGGAATAAGCCAAGCTACAATAATTAAAATACATCCTTTCCAAAATGATTAGTGCAGGAGACTGCCGTAAAAACAAATAACGGGACACGGACATAGGGAATAGCTTTCTGTAAACATGAAAGCAAAAAAGGCCATGACAAAAAGACACAACATGCCGCTCATTTTATCCACAAAAGGTCCGGGATACATCATTAAAATAAATTCAAACAAATACAACACTGAATATAATAAAACCTGCCAAGCGTTACAGTGAATTCCCAACCAGGCCTCGCACCCTTTCTTTCCTACAACCGCAAAATAAATGGAACCATAACAGTCACTAATTTAAACACGTCTGTGCGCAGAACACGTCCTGATCAGCGAACACGGGTAAATAGCCCTCAGCATTATAATAAAGGTGCGTATGTGAGAACTCACCGCCAGCGCCGTGTTGTTGATGTCAGTGTGGAAGTGGAGCCATTTTGTGAGTGGGTCATCCATGTCTGCGCTTTTTCTTTTTTTTTCCCTGCGACTTCTCTGGGTGAACGTATGTGTGTGTGTGTGTATGTGCGTAATAGTGAGTTATTCCTCTTTTCATAGTCGCGCACGCGCACGCTCCCTCAGTGTGGGGAGCAGCGGAACACAGGCCGCAATGTGGCCGAGTGAGATAAGCGCACGGCAGCGGCCTCTTCATTCCCGATAAGCTCCTAAACCCATTATTTATGAAATGATTCATTATTATTTGGCTGTCGTTGGCCATATAGGCTTGTGGAGGGCAAAGCATAAAACGGGGGAAAAACAGCACAGAGCGACGGCCTGTAACAACTGGATACTGTACGAGCTGCTAAAGGTGTTTTAATGTTCATGAGTGAAACAAAAGCGAGGGTTAAGCGTTTGACCTGTTTTTTTCTTAACAAAAGATTCCCTCTAATCCTGCAATAAGATAATAGTAATGGACTGGCTTTTATTGGCGTTAAGGAACAGCAGCCTCACCAATAATCCACGAATGTCTCAAGGCTGACGCATTAACAATAGATCACAAAAAGATGCTCCTCTAATTATGATAAGCGTTAATTGAAAGGACAGCGATATGTGTGAAACAAAATGGACCATACTCAGATAAACCACTGGTCTGTTCGCGTGGATAGTTTTGTGCAGTGGGGGTCCCCGGGTCCACAGGGAGTCATGGTCGTGTGAGATAACAGCGTGTCGGCTTCTGCTGCATCAGATAATCAGAAGCTTCAACGAACACGCGCTATCAGGGCACGCGCAGGGCTGAGCAGGTACGGCCCATTAACGACTACACGGCCGTCTATGTGTCCCCCCAAATGCACCGTTTGATGCTTTTGCTAAAACACTCAGCAAAGAATCAAACATGTGAGATATAGGCCCAGGCTGCTTTACACGCACAACCCATGCTCACAGTCACGACCTTCAGTCCGCTTCCTGTGGTCGGCAGTAAACATGTTTATTTAGCCACAGCTTTGATCCACTGGGACTCGCTCATGTGGGGAAAATGACAAGTTTTGGAGAATGGGACATTTTTATCAAACGGGAAAACATTTTTTAAAAGTCTGCAGTGCCAATATTAATACTATTAATATAACAAGATTACAAATTCCTGGTATCAAAAGATAAAATAGCCTATGGAGTCATTATACTTGTTATAATAATAATAATGATTATAATTATAATAATTAGCAATAATCAAGCATAGCTTAATAATTACAAAAGAAAACAATAATGAGAAGAATAAAGATAGTGGACAGAATATCACAGAAGAAAAAATGGCAAATAGTAATGCGTTTTTTTCCACTTTAATTTCCTTTAGAGGAACAGTTAATTTCTTTCTGAAGGTGGAATAACCAATAAACAATAATAATAAATACAGTTAAAACCATACAATGGAACTTTGTATATTGAATAAAATATATTTATTGCCAGATAGTGGTATATTAATACACCATTTCCGGAAACAAGAGGCCCTTCATTCCTCAAATAGTTAGAACACATGTTTTTATACTTTTATTGTATCAAATAAAGTGATCAAACATGCCAAATGAAACTGTAAAAAAATATGTATCAATTTATTAATTTTAAATAAGCATGTGCAAGCAAAATGTATACACGTTTGAATAGATGACATAGATTATTAATCTCACACTGGAGACATTTACAAGTATGGATTGTTTCTTTACATCAGATAAAAAAACAAAAAAATGGACCTGATATTTCCCTCTGCCATAAGCCACTCACACAAATGGCACTCCATAATAAATGCACTGTGATGATGCTGTTTGACCAATTAAATGACTAACATTTTCTTATTTGTGATATCTTTCCTGGGATGAGTGCGGCTGTGTGTGTAGCTACAAATGATGTTTTCTGATCCTATAATTCCAGTGGGGGTGTTGGTGTTGCGCCCTCCTCAGCGCTGGCATCGACGGGCGGGCATGATCCGCAGGGAGGCCGTGCTGTCCCGGGTCATGAGTCTGGTGACCTGGTCCATGCTGAGAGTGGCCACCGCCTCCCCGTTCACCTGCAGGATCTCATCCCCGACCGAAAGCAGACCCACATACCCCTCTGCACCGCCATCGCCCACCTTCTCCACATACACGCCTGCAAGAGACACCCACGCAGCATTAGAGGACCCGGAAGCAACACTATTTATTTTACAGAGCACAAGGAAATCGCTTTTTTAATGGACATCATGAGAATGTCTTTTTTAATTTTTGTATTTAAAATGTGTTTTGTTAATTGTGTACAAACCATAGACTGTAACAATGTTTTGACAACTCTTTAAATTGAAGTAATTCTCAGACTTTTCTCACAGCTCTGAACGTATAAACGCTTCCCGTGTCAGGTTCATACTCAATCTGTTCATAAAGACTGTTCAAGCTCTAAAGGAGGGCTACCATTGTAGGAAAACACATTTACATATTGAGGGAAAAACAACAATACTTGTGCCAAAATTTGAGAAAGCAAACAAAACACAGATTGTTTTATATATATAAAATAATAAATAATGTGTCAATATCATTTGGAGAATTTCTTAATTTTATACAATCTTTTGTAATCAAGTCAAACAAGAAAAAAATGATTATAGTTTGACATAATTTTGTATGGATTTTGGTTGACTGACAATGTAGTCACAATATAACACTTGCTGTTATGTGTGTGTGTGGGAGAGAGGGAGAGAGGGAGAGAGAGAGAGAGAGAGAGAGACGCACACACACAGATATTTGAGTATGGCTACAAACAAACTATCAATAAAAAAGGAAAAGTATTTATAATAATATCTAACAGTCTATCAGATCAAATCACATACATATTTTGTATTAATATAAAAATCAACAACCTGAATCTGGCCGCCCTTTGCCTCTGGATATAACAAATCCAAAAGGACCGTTGGGGGGTCTGGTGAGTTCTAGGAGGAGGGTCCCATCAGGGAAAGCCTGGGAGACCCTGCCCACGGGACGCCCCATCCTGGAAACAAGGACGTTTTCTACGCTCAGTGCCCTGTGGAGCCCGAGCTGGGGACTTTCAGGACTGCAACATGAAAGAAGGCTTCGTCAGGGACTCTTTTGTTTTGAGATTCATCTGATGGTTTTGTTTTACTTTATTTGATCATACCTTGGAGCCAGACCGTACGGTATCTGCACCTCTCCCAGAATAGTGGAGCGTTCTGTCCTTCTCTCCAAACTCTGCACAGACGAGGCTTTGCGCAGCTGGGCAGAGGGGAACACCTAGTGGCAGAAGTGGGAACTGTGACTACATATTTTCTGTGTCAATTATTATGACTGCTGTTGCCTTCTACACTGCATTCAAAGCTATTAGGTCTACTACAGCACGTATTATCATGTAAAACAAAAACAAAAACCAACAAGAGTTAGTGCTTATGAGGACACTTCACACAGTCGTGGTAAACTTCAAGATTCAATGATTTATTGTCACAAAAGCAACACTATAAAGTTCAGAAGTTGGCAGGATGACAATGCACGACCAGCTCACAGTTATGGCAGGTGTGTAAAAGTGGAGGATAATGGGGGTGAGGAGGGGGGCAGTAGCCACAGCTACCCTGGGGCACAGCCAATTAATCTGTACCATTGGCTCCTCCCACTACCATCAATACTTCATAGCATGGTACACCATGGAAATGTGAGTGAAAAGAACAGTTTGGCACTTTACAGCCGCAGCTGCCAGCACCCCCGCTGTGGCACCTGGTGTTCCCAGAGGTCTCCCATCACAGTATCCCTGTTTAGGTAAGTTTACGTTCAGAGGTAAAGTGTAAAATGTAACATGTTGACAATGTAAGCTTCATAGATTTTTAGATTTTATTTCACAGTTTCTGACTCGATAACACAAACTATATTTATCTAACTTGTTACATTAGGATGTCTTTGTAGGCTTAAAGAAAATTCCATCCTTATTTCCGTCTTACCCTGATGTCCTCATTTGACAATGCCAAATTGAGAAGTGCAAAAAATTTCATCCTTCATCTTTGAATTTACAAAAGCAACTTGCAAGTATAAAAATACAACCTATCTTATGAATAGTATAGTTAGTCTATGACGTGGCTCAGGCCTATAGCGAGTGATTGAACACAATGACAGCAGTGGAGCTGAGACTTCAAAGCGTCGCATGATCCACTGCGGAAAACAACTTATGAAAGGCGCCTCAAAGGAAAACTGGGAGACCGGCCATGATTGCAGCCAAACGCTTTTCACATGAAGGTAGAAAGTTTAGCGTTTGAAGCGTTACTCACTGTGTTCAGCGTTTGTAAGGAGGGGGTCCTCTGGATGCGGATGGAGGGCTGGGGTCTCCGTGTGGGGCTGGGGGAGGCAGAGTTGGGCCGAGGGGCAGGAGGGAGGCTCAGCTGCTCCATACTGCTGGAGCGAGACCCTTTCACCAGTCTGCCCACACTGTTCAAACCGATGGAGGAGAAGAAACGACGTAGAAACAACTTTGGACGTCCGTCAAGTTTTCTGCGTGAGAAATGAAATGAATTAAGTACTAAATTTAAGACATATTTTTGTTCCAACAGTTAATCTTTTAAAAAATACGTAAAAAGACCAAAACGATGACAGCTGTAATTTTGACCTGTATGTTTTTACTAGATGAAAATGAACTGAAATCATGTTATCTAACCCACTATGTAGAAAAAACACAATAATTTGCATTGGTTGGTGCAACACTAAAACAGATTTTCAGTTCTGTATCATTGTATATATGTCTATTGTGGCGCCACTTGTATGTGTTGTCAGATATCAGAAGCTAAGCAGGGCAGGACCTGGTTTGTACTGTGATGGGAGACCTCTGGGAACACCAGGCTCCACAGTGGGAATGCTGTAAAACTGTCATTGCGTCCTTAGGCAAGACACATAATCATTGTGTGTGTAAATCATTCGGATCAATAAAACAAATCAAACTATATACTGATTAACCAGGAAAGTTTGCATTAATCTTAAAAAAATCCAGTCCACATTTTTCCTTTCACTTTGCTGTTTACTCTATTTTTTTTTTTTTTTACTATAGCTAACTGTCCATTAAAAAACAAATAAAATAACACGTCATATTAAATCAATTGAATTTAGCTTGTAAGTAAAAATGTGTCCAGAAGAGGGCAGAATTGTCAAGTCATAATGAAAGACTATAATGATCAAACTGGAGAGAAGGATATGTTTTTATTTACCTGGAGCCATCTGGGTTCTCCTCCCATAATGCCTCTGCTTTCAGATGCTCTGCCCTCAATAGCTCCGCCCTCAAGTCCTCTGAGCGGGACAGGGCCATGGTGCGCAGGACGGGCCGAGCCTCTGCACCACCCTCCACACTCACACCTGCGGGACAAATAACCACCCAAAAATGCAATACTTTACAAATATCTAATGTTTATGTTGCAAAATTAGAGGATTTGATTTGAGTATGGCTACAGTATTCATACAAGATTTAATAACAACAAGATAAAGTATAATATAAGTAACATAATTCCCACATAATTGCAAATGTCAGATACTATGTGCTGGAATAACGCACACTTAACACCAGAGTTCTCCAACCTATGGCTAGAGAAACCTGTTGCTCACCACCCCATTCCAAGTATCTTCCCAAAGTATTGAGAATCTACAAATATTTCATCTTAATTTTATGATTTACAGGCTACAGCTAATATTAGTAAATAAATAGACAAAAGGCAAGTCAGAAAATTTTTTTTAGAGCATTTTTTGCGACCATGAAATTAAGCTACTTGTTCCGCTGGTAAATCTGGTAGTTCATTTCAGGCCCTCGTTTTACTATAGGCGTGATTTTCTGCAAGGTAACGAACCATTATGTTGACTTTCTTTCAGCTGCCTTATGAACGCTTTGCAATTTTGGTCCTGACAAAGGAGCTCTAAGCTGTATTAGCTTCACTAAAACAGTTGAATGTTATATTTTTTAAATCAAACAAAACCATACTATACTCCTTGTTTGGCAACTATGGTTATGTTTATTATTATACTTCCCTAATTATTTTGGCACACCTTTTGGCTCACCTGATTCATTAACTGTAGTAAATTTGTCTATTCTATGAAGTAGCCTGATTTGAGTGTGACTTTACATACTAACATACTAATTTACGCAATAGCCAAATGTTTGCATAAAACTATCTCAATTTTAAATGTATTTTGGATCGTTTAAAACATGTTTTGCTTTATTCCTGTATTGAGCAAAATTTCCCCTATTGAATGATGTTTACAAACATCTTACTCAATTATCCTAAGTACTAAAAAATACCAAAAAACATAATATCTACATAAGACCTTAATCTGTGTAATGACAACTCACCCGGCCCATCTGCAGCAGACTCCCAGAGGTCAGCAGCTGGCAGGTCAGAGGCCATCCAGGCTGAAGAGTACCTCAGAGTGGAGGGTCGGACACAGGCCACAGAGCTGCTGGTGCTGGCTGCTGATTGGTTAAATGCTACTGGGCTGGCCTCCCTTCTCACTTCTGATTGGTCGTGTTCTACTTTCCCCTCCGCACCTACAGCCGAGCCCACCTGAAACTGCACGGTGCCCTGGTTTTGATTTGCACGGTTTCTTGAGCTTGATTTAAGTGCTGACTTGATTGGAAGAGGAGGTCCTGTTGATTCTTTTGTCTCACAAGAGGCTTCCAGCAAACGTGGTTCTAACGCAATTGGGCTTCCAGGAGCAAAAGTCACCCCCCTGGACAGGTTGACTCTGTTTCTTGGATTAGAGTTGCGTCTTTGAGCCCATGATGGACCGTAGGGACCATGGCCAGACTCAATTCTGCTCTCCCCTTTTCTGCTCCTCCTCCTGAGTTTTCCAAATCCTGAAGACTTCCATCCTGAGCTGACTTCCTTGTCTTCTCCCAAGATGTAGGCTCCAGCGAATGTGACTGTGGCTTTTGGGCGAGTGCTAGCTTGTTTTGAAGACTGTTTCGCTCTGGCATCTTCAGAGGAAGTAGTTTGTTGGAGGTCAGTATTTGGTGGCTCAGATGGAGAAGTAACGGCCTGTGTTTCCCTGACAACAGAGCCGCATGCTTCACACCTTTTCACCACTACAATGATTTCCCTGACAGCAGTTTGTGTTTCCACGTTGACAAGAGTTGGCGGCATGGACACACTTCTTTGGTTCTTGCTTTTGCTGGCACTTGGGCAGTTTTCCTTGCTCTTAGCTCTGCCACGCTGTCTCACCCGGTCCAAATATCGAGACTGTGCTTCTCGCTCAGACTCATCCTCGAAGCGCACTCGAGTTGGGGAAGATCCGTAGTGTTTGCTCTGGTTTGGGGGCTCTGAAGGAGAAGTGTCCCTCTGCTCTGGGACAACAAGCGGCACAGAGACACTTGAGGGGGAGCTGTCCTCTGTGCTCTGGGCTGCTTTCTGATCTTGTGTTGGATTGTCAAAGTCAAATTGTTGTTTCTGGCTGCAAATTGGAAATTAATGAAAAGATAAGCTAGGTGAGTAGAGACGAATCTAGACAAAATTGAGACCAAGCTGCAAACAGTTTAGCAGTGTGTACAACTCATTTTACCTGTATATGTTATACTTTAGGGAGACTTTTTTTGACACACACACTCGGTAAAGTGGGTGAAGTGTCTTAACTAAGGACACAACAGTTTTGTTTTGTTGAGACTCAACATGAAATTATGTTCTACGACCGTGTCTATGTTGGATAAATATGTACAAATCTGGCCAAAAGTGGTACTGCAACCTCTCCCACTCTCCCTGACTCAGGTTGCCAGACGAATAGTTTTGTCAACAACAAATCTATAACCAACACCTTTTTCACCAAGGCCCCGATAGAAATCCTTGTTTTATTCCTTGTTTTGTTGTTAATGATTTTAGAATCATAACAAGACCTCCTTATTTCTGAGGCCACATGTTACTTTTCCAGTGAGATTAGAGATCACAGACTTTCTGATTGGTAAAACAGTGGAGGGCAGGAAGATGAAATGAAAACATTGATAAGATTTAGGGGCTGTAAAACAAATTTTGAAATCCAAATATCTCGGCTGAACTACTGTTAATAGTTAAAGAAGTATTGGAAAAGAGCCAGGTTTATTAATGCCTTTTGACAGATTAGGGTCATTTAAGGATCACTTGACATGAAAATCTTACATATTGCTACTTTATATTACATTGTATGAAATGTGCAAAATAAAAATCTGCTTCCTATAGCTCTCAAAACAGATGAGTTCTATGACTAATATTCACATGCATAGACTGAACAATTCACTGTGAGAGGGTACCCCACCCCAGCTTTGATATATTTGAGATACATTCAGCTGAAATTAGGTTAGGTATAGTATAATATGCTTTATCTACAGAACTCCCAAAGATCATGTTCAGGTGTTGGGGTCATAATGATGTGGCAGTGTACAAGCTTACATGGCATCTTCCTCATCAGGCTGGACTTGTCTGCTTGCTCGATCACCTTTGATGTGATTGGACCGTGCCTTTTGCCTGGCCCTTTCCAGAAGCCGTTTAGCTTGTTCATGTCTTGGACTCAGAGGAAGTTCCTCATTCATTAATGACCTAGATATGGACAAAAAAGGACAACTTAGATATTGTGCCAGATTGGTGTACTTTGAACAGGAATTTATAGTTATATAGAACAGAGTTTTAACATAAGGGTGCCCAATATCCCTGTTTCAGCATCCCTCCACTGGCTCCCCGTGCATTTTAGATGTTTTGTCTTTTAACCCACTACGTGCAGCTGCAGCTTTAGATCCTCGGGAAGGTCCCTCGGCTTTGGAAGATAAGGCTTGCACCCTCTTTTAAATCACTTGTTAAAACTCACTTCTATCGACTCCCGTAATTCTGAAACTACTAGAACTCTCAGAGCGGTCCTTTCGACAACTCCCATTTATTGTTTTATAAATAATAAGTAATTCATATGTTTTTTTTTCTTTCGTACATGCTAAAAATTGTTAATATAAATTATACAGAAATACAGCCAGCATTTCTGTTATGCTATGCTCTAGTAACTCGCTCTTGCTCCAAGCTGAGATTGCCCTGAACCCGCCCAGGACCAGTCTAGATCAAGAGGATTCAAAACATATTTACATTGAAACAAACTGCATGTAGAAACAGAAACAGTCACAAAGTTATGAAGACCAAAAACGTACATAAGCGGCGTACTTCCAAAACAAAAAGCCGTCAAATGGACTGCTCTGGGACTTCTTGTGTTAAATGTCTGTTGAACTGTTTACATTGTATTCGATTGTTCCACATTGTATTTGTTCCGTTAACTGCCCTCTGGCTACTTTATTTCTCTTTATTTGTTCTTCATTTTGATATTTCATATTACAATTATGTTTATATTGACTTGAACATTGTTTCTGAAAAGTGTACTAATAAAGATGTATTGTCAATGTGTTTTAGACTAATGGAGAGCAGTCCGGGTCTAGCCAACGTACAAGCCCTGTTGACTACCCTTACGCACTCCAGTTAAGCTGCTCAGCATTGTGCTTCGGCATCTGAACGTGTCTTTATCCTGTAGCCAGTGATAAAGATAGCATGATACCATGTGGGTAATCCTCATAATGGGCTGCGCATAATTTATTCTTTAGAGGGCAGATCAAAAGAAAAACATATTTGATGGAACTATATGCGCACGATAAGAGCCCTGAGTGGAAAAATGTACAATAACATTTCCACTCTCAAAACACCTTATGTAACTCTACGTAATTATGCTAAATAATGCAACATCGTGAGAGCACTTTCCCCTCAATCCCCTTTCCTTGTTGCAATGTTTGTCTTGATCCTCTGCACAAGCCGCGTGCTTGGTCTATGGATTTCCTTCTATTCCTTCAATCCATGGTGGTGGCAAACTGGAATTTATGAGACAAGGATAAAAATAGTACGCAGGAGTTGTGTGTCACCGGTTGTGCCAGGAGGATACAGGAGCTGCGTTGCTCACCTCAAATACGGTTCAATATCCTGGGGAAGAAGGGCTGAGTCTGTGTCGATCGAAACGCCTGAGACATCTGAGAGACAAAAGCAGAGGCGCATGCAATTTAAACATTTATTTTACTCCATGTATTGAAAATGAATATGAACAACTCGATTAACCCAAGTCTGTAGTGGATATAATGTTATATTTCATACTGTGCTAATCAAATATGACATTATTAGCAGTCGCAGGCAAATTCTAAACATGTTTTTATTCATCAATAGTTTGTATTATTACTACGTGAGGTGCATGGCTGTAGGGAGAATTTATATTGATTGCAATTAACATTAGACTACTCGTTGAAAAATAAACACAACATGGCAAATACCTCTTCTGTCACCTACCAACAAATCTTTTAAGTGCACTGATAGACAAAACGCTGGGACTGCCCTAGAGCTCAGCCTGCTAATAATAGCAACACCCTTCTGCACATCTGCACAGCTGACATCTGTTCAGCATGGGAACCCGCCAGGTTACACACTGCACTCCTGTATAACATGGGGAGACAGGCTTAGCTCAATCTGTAACAGCTGGGACCGCTCTTACAAGGCACGTTTTACACATACTTTCATCAAAAATGGCACGTGTTATAGAAACCACTTAAGCATCTGTTAATAGCCATTCAATCCCAGCATTGACTATCATCATCTACATACAAATATTTTGAAAGTAAGGTCTTGAATCTCAAATTGTACCTTGCATAGATATTGTGTCTTCAGGTTGGTCCACAGTGTCACCAACCTGCTTCTTTGCTACTCCACGACTCAGCTGTCTTTCTCGCAACTTTGCATACGCTTTTTGTTTGGCTGTAAGGGTGGCATCAGAAGGAAAGGAATCACTTTGTGAAGATGTGTTCTCCTTATTGTCAGAAGTACACAGGCCTTTGGTATCTTGCAGCTTTTGCTCACACCTTTCCAGGTAACATTCCATACTGTCCGAATGTTTAATCGCATCCAGAGCAACTACATCATCTACTGCCACTCCAACAATCCCACACATGTCGTCGATTTTGGCAGATTCCTTGCTTTTTTTGTCAATCTTAGTGTAGTCCTTAATAGGTAAAGTTGATGGACTGACACCAGTTAGAAGCAATGTCTCTGGCCGTGCTATTCTCCAAAAACCTTTAGGCGGTGCCCAATGTCTTGCGGATGCAGAGAGGGTAGAGGACAAATTAGTGCTTGAGGATGTTGAGACAGAAGGCAGATATGTTGATAAGCATTCGTTTGACTTTTCATTATTCAAATTATTCGACAAAACACTCTCCAAACTTTCACTTTGTGTGAGATCCAGTCCCACTTCTGGTGAAGTCTGTTTTTCTTGGGAGAGCATCTTTGTTTCAGCTGGTGGGCTGTGGATCTCTAATTTAACCTGAACCTGCACTTCAGGATCCTCATCACTTGTACTCAAAGTCCTGGCAGCCCCAGAGCGCCAGGATTGAACAGTAATGGGTGCCAGATTCTTTCCTCTCTCCCTTGGTCTCAAATAGATTTCTGGTGCAATGCCGCACACATCTCTTTCTTGGGTGACCAAATGAAATCTTTCTTTTTCTTTTTCCCTCCCTCTTTGACAGCGCTGGCTAAACGTCTTCAGCTTGGTTTGCAGTGAATGTACATCTGAATCTTGAGGAAGGATAGAGGGAGATGTGGAGAATATGGGCTGAGGGACTGGGCCAGTAATAAGATTCCAGTTAATCGGCAGCCCTGCAGGGGGAGACGAGTTGTTCTTTTCTTTTACCAAAATCTTATCCACACCAGCGTCTCCCTCCATTGGCTGCAAACAAAAAAACACACTTATTTCAAGACCTTATATCTTACATCTCATTTGCTTTTCCTGGATTGTAGATACAGTATGTAATGTGAATTCAGTCGCGTTGCCTTATCTAGCTAGTGATTACTTTGCTGTGCAACAGATAATCCTTTTGGATGAGAATAAGCAACTGCTGCCTGCAACTGAACCCTTATTCAAACAAACACAAGGGCACTCACTGCTTTTCATTCAGAAAACTGACCTGAAAGCAATCACTATTTTTCCCCAATCAATTTTATTTTGGGAGATTAAATCATTACTTTTTGCAACGTTAGAAAACAATTCACACGTCTTATAGCATGCAAATAAACTGCCATAAGGCTAGATGCATATTAGCGTACCTGGATGTTGTTGAGGGCATTGATGGCTATATTCTTGACAACCAAAAATGTTCACCAAAAACTTTTTACAAAAAAATAAACAAAGAAAAATACATATCGCGTGAAGAATCGTTAATCGTTTGGCAAACAGATAATCGATAACAAATGGAAACAAACAAACCTCCTGCTGTTTGGAAAGTGGCGTAGTGCTGATGATGCTGATGGTGCTGGAGATTCACACGCTGCTTTCAGGAGGCGGTGCGCGGAGTGTGGGACGGACTAGCGGTCCCTCAATCATGATTGGTTCCGTAATCCCCTCTGAATCAGTAGGATTAGGGAAAAAATAGAATTCAAAAATGCATGCTTAATTTCGCCCTTGCCTGGTGAATCCGCTACCGAGAATCTCTGTTGCATAAGTATTTCCTCCAGTGCGCGCACATTGGCTGCCAGAGCGCGAAGACAGTTCTGGATAATGAGCATTCGGCATGACAAGCTTTCCCTTATTGGTCTAAACTCTAAACCCAATCGGGTGCCTATTAACCTGTGCTTATTTTAATAAGACACACGAATTGTTTAATTTAGCCTATCTTTTTAAACTAGGGGCGGATCTATTGTTGCATACCAGGGTGGTATGATGGGGAGAAAGAAAACGTCACGTCACTGAACTCCCAAGCGGAGAAATATCCTTTACTAAACTTGAAAACCCTTAGAAAACCTGGCCAGTATCTTTCTGTTTGGAGTCACATATTTGCAGATACAACAATAAGACTAATTTAAGAGTTTATATAATAGTCTACACATGCTGGTTTCAAACGGTCCCCAACCAATTGCTGGAGAGCTACCTGTAGCTCACCAACTGAATTAGATATGATAAATAATTCTGAATATTTCAAATGTCATGCTTTTTGCTTTATACCAATTAGTTGACCAACAATTATTCACCGTGACTATGCATGGTATCTGATAGAATCCAAACAATGAGGGTGTGTGCAGTCTAGAAATACAGAAGGCAAGGCAAGGCAAGCTTATTTGTATAGCACAATTCACACAAGACAACTCAAAGTGCTGAACAAAACAAGATAGAAACAGTCACACAGTACATTAAAAATAAAGATAATAATATAAAATCCCTCAGTTGTATGCACAGCTTAACCGAATGAGGCCCAAGATAATTAGAGTAAAATAAAAGCTGTTGCGTGGCAACATATTACACGTCCTTTATGTGGCCGTGGTCTATTATCTGCAGGTATATAAACCGACTTCTGCATTAAGCCTTTGTCTAAAAACTTGTTGGAGCTAAATGTACAATTACGTCACTTTACTTCACTGTACTGCTGTCACCTTACATTGTGTGCACCATGTGCACTTGTATATTGTAAATAGTAACTGTATCTCTATTTTAAATTTAAATTTATTCTTTAGAAGTGTTTTTTATTCTTATTTTTATTATCTCTTTTTGACTGTTGCACTGAGCCAAAGCAATTTCCTAGTCTGTGACCTCCTGTTACTTACGTGGCAATAAAAATGATTCTGATTCTGATTCTGAATTATAAACATGTATATTCTGGTTATTACACTCTATGTTATTACTGAATGCCGTCAGGAGGGCGCCCTGCTCTGTATACGCACACACACACACACACACACACACGCACACACGCACACACGCACACACGCACTCACGCACGTACACACCCCCACACAGCCTGCTGTAACCGGCTCTAGTGCTGTAGTAGTTGACACCCTCCCAAACCTCGCAGCCGCAAAGCTGCTCAGTCGACATGGCAAGAAAATATCGCAATCTTCTCCTTAAAACGGATGAAAATCTTCCATATCGTTTGGAATGAGTAAGTACTTCTGGTGTGTGTTTATGTGTGGCGAACAGAGCTCAAAGCGTTATATGTTTTTGGCTATACACTGTATTAGTGACGCAAAGCGATGGGTAGTTGCTACTAAATCAGAAGCTAGGCTAAGCTAAGAGCTAACTATTGGTTAGTGTTGGGAGGAGCCTTGTCTGCAGCCTTGTATGCACCGTATGTGTTGTATCTGTGCAAAAATGATTTCTGGAAGTTGATGATAGTGATCGTATACGCAAAAAAATATGTATTCGAGATGTGTATGTAGATATCGGGGGGACTGTGTGTTACATAATCTCAATATTACAAATGGCTAACGTTAGATTTTCGATGTCACTGTGTTTGTTCTTTTGCCAAAGCCTAAACCTATGATTAGACTGTGTTACATATCGTTATGGCTCTTTTGCTCTATGCAGGCAGATGAACTGTAAAGTTGTGTAAATGTATCTGATGGCATTTTATTGTAGCGTTAAATACCACAGCAACACATAGGCGGCCAATGGCTCCTTGATAGCCAACATATCAACTTAGCCACCCATAGCTTAGCATGCTAACATTTCAAGCTACCGCTTGCTAGCCTTTCCAAAAGAGCCATTTGTATTAAGGTTTAACCTTAATTGCGCTGGTGTTTATGATATCCCATGTAGTTATAGGTCAGACATATCCGGGGTGTGCACCTCGCACCAAGACCGTGTGTTAAAATAATCTTACGACTGTCAACAACGCCAAATTAGAAGTACTTAAAGCGCAAAGGGACTTTGCTGTTAGCCTGCTGAAGACCCTTTGTCCATAGTCATAGCAGTATCGGACTCTTTAAAGTAGGCCACAGTGGTCGATATGATCTGACTGAGGACTGTTATTAACATTATTATTAATACTTATGGCGTGTCTCAGAGTTTTGTCGTAAATATAAACCTCAGTTTATTTCTGCATCAACTAATGAGTTTAGCATAATACGAACTGGCTATTTACTCTGACATGTGATGATGAGGCTTCTGGAAGAAAACTGTTTGGTAACACATCCTGTAAATGTGCAGTATAATTAACTTGTAAAATATTATGTTGCATGAGACACATCCTCTATAACTGTCCACTTAATGTATAACTGTTCATTTATTATGTTAGCCTATAAATAACGAATGTCAAAAATACATGTTTGTTTTAATTAACCAATTAATGTGGTCCTCTTTTTGTGTTTCTCTTTTTACAGTATTCATCGCGCAATGTAATAAAAAATCCACAATGTGTGAGGACATTTAAGAACAATTGAGTTCGGAAGAAGAAATTTTGATTCCAGTGGAATCTTCCATATATAATTATTATATTATTATTATATATTTTGTGTGTTAAGATACATTTACACACACTTGTCCCATCAACCTACAACCATGCCTGTGCAAGCACCTCAATGGACAGAGTTTCTGTTGTGCCCAATCTGCACACAGACGTTTGAGGAGACTGTTCGACGGCCTATTAGCTTGGGCTGTGGACACACTGTCTGCAAGATGTGCCTGAACAAGTTGCACCGAAAGGCCTGTCCCTTTGACCAGACGGCCATCAGCACGGACATCGAACAGTTGCCTGTTAATACTGCCTTGTTGCAGCTGGTTGGAGGCCAGGTATGATTTTTTTGTACTGTGAAATTGTTTACATTAAAGCTGGGTTACCTATGATTGTATTTATAATTTTGTAATCTGAGCGAATGAGGTAGCTACAAATATTTTATATATATTGAAGAATTAAATGCCATATGAGTAACTGGCTGTCGCTTTATGGTTTTACTTGTGCCCAAACATTCATGTTTTTAAGGGATAGGATAAAGGTAGATGTATGAAAAATCTATATTCACGACCTTATGAAGAAGCTAGGGAGTGTGTAGAGGAGCTTGCAATATACCTCATACCTCTCAGCAATACTCGAGATAATATTGCATGCATACAGTTTGAAGTGGCTGGGGCATTTGCTATATTGCGTCCCAAAATGCAGTATATTGTTATTAATTATTATTACTTACAAATGTTGTCAGTCTCAAGCACTGGGCTTCAGACTGAACTAAAACCAGGCTTTCTCTAGATCCCAAGTAAAGGTGGACAATTTGAGCATTTAAAAAGTAATTGCACAGCAATGTGATGTATGTCTGCTATAGGAGGATCTTTGAGTGACGTCGTTGTTTATGGTTTTTCCGTGCCGGTCTAGAGAGCTAGCTAGTTTTAGTCGTTTGGAGATAGGATTTACTAAATCAAATGGTCCACTCTTATTGTGTGGTCGGTTGTATGGCTCGCTGGTACCAGATATAGTTTTTTTCTCCCAAAGTCCTTTGGAAAAGAACACTGAAAAATGCGAGAAATGGTTGCGAGTGATCTGGAGAATTAATGGTCAGAATGGATTCCGGGATCAACAGAAACACAAAACTTACCGGTTTTACTGTCACAAAGAGTGATAATTTCTCTATTCTCCTTTGTAATCACCCACGGCAGATGTGAATGCCGCGGTGACTCAACCTGGTCTGATCTCGGCTTTCGACACAATCACAGATTTCGGTTTCATGGAAAATATACTTATTTTTTAGCTTATCTTTATGTCTCCTCCAATATTGTACTTATAGTGCATTTCGGCCACAAAGTCTTTTAAAATCCCTTGTTGCATCTAGGCTTTTGAATGTGCCGCTCTGTTTTCTGGCTCCCTAGCGAATGGCGCATGGGCACGCGGATGTAAACAAAGATCCTCCTATAACACCTGCCACTTGACCGCATGAAAATGGATAAGAAAAAGTAGATGGATAAGATATCTACTTCCTCCTTTTACTATTTGAAAAAGAGGAAACCCAGCTTTAAGGAAAGTGAAATAATGCAACTTGAAGTGTATTTTTCTACAGGTTCCTAAAGCTCAACCTGTTGCGTTGATCACCAGTCCAGAAGATTCATCACATTATGAAGAAGCCAGGCAGTGTGTGGAGGAGCTTGCACTATACCTCAAACCTCTCAGCAATACTAGAGGTATTTCTACACACACATTTTCAGAAAATTAGCCAGCACCTCAATGTTCAAGCAACACGTATTTTGTCTCAAAATTCAGTTTTTATAATTTATTCAAACCATGTGAAGTGTAGTGCAGTGCACATTTGCACAAAGCTGTTTATAAATTTAGCATCAATAAAGATGACATGTCTTTGCAAAATTACGTGTGACAGTACCTCTGATTGTGCATACTTCATTCATGAATTGTTTTATACTTTTGTCCGTGTAGACGCTTTAAACCTATTGTCCATGTAGACAACTGAGGTTTGTGAATAATAACAATATTGTGTAACAAGAAAATTATTAGTGTAGAGCAGGGGTCCCCAATTAAATTGGCACGAGGTCCACTTGATCAGTTAAATAGATTAGGGTCCGGACATCATACAAATATTTGATTTCATAGAAATCCATTCAATCAATTTCTTTCATATTGAATCATTGAAAATATTCAAAAACAGTATTAAGAATTATAAAAAATAATTGATAAATAACTAAGTGTATATTATTCACACGTAACATCAATCTCCTCTGTTTATTTCTACACAACACACAGCAAACCTCTCGGAGCAGAGGGTGCAACACATGATAATTTTGGAGGATAAGGATCTGGCGGACTTTTTTGTTGAAGTGCTTCTTTCCCATAATATAACATTTCTGTCATTGCCTCCTTACACTCTCAGGCTTTTTATGCTTTCCCAAAATCCACTGCACTTGCTAAAGCTTTCATAATGTTTTTAGGGCTGTCAAAATGATCTCGTTAACTCACGTTAATTACATTTTTCATTACCGCGTAAAAAAAAATTAACGCATGTCCGACTGACCCGCCCATTTATCCATTATATCACTCAGAATTCTGCGTGTGAGATGGCATCAGAGCAGATAGGCCCTCTGGGAATTCATGTTTTTAAAAGAATACGCGCGTGACCGTGGGGCTGTTTGCTGTGAACTGAAGTCCGCCTCCTCCGTGGCCGCTCTGGTTGTTGTTAGCGGCTGCAGCTGACAACAACACGGCTGTGAGCGGCGCTGCGGTAACATGGTCATATAAGACCAAACACGCCACAGAACTATTCTCTGCATGTTGTGTTCGTTTCTTTGCAACCTGTGCGTAACCTGTGCACGCAAATACACCACGAAAGTGTCCCTGTCTTTTCCTGAAACTAAACTAAACTCGCTGAATTAAAGGTTTGGTACGTAAATTTCCCCCTTTCATTAACAGCTCATTTTGGTTGTGCCCAAAAGCAAAATGTTGTGAAAAAATCCAACAGATTTAAGTACATTTGGTATAAATGACAATGTGTAATTACATTTGATAATCTAATTTAACTTCAATTGAAGTGGATTTGAAATAGAATGTTAAAAATGCGATTAATCGTGAGTTAACTCACCATTTCTGTGCGATTAATCAGCTAAAAAAAATTAACTGTTTGACAGCCCTAATGTTTTTGACATACTCTCGGACTAAACAGCAGCTCACACACCCTGCCTCCGCCACACACAGAAGACGCTAGCGTCCATCTATCCGTACACTGCGCTCACTCCTGTCTCTTTCCTCGTCTCTGACTCACTCGGATTAGACTAGATTGATGTTTAGACACCGCTGAAGTTGTTTTGACAGTTTTGTCCAGAGAAAATGGTCTCGGGGTCCAACATGGCCTGCCATTTGGGGACCCTGGTATAAAGAATTCAAATTGCAGTATATAATGTATAATGTACCTATTTCTTTTCCCCCTCACAATTGTTTGCTTCAGGTGTAGGTCTGAGCAGCACGGCACAAAGCATTCTCAGTCGACCCATGCAGAGGAAACTGGTGACACTGGTCCACTGTCAGCTGGTGGAGGAGGAGGGTCGTGTCAGGGCAATGAGAGCTGCCCGCAGTTTGGGTGAAAGAACTGTCACAGAACTGATTTTACAGCATCAAAACCCTCAGCAGCTTTCCTCCAACCTTTGGGCTGCTGTCAGAGCACGAGGATGCCAGTTTCTTGGTCCAGGTATAGACTGCTCTATTAATATAATTATTTTTTATTATCTTTGTTAGATATTAAAGAAGCTATACCCGATTTTTTTTCTAAGTAGTTCATAAAAATGCTTTTTACTACATACAAGTTGTATCATAATACATCATTTAATTGAAAACTTGAGGTAATTGATTCAGCTGTGTAAGAATTACAAGCAGTGAAAAGTGCTGAGTAGAGTCTTAGCGGGCCGCTCTTTCTCCTCCGCTCACAGAACGAGCAGCGAACAGCCTGCGTCCTCTAGCCCCTACAGCGCTGCTTAACACCAGGACTTCGACTTCAAAATTCGAATATAAATTCTAAAATAAAAAATGATGAACAAAATAATTGAATAAAAAAATGTGAACAAATATTAGACAACCCTTGTAATTCGAAATGTATTTAATGACTGCAAATAAAATAGTTAGCTCCCAAAGGTTTCACCGGGACGTGCTAGGCAGGTAACAGCTAAGCTAGCTAGTTGTTTCATGGTAACTTCCGGGTTTTTCGCAATCGCTTTTTGTCACATTGAAACAGTATTTTTGTTATGAAAACGTTAACAGCAAATTCTGAAATCATCCGTGCATGTGTGTTAAGGATGTATATGTGTACTGTATTGTCCGATTGACGTTTAATGGTGTTGATTGATAGATATGTAGTTGTTTATTGAGCGTGGCTAGCTCCGCTAGCTCCGTTGGCTTCTCTACACAGACAAGTGTGTAGTGACAGGTGCTGATAGCTTGTACTTGCGGAGTAATGGCAGTATTTTACACACCTGAATTACAAACAGAGGTTGCATTGGGGCTTCGGTCATTATTGGTTTGAGAGTTCTGTTATCAAGAAAAAATTATCGGAAGAATTGCTGCTGCTGCTTTGAGGAGCTCTATAACAAATTATAATTCAATATTAGAATATATTCTAAGGTTTTAAATTAATACATTCGGACGCAAAACTAGCGGTATTCTTTTACTTATATATTGTGTTAGCAGTGCGTTGCTTTAGTGCCATTTCATCGGTGATTGTTGCACAGCTCGCAAATAAAACTAGGTGGCTCTGTGTTATGAGAGCGTAGGGGAAATAAGAAGCCATTGAGCGAGTTGGGGGGCGGTGCTAAACATTCAAACATTGCAGAAACGGGTATAGCGCCTTTAAGGAAACTGATGTATTCTTCTCTTTGCTTTTTAGCAATGCAGGAAGAGGCTCTAAAACTGGTTCTACTAGCTTTAGAAGATGGATCGGCACTATCCAGAAAAGTATTAGTTCTTTTTGTAGTCCAGAGGTTAGAACCCCGCTTTCCACAGGCATCAAAGACTAGCATAGGCCATGTGGTGCAGCTCCTCTACAGGGCATCCTGCTTCAAGGTAGGTTTTGGCATATTACTATACCTTCTATAAACAACCCTTGTTCGATAAATTAAAAAAACCTCATGATTTTACAGGTTACAAAGCGTGATGAAGATTCGTCTCTAATGCAACTAAAGGAGGAGTTTCGCACATATGAAGCTTTGAGAAGGGAACATGATTCCCAGATTGTACAAATTGCTATGGAAGGTGGCTTGCGCATTGCACCTGACCAGTGGTCTTCTTTGTTGTATGGAGATCAGTCTCATAAATCACACATGCAATCTATTATTGACAAGGTGTGTACAAAGAGTTACCTCACTGAAACTGGCTGTAATTTTGTTTCACATTTACATGTACATTTTGGATTTTTGCTATAGCTGCAAACCCCAGCGTCATTTGCTCAGAGTGTTCAAGAGCTGACTATAGCACTGCAAAGGACTGGTGACCCAGCTAATTTAAACAGGCTTCGACCCCACTTAGAGCTCCTGGCTAATATTGATCCCAGTCCTGGTAAGAACTCTTGGATTTTTGAAAAAGCTATTTAGAAATCTATTTAAAAACATATTTTTCAGATGCCCCACCTCCGACCTGGGAACAACTGGAGAAAGGATTAGTTGCAGTGAAGACAGTGGTTCATGGTCTGGTAGACTTCATCCAGAATCACAGCAAGAAAGGAGCTGACCCTCAACAGGTTTATTTAATTTCAATTTCTAATTTTTCTACTGTGTGTAGAACATAATTTGTCTGAATGACTCATATTTGAATCAAATATATGGTGTATTTTATGACACTGGCCATATCTTTTTTAAAGCCTCCTCAGCACAGCAAATATAAAACATACATGTGCCGTGACATGAAGCAAAAGGGAGGATGTCCTCGTGGTGCCAGTTGTACTTTTGCTCATTCTCAGGAGGAACTTGAGAAGTGAGTGTTAAAATGAGTTCACTTCAAATTGTGGTTTTACTATAAAACTGAATCATCCACGCTTATGTTATCCAGATATCGGAAAATGAATAAACGTCTGGCTGCTCGCCTTCCTGGAAGTGGGGGGCTCATGCCAGAAGATGGCCTTCCCCTGGATGTGGCTGTGACCCGGAAGGCTTCACCCCTCACCAACGGCAGTGGGGCTCCTTCCCTTCCTCAGCTCATTGCCCGTGGCACTGATTCAGTCTCTTATGAACTGCTCCGCAAACCCATAAAGATTGAAGGAGGCAGTCCCAGTGCACCTGGATCACCTCCTGATGTGTAAGTGGACTGTACTTATTCAGTTTGGACACACACAATACCAACATTTATCCAACAGTCATTTTGTATTGCTTAACCTGAGAAAATTTGTATAGTAGTATAACTACACACATATTCATAGACTTGACTTACTGTATATTTGCAAGCCTAGTCAGACAGCATGCTTTTATGCTTTACACTTGTATCTGTATCCCTGACACAAGGAGTACATATTGTTCATATTTGGCCTGTTCTGATCAAAATGTGAATACATATTTATTTTTGATTTCATGAGCTTGATTAGATTCTCCTAATCTTAAAGAATGGACATGATGGGCACATTTTTTGTGATATTTCATATCATGGTTCTCAAGATTATTATCCAATGAGAAAGCCGAATTATCATCACACAAGTATTGTCAGTCTTGTTGATGTGTGTGTATCTACATCAGCCGTTTTCAACCTCTGAGCTGCGGTGCCCTAAGATATTGTCTGTTATGCCGATCTCCCACAACTTAAATGTCGCAGAACTGCTTTATTCCTATATGCACTGCCTACCTTGATGTTTTATTTTTGAATCAAAAAAGGCAATAAATATAATTTATTCATTTATTTTACAGTTAGAATATTATTTTTGTATGCAGGGAATAAAATAAGCAGTATTTTAGCAATAAGCACTTCCAACTGACCATCTGAGTTTCAATTAAAAAAGAGATTTTGGAAATTGGCATTTATTTTTTTCATATGACTCAGGCCAGCCTGAGTCATATGAAGAATACTTGATGACAGAAAGGACAGAAGAGCAATAAACGTTATATACCATAAGCTTGAGCTGGCCATCGGATGTCTGTGTGCCAAATTTGGATGAGGATTTTTTTTTAAACCAAGGATAAACGAAGCAGAAAATAGTCTTATGAGTTACCCTTGACGACCCTTGATGTCATTAGCGATGTCAGGGGCCAAGGTGAAGGTGTGGCACATCTGTACCACTTTTAAGTCTCTTAGTGTTTGATTATGTGGATGGAATAGTGTGTACTTATGTTACTGCTGTTAAACGTGAGGGGAATAACTTACTTGTCTTCAAGAAGCAACTTTATTTGTGATGAACCTTGCCACTTGTTTATATATCTGGTTGTATTCATTATGGTAGGATGGATCCAATTCCGAAAGCTGGCATGCCACTACCACCTCACAGCATGGTTCATCAGCGGGTGCCTGCGGATCATCACTCAGTGAAGCAGATGCCTGTTGTCGCCAGAGGTTCTCCAGTTTACCCACAGCCACCATTAACTGACATGTACTGTATTAGACCCCCACCATCAGCCTCTCAGTATGAGCCCTCACAATATCCTACAGGTAAGTGCCCACAAACTTAACAAAAAATAATGGATATATATTTTGAATTTATGGGAATGTCTTATTATTTCAGGTTACCACTATCAACAGCAACCACAGTACGTCACCAGAGATTATGTGCGTAATCCTCCGCCCAGTGAGGCTGGTGGTCCGCCTTACCAGGACCCCTATCCTGGCTACGGTCCACCCGAACGCTCATACCAGGCGTCCCACTCTGGACCTCCCTTCTCCTATCCTCATCCACAGCACTTTGACAGAGGTCGCCACGGAAACTACAACGGCCCGCCACAACCGTATCCACCACAGAGGGAAGGTCTAGTCAGAATGAGCCCTGCTCCTCTCGATGTTCCCCCGCAGTCAGGGCAGGCGAGCTCTATGTACCATCAAGAGCCCAATTCTCGAGATAGATACCCACCTGATGCCTACTATCCACCTGGCACTCAGCCCCCATCCATGAGGCCATATGTAAGAGTAAGTGTTACATTTTCTTTGTTGTCCTTCCGTCAAACTACAAAAACAGATTTCGTTCCTGATCAACTAAATCATTTGTTTGTGGACTCTAGGGACCATCTTACACAGCCTCGCATCATAGTCTGGACTACTTGCATCGTCGCCGGCAGGAGCTGCTGTCCCAGCTGGAGGAGCGTAAGGTGGTATCCCCGCCTCCATTTGCAGCGTCCCCGACTCTTTCTCATCCATTTCCCAGTGAATACTCACATGAGGTTGGTACATGTATACATAAGTGTTATGCATTCAAGTTTCGATTGTAACTTTCCCCCCCCTCCTCTCAGTACGGTGATGAGAGCTCAAAAACACTTGTGAAATGTAGGGAGCCAGATTATGCAGGTCAATATTCTCCTTGGTCCTGTGATACAATTGGTTCCTACATTGGTACAAAAGATGCCAAACCCAAAGACGTTATGGTTCCAGGGAGCATGGATATGATGGTAAGTCATTTTAAGATCTCTCAACACCACTCTGTGTATTTTAATACAATGGTCATTTGTCTCTTTATTAGAATGTAGAAGCAAAAGGTCTGAGAGACCAATCTCTGGAGACTTCTCGGCGAGGAACAGAAGTCAAGGATGATGACCCCATTATCCCCTTTGGTCCTCAGCCCACTGTGTCCCGATTTGGTGCCATTTCTCGCACCTCAAAGACTGGCTACCAAACGACCGGCCCTATACAGGCTATCGCAGCTAGTCCACAGAACCCCGGCGGAAAACATAATATGCCAGGTAGAACTGTCCTTTTCAGCCACATTATTTCCACATCTCAGGGGGTCTCTAGTCAATGATTAAATAATGCATTTAAATAATGCATTTTAATGAAATACATCTGTGTACTCTTTACAGAGTATTCATATGGAAGTCATGCTGGATGGGGTGGAGCATCGTACCCCTCCCATCAGACGTCACCCTCTCAGCTGTAAGGACTGATTGACTTTCTCGTTCACCAAACTTTTTCTGTCACAGCTGTAATTATAATTATTCCTTTCTGTAGAGAACAGATAAAGTTTGAACTGCAGCAGGTAAACCAACAGATCACCCAGCAGACAACACAGATGCACGGCATTGAAGTGTGTATTTTTATTGTTGCCAAATGCTTTTTTCTTATTATTATAATTTGAACTTTTGTTTCTCCTCCAGGCTGCCAGTAACTCCTTAATGCTTCAAAGGGAAGCCAGTGTACTTGCAAGCCAGGCCAGCCAGAGCCAAACAGCGCAGCAACAGCCAAAGTGGCCTCCAGGGGGCGCAAATGCTACGTCAGTTTCCAGTGAACAGCTCAGCCTGGAACTTCACCAGGTGGAACGAGAAATTGGCAAGAGGACAAGAGAGATTGCCATGGTAGGCGTCTGGGAATTTTTTTATCTGATTTTCCTAACCCAAGTTTCACAAGCTTTCCTTCGCCGTATGACATCTTTACAGCATGTATAATGTTTTCACTTTCAAACCAGGAAAACCAAGTAACCCATGAGCAGTTCAAAATGAAGCCTGCAGAGAATGGACAACAAGAGCCAAAGGCTCAGTTAGAGGATATCTCAATGGCCCGAAGGTATGCAAATAAGGACAACAATTATAATATAGATACCGGTAACTTATAGCATTATATTGTGGGGTACTTTTATCAATGAAACCATGTCTTTCTGTTGAATAGTGAGGTGTCTAATGGCTCCAGCAGTCTGCAAGAAAGTGCAGTGGGCGGGTCCATGCTGTCACTGACCAACAAGACGTCTGTATTGAGCCTATGCTCAGATCCAGGTGCTGCAGGTTCAGAGATTCAGAAAAATGGTGTGGTTCATTCATGCTCTTAGTCATGAGTCAGACACACTGCACACACATACAAAGAGATGCTCAATTGAAAAGCATGCACAGGCACACAACCCATTCTATTTAGAAGATGAGCAGTATCTGCCGTGATATTAATTTTCTTTCTTTTTGTTCTGTGAATGAGCTTTTTAATGATTTTCCTTGCCTGGAAACCAGAGCATATGATAATGTTTCTTGTGTCTGTGTTGTTGTTGTTTTTTTTCTGGGATTATACTTAAACAAGGCTTACGGAAAAAATATCAGGAAATGAAATAGTGGTGATGCTGGAAGTTGTAGGTTAAACTCTAGTCTCTGTATTTCGGGTTTACTTTCTGCCTTTTGGAGCAGTTTACAGGGAGACTGCATACTTTACCCAATTTGCTGCTTGTTAACTTAGGTCCTCTTTCATGGTAACGTAGGAAGGAATGTGACGTTGTGTGCATGGAGGTCACCCCCAAAATTGTACAAAGTGGTTGTCCAGATTATGATGGTCTGAGAAGGTGAATATTCTAAATGATGCCTTCAGTATTAACTAAAGTGATGATGTGGCTGTAACTTGTTCCACATGATTGGTTTCACCTGCCATAAGGAGCATGGTTTTATTAGTGCATTTTTATAAACACATTTTATGTCTGTTTCGTACTTAAAAGCTGTTAATTATATTTGATCAAAGCATTCTGTTTTAAAGATTGCATCAAGGTTTTGATAACAAGCTTCTCACATGTTTTCTATAAGGGAATACTTGCAAATCTTCCTATGTGCTTCTTGTGGTTTTGGTGCAGCTTGTTGTACCGTAGTTTAGCCGTGACGTCCTGGCTTTAAGATAGGACAAGCTCCTTCCCTCCTCAGAACTTCTCATCTGGCCACTCATAAAAACCTCCCCATTGGGATTATCTTGTCATTTGTTCTCATAACTTCTATGAAGTTGTCTTCCCTTTTGACTTTTTGTTCAAATGTGCTTTGTTTTATTGTCATTCTTTACGTTGTTACAATTTTGGGGGTCACAACTCGCATAGCACAGACCTTGCTCTTAAAATAGAATGACCTTACAAATGTGCTTATCAGAAAGAACTGTAGGCCTAAAACAAGTATATTATAGGATAACGTGCAGGATTTGTCAAATCATGAGTAAAAGGAGAACTTTGCTTTTCCTGGTTACATGATGATTTTATACTTGCACTTTCTGTGGTTAAAGACAATGTTTTACATCCACTAAAGTTAATATTTTAAAACCTATCACCATCACTACTATTAACATTTTTAATTTAATTTCCTTCATGTCAGTTGTTTACTGCAAAGCTCTATAGAGTTTGCTGCCTTTTTGTAAACAATTAGCATGAGATGCTTATTTCCAGCTCTCTGTGAGCGAGTGAGTCCTTGTGCTTAAACGGTTGAAGGAAAGAGATGTTCCCACTCAGTCCAGTTTACTGTAAACTTGTCTACTTGAGGGGTACTGAGAAACTGACAGTGTGACTTATCCCATTGTATCAAGATGCAAATACTTCGGTTTCCTTTAAATTTCAAAGTGCATCTTTAACAATATATTTCTGCACTGCAATAGTGATGTTGGCTTTTTCATTTTCCAACTGTGTCCTAGCCACTGGCTGCTCCTGCTTTTGTTGTTTAGGTACACAGCTCACTTATACATATGAGTATGTATACATACATTAATATACTAAAGCACTATTACTGTGCCACCTGTTATTCTACTCGCTCAGCATTTATATTAAATGATCTACTTAGAATTGGCAAAATGTTTTTTGTTGTTTTTCTGTCCACTTGTTGCCAACACAGACTTTATCCTTTCCCAGACGAAGGACTTCTGTGCGCATTGATGTCTGTTCACTTAATCTTTTGTGTTCAAACAAAGATGTTCTTTATAGATAATGCTTCTGAAGAAGACAACATTTTGTTTCTTTGGAAAGTTTGTGTGTTAGATTGTATTGTAGAAAATGTAACCGGATTTAAGTTGTTGTTCCTCAAAGTGTGCTGTACTGGCTGATAGTGTTCAGGTCTAGACTGGTGTTGGGGATTCTTTTCCTTACATGACTCCTAAAGCATTCAGAATTTCTGTGAAAGGTTGGCCTTACATTCTCTCACCAGGTTCCTCCATGCTCTAGGAGCATAAAGTGAATGCAATTATTGTTCTACAGAAATGTCCCATTATTCTCAAGTTGGTAATTATTTGTCCATTGGGTGTAGTTTTTGCCAGTAGTTATTTATTTTGAACTTGAGTCATGGGGCCTGGGATAAGATCTGACATTGATAGTGAAATCTTTTACATATTTGTAACTACTTCCTTTTTGAAGTAAGGGGAGGAATCTGTTATTCACAGGTCCCTACATTCTAAAACGACTCGAAGCATGATTGTGAGTCCTGTTAATATTTACTAAACAAATCATTTCGGTTTTTCAGTGTAATTGCTGCCTGAATCTATTTTCTTTCCCTCTATTCCCATTGGACTTCTGAACTCTGTTACTGCTGTTTGAGGCCACACTTAACTCCCTAACTTTCTGGGGAAGATGGATTTTTATATGAGTACTCCCTTGTAAAATATCTCTTAAATTAAGGTACAATTTTGATTTCAGCAAGAAGAAAGTTTTTATATGTATATTATACTCCATTAAGGAATGTCTAGAATTATCTTCCTCCAATGTGGATGTAGCCATTATTACGCCATTTTATGACTTTGTAAGAGAATTCACTGTGTGAAAATTGGTCTGCATTTTTGTATAATACAATCTGCTGTTTTTTTTTCTTTTGTTTGATAAGAGAGGGAGGTCAAACTCGAAGTTTGAAGAAAGGAAAAAAATGAACCTGTGAAATTTGAAATAACAAAATGTAACTTATGTGCAACAGTGATTTTAAGCTGAGGGAGAAAATATTAAATGATATTGCTAAATCATGACTTCTTGTGTTTTCTTTTAGTGCATCACACATTTGGTTTTGAGTTTTCTGCAAACGTGTGCCTGTCTGACTGCCACATTGGAAATATGCAGGCTATAAGATGAAAGATCCACACTGTACTTTCTCAAGTAAAATAACACACTAGAACATTTGGCATGATTGGATGCTTCAAATTATTACTGCTTCTATCTTGGGCAAGAGTTCACTCACATTTTTAATCCAATTTCCATGTTTGTAACCTTGGCTGTACATTTTGATACTGTACAATGTTTGTTAGCATCTAATTATAATGTGTCAATGGTTAGTGCTTTAAAAGATCTGTCACTGAATATTCGATGGATCCCATGTCACATGTCTTCCATCATGCATTTTGCTTAATGCTTCCATGTCTGTTTTGTCCAGTTGAAAGTCAAAAACCTAAAACAATGTAAAGTTTCACACAGTTGTGCAAATTATAATATTTTAGAAATGTAAAAAACCTTGCCCAGAGAGACTCACTTGGCAGTTTTCTCGAACTCTTTGAATTTTGGTTGATTTTGGTATTGTAACGACTCCATTCTACAACAAAGTGAAGTTTGAGAACATGTCGATGGTAAGATAAGGGCAGAGCAGTATATCCACCTGGAGGCTCCAGCGGATGCAGATCTGTGCAGGAGTGCGCCTGTGCTTTTCTGCCATGTGGAGCACCTTGGGCTCGTCGAGGAGCTGACCCTTAGCCAGAGGACAGTACCCCTCAAACACAATGCCCTCCTTTTGACAGTACTCCATGACTGTGGATGACTGCTGGTACGGGTGATACTCCATCTAAGACATTCACATCCAAAGGTCACATGTTGGAAAAAGTATTTTCACAATTTAAATATATATTTGAAAAAAAGAAGACTCCCCTTGCCCACAATCTGAACTTGTATGAATGTGGTACGAAAACCTTTTCTATAATTTCAACAATTCTCAGACAATATATTGTATGTAGCCATGTAAAAAATGCTAAGGATAACCTGATTGACGTGCGGTATCACGCCACTGGAGTCCTCTTTTAGCTGTTCCAAGTGATGGACCAAGAAGTTGCTCACTCCAATGGCTTTGCAAATTCCTACATTACACAAGCACCAATTCATTTTCTTGTAGACATTGCCAAATACAAACATGCCACATGTATTATACTACCTTCTTTGTAAAGCTCTTCTAACGCCCGCCACGTCTCAGCTCTCGCCTCCCTGTTAGAGACACGGCTTTCAAAGTTCCCTGGCCAGTGCATCAGATACAAATCTTAAAGAATAAAAAATCTGGATCAGACTACAAAAACTCTTGCCAGTATATAATTCCAAATACAATTCATATCATTTATTACCAAAATACTCCAGGCCCATTATTGAGCATGATCTGAGGCAGGCTTTCTTTGCTGTGCTGAAGCCATAGTTATCTGGCCATAGTTTATTAGTGATCCACAGGTCTTCTCGAGACACCATACTCTCTTTAATAGCTCTTCCCAGTTGTTCCTCACAGCCATAGCGCTCTGCTGTGTCAATGTGACGCACCCCACACTGTGTGAGTGCATACACAACTGCCTCATGAGAATATCCTCCCTGATGAGAAGTACCTGTAGAGAGATAATCAGGGACATTGTACTGCAAGTATGGTCAAAAAGTGCCATTTTGTTAAAATATATTTGATTGAATTAAAAGGGTAATTCTACAACTTTTCAGATTAGTTTTATCAATAGGACTACTTATATTTCGGTAATAAGAAAAAATATTCTTGAATTCCTGCAAAAGTAACAATTCTCCTTTAGACAGTCTTTAAACTTTGCAATGCACTACTAAACCACAATGATTTTGTATAACCTGTCACTAAAAAAACAATTCTAAACTATACATTACTGTCTAAAACAGTGTTTAAAAGCCAAAAGTCCAGATCAGTGGTAGGCAAGTAAAGAGTACATACAAACATGTTTTACCTCCATTACATTTTTTTTTTTTTTTTTTTTTTTTTAGCAAATATCAACCATCAAGGCATATAACATTAACGTTAAGCTACAACGTACCAAGTCCAAATAAAGGCATGTGTAAACCATTGGAAAGCTGGACCCGGGAAGTAATGCTGTTTGCTAGCGACGAGTACATGCTTCACTTAACAAGTTATATCGTTGGCTACAGAAATAAACGTCATAAATGTGTTTTAAATATGGATCTATTAGGTTAAAAGGAACACAGTTGGTGTTGTGAAGCCAGTTTGATAAAGCTAGACACGACAGCATAAAAAAGGGAGAGAGAGAGAAAAATCGCGAACAGATTTACGGAAGCCTAAGCGGTTCAAACATGCATCATTCCAGCCGCGGAAAAGAAACGCGGAGTGATCGGAGACGCTTTGCTCCGACGAAAGCACATGTCTGGAAACAACTGTGAACTGTTGTATCTAAACCCATTATCATGTTCAATCTTTCGGAAAAAGTATAATCATCTAAGCTAGCCACCACAAGCCATCATGAGGTGAGTAATACTGGGTTTGGGTTAGCCTATTTGAGGCTAATCATATCATTGAGTTGAATCATATCATGAAAATATATGTTGAAAATAAAAAGTTGGTTGTGCCATGATTATTATCCAACTTTCTTTGCCGTTTTTCATATGATTGGAATATTGCTTTGCACAATATCTCGATGTGAGCAACAAGATCATTTTTGCATGCTTGGTCACAAATTTAGTTTTTTGCCTCAACTAATTAACAGCTTATAAAGTGCCAATCAGTATATCATTTATGGTTAATTTGCTCCTCATTTGTATTTGTTGGGCAATTATTAATTCTTATTGTACATGGCCTGTTTGTTTATTATTCAACATCTAACTAACTACTAACTGACCCTTTCCTATGTGGGTTAGGGTTTAATATTCACAGTGTTTGGTTAGGATACACTAATTAGCACTTTATTAGTGAAGGCTAATCTGAAGTGCTACCGAACGGTTTTTTTCTTTCTATTTTGTACTTCAGGCTTCCCCGACTCTGGATAGCCCCCAGGAGAGGTCACCTGGTGTGGCCGATCTTGCTGGTTCTGCTGCTGATCGGGGTGGTGCTCATGGCTCTCACGCCTTCTGCAGAGGAACATCAAGCTGCGCACTTTGCTAAATTTCAGCGGCGACAACAGAGCGACACGGAACGTTCAGAAAATCACAATCAGCCCAGCGTGGAAGAAGAATCCAGGTTCACCATCATTATGCAAACCTACAACCGCACAGATATTCTGCTAAAACTCCTCAATCACTGCCAAGCCATGCCTCATTTGCATAAAATCATTATAGTTTGGAACAACATAGGAAAGCCTCCACCCCAAAAATTATGGGACTCTTTGGGACCTCACCCTATTCCTATTATTTTCAAACCACAAAACAATAACCTGATGCGCAACAGACTACAGCCTTTTCCTGAGATCGAGACTGATGGTTTGTTATTTATGCATGTAAATATTTAATAATAGTCTTCATGGTTTATTCATTGTATTCTTTGTTTGCACTTTTCAGCTGTGTTGATGTTGGATGATGACACATTGGTCAGTGTTCCAGATGTCACTTTTGCCTTCTCAGTCTGGAAGGTAAAAGTTGTAATTACATCACTTCTGCTTTGAAAATATTTTTGGACATTTAATTATTCTATTTAAATGTTTTGATGTAGAGATTTCAAGACCAGATCGTTGGGTTTGTCCCCCGAAAGCATGTGGTCACAGACAAAAGAATCTACAGTTATGGAAGTTTTGAGTTACAGAACCCAGAAATCTCTGGAGGTGACCAGTAAGTGTAAGAATGTAACCACATGACGATTGTCCACATGATTATCGTTAACAATCTGATCTTGTTTCTAATGCAGCTACTCCATGGTGTTGATTGGTGCTGCATTCTTCCACCGTCGATATCTGCAGCTCTTTGAGAAACAGGATAAGGCGGTGCTTGCGTTGGTGGACGAAACACAAAACTGTGATGACATTGTGATGAATTTTGTTGTGTCGCTGCATTTAAAAAAGGACCGGACTCTCTTTGACATTCCATCTGGAGTCTTTGTCAAACCGGTCGACATGCGCAATCTGGAAAAGGATGCAAGAAGCGGATATCAAGGAATGTGGCATCGACCAGAGCATCTACTTCAGCGATCTTACTGTCTGAACAGGCTAGTACAAATATATGGGGTCATGCCACTCAGTTTTTCCAACATGATGGTTTCCCAATTTGGTTTTCCTAGTTATGCAAATCACAAAAATAAAGGATGACTGTAAAATCACTTAGGTAATTTTCTATGATGGCTTTTTCTAGATAAAATTTGTATTTTTTCCTAAATTTGCCAATTATAAACTATGATAACAGGCCTGTAAGCTTTTTTTAATGTCTTGTGTAGTTTACTTTCATCTTTAGGGTTAAATTAATTATATACATAAAAGATGTTTTCCTCAATTTTGCATTCAACTGTGTTTTAGGGCTGGGCGATTAATCGATTTTAATCATTAATTCGAGTTTTACGTTTAAGGCGATTTCTTTTTTTTTTAAATTCGATTTTTATTTTTCCAGCGCAGAACTACAGCGCTAACGCGCTAACCGCGGGTCTATGGTGTTGAGCAGTCATTTTGAAGCTAACCTAATGCTAACAGTCTCCCTCTGGCCTGATGCTCGCTCTCACAGTTGGTGCTGTTGCAATAGCACTTCAAACGTTCAAGAAATCAGACTTTATTTAATCGCCAAAACACACACACACACGCACGCAGGCTCCGGTCGCTATGTTCGTACGCCATGTTCGTACGCCACATCTTTCACGCTCTCTCACGCTCGTTATTCCAAAGCGCACTCCCGTGTCCGTGGCGCGCACACACTCGTGTCCCACTGAGCCGCTGCACTTTGGGGAAAGACACGTCTCACACATTGCTCTCATTGCTCTGATACAAACAACGTGTTCCCCGCTGTCTGTTAGCTACAGTAGCTGCTACAGTAGCTGTTAGCTACAGCATCAGAATGTAAACAGGAAGCTCGCACAATGCGGGAGTCACTGAAGTTAGTATTAGCGCCACCAGCTGGACCGAGCGTTGTACTACAGCACAGTTACTCAGGCACAGTTGAAAGAACAAGCATGAAAACCCGAGGAGGCTTTTGGAAAAGACTGTCTGTTACAACATTTCTATTTTGAGTAATCAGTTTTAAAAATGTGATATTTCATGTAAATAATGCATGTGTTTAATAGGATTGATATATTTGCGATGGGCCTTGTTTGTGTGATTTAAGTTATTTTGAAGGTGCATAGTGTCATTGTAAGTGAAGTTATTATACATAGTTCCCACAGACCAATGAATGTCACATGACCTCCTCGGAGACGCCATCTTTGATGGCACGCTGCTGTGTTTGTGCATTCCATTAAACAGAAGAATGAGAATAAATGTAGATATTCAAACGCAAATTGGAAAAAAAGGGCAACTTTTGAGCAAATAATTGTATATTAATACAATGGCACCACAGTTTAACGTGCTACGGACATGTTTTACATATTTGATCAAATTATGCAGCAAAAAATAACAAGCAATGCAAACATTTCTCAAAAACTTTAGATTTAATACCAGTTGGAGCTCCATTTAATTATTTTAATTATATTAACAATTAATTTAATTAATGCTAATGCCACACGGACACTCTGGATTGCTGTTATTGTTTATTTCCGCGTTTTTGACCGTATGTTTTGGTGAATGGTGGGCAACTGATTTTTCCAGGCGTAAAGAGCAGTTTATTTTATGACACAGATTTTTACAGAAGCAATGCTGTTTGTGAACATTGTTTTAGCCCACCATAGAACTATTATTATCTATTTAATACATTTACGTTGCCCTCGAGAGCCTCGGACGCGACACCGATCCTCCTCATAATAAAGTAATCTAAATAATGAAACTCTCAAGTTACCAGATATCAGCATACACAAGTTAGTACTGAGTAAATTACGTCTGTCAACACATTATAAGATACGATACGCACCTGACACAAAGTGCTCCGAGCATATTCTTGCGTGTTGAGGGAGTTTCTTGCCTGTTTATCTTCGCAAGCCATAACCTCCGTGGTTGTTCTGACAAAAGCTTAGTCTTCTCACATTCATGAAGTCTAATGATGGGTATACTGTAAAATCCAAGTTTAACGGAACCTTCGGCACGATTTGAACATCCATTGACCCAGCAGGAGATGACCATTTTCAACTTTATCACAACATTAACACGTTTCAGCTTCTTTTTCTATTGTTTTGCCCACAGCATGCCAACACAAATGTCGCCAGGTCGGCAAATCCCCGTATGTAGTGACGTCATGTAGGAACTATGTATAAAACTGTTAAGCTACATTTTCACTGTTTACAATGGCAGAGCCATCTCGTTTACAAGCATGTTTTAAGGCTTAATTCCTGTTACACTTATGCTCCATGGGGATTTAGATTAAACTGCATAAAGGAAAATCTATTTCTTTGTCAGTTGTAGTTTGTTTTTAAATAGAAAAAAATAAATCGATTAAAATCGGATTTGGTGTGAAAAAATCTGAGATTTTTTTTTTTTGCCATATCGCCCAGCCCTACTGTGTTTATATATTTACAAATAATGGAAATGGCTTAATTTTACTAGCGAGGCAAATCCATCCCATGTATAGTCAAATTGGGTAAATAATCACAACTTACAGCAGATGGTGCTAATGCAGCATTTTATTGAAGAATAACAAATGATTATTTGTAACATTTAAAATAGTATTCGGAGTAAATTGAAGCGTAGATCCCACTGTGTCACTCTTAGCGTGTACCTCTACCTGCCCCAGGCCGAGTCTCTGACTTGGACTCATCAGTGGCTTTCGATCGCAAATTGTGCCAGAAATTCACTAAGGGCTCCCTCTTTCTCCAAATAAGCCTGTTACCATCTGTTATATACCAACTGGAATGAAAAGAAAGTATGTTAAATGTACAAATCTGAACTTTTCTCCCTAGACTAGCACTGAAGAAATAAATGGTAACTTACATCCCGAAAAGGGCCCCTCCGAGATGAGCTGCGTGGTCAAAGATCCGCCAGCCCAGAAACAGACCTGCCGTGTCCAATGCAATGAGCGCCTTTAACACCTGCTCAAATAAAGACAGGATCAGAAAGTAGCTGTTTCTCCATTGTGCCTTGAACAGATACAGTGTGGAACCACCATAACAGCTTCCCAAATTAGTGAACGTAAATTGATAATAAAAATATCAAGGCTTACATGTCCTGCACTGATGGTGACCATGGGAATGAATATGATGCCTAGTTTAGCTTCTGGCACCTTTGTACAGACTGCCGCCAACACAGCCATAATAGCGCCAGACTAGGGACAAGAAAACGAGAATCAACGTATCAAATCAACGTATTTGTAAAAAGTAAAATAAATCTCTTCTTACTGCGCCTAGAGATGGATGGAAACGTCCAGTGGCAGTTTTGCACATGTAGCTAACCATACTGGACATTACACCTGCAAATGCACAATATCCACCATATTACTTAGTTCACCATATTATTAGTTAAAGAGGGCAGTGATGTGGGACCTACCTGCAGACAGATAAAAGGCTATAAACTGCTCCTTCCCAAGAAGAGACACCAGTCCAGAAGAAAACGTCCATAAGACATACATGTTGGCCATCATGTGGATAATCGAGTAATGGCTGAATGTGGACAAGACCATTGGAAGGCACTTTGTTTCTGATGAAAGATTTGAATTGAAACCACCCCAAGATTGGTTTACACAGTGCATTTCCTTCAATTCTATTTACTATTTACTCACTTGAAACTGGGTTTGAGGTGAAATACTTTATCATGTTTCTTTGCATTGATGGAAGCCTCCAGCAGCACAGCACAATCGCATTCACTGCTATAATGCCTGAAAGATGACAAATTAAGATCAGGATTATCCTTTATTTGTCCCACAGTGGGTGGATTTAGCATTGCATCACCCGTTACAGAACAGTAGGAATGAGTAGCACACAAATGAGTAACTCCATACTACGTAAAATACCATCTCTGAACTCTAGCATCAAATAGAAACAAGTATATAATCTCTATTTTTAGAATAATGAGTACAGTAAGTATAAAATCACTACCTTTGGCATAATTGGAAGCAAGTATAAAGTATTGTGTATTCTAGTTAGTAGTCGTTAAAATGTAAAAAAAAAAAAAATCCTGAAAGTACCTGTTACAGTTTTTTGTCCTTCTGTTAAGCTACTCCAGAAGTCGTCCACCATTGACATCAGTAAGATAAGTTGCCTCTGAAAATCTGTTAACTGGTTCCACCAGTTATGCCAGTGCGTCATATCGTTTGAGCCCTAAAATAATGCATTGATGTCAATACAAACAGTATAATACATAATGTATTAAACAAGTAATGAACCCATGGTCACCTTTAAGAGTTCATCTGAGTCCTCTTGTGCAGCCTTGACTTTGGATCTCAGGCTTTCATACTGGAGGACACTTGCAGCAGCAAAGGAGCATCCTGTAAACTGACATTAAGTTAGACACACCATCTTCAAGGGTGATGCATTTTTATACTAACTTTATTTATTGTTGCGAGCACGTACCCCTAAGGTGAACAGAAGAGGTTTGATAAGTGACGGGCGTGTGATTCTGGGAGGTGGAATCGGTGTCTTGTTTTCACTTGGTGGGAGTTTTATTTCATGTTCAGCTTCACTATTGCCCTTTTTGATTTCAGGTCTCTTTGCTTCTCGGCGAAAACATCTGACTTGCTGCTGGTAAGGGTTAAGTCTGTTGACAACAGAACATTTTAACATAGTCATACAGCAACAAAGGTTTATTTAGGGCCAGAATATGATTACAGTATAGTCTTGCTGTATCAAACGCCATATTTGTTGAATCAGACAAATGTTTTGTAACTGACTTACAGTTCACAATGACAGCTAGCTTTAGCTAACAGTGCAGCTAGCTTACAACAAAAACACAAGAGTAAAACATCAGTGTAAAACATGACACCACACATGTGTCTCACCTATAGCGGGACCACGTCGTGTTTGCTGAACGAATAAACTCCGTTTTTGTCAGTTTTCTGACTAATATGAATCCACTCCACGCCATGTTTGTTTTGCGGCAAGTCAAATGGGTTGCCAGTTTGGAAACAGTTTTCCAGCTTCCAGCTCAGCAACTAATTTACCTGGCCAGTCAGCCAACAACAGTCAATATGAAGTTTGTTAGTATGAATAATAATAATAATACTGATAGTAACCATCCTTTTATATAATTACTATACAATACTACAATTAGTATAGTTTGTGTGAAAATTATGTTATTATAATATATTATTATTGTTATTATCATTATTTTAATTATCATTTTTGAGTTTTGTTTTTAAATCTTATATTTTTGACCATCCTGCATTTGAGTTCTCACTTTGTTCTGCGTCCGTGACAGTATGGTAGTCAAAAAGTGATTGTTTTTGGTACTACCATTTATAGGCTCAGTTTACGTCAGTATTAATAGGCTTTTATACATTTATGTAGCAACTAAGAAAGAACTTTGTAGCCAGCAAATTCATTAAATATTGATTATGTTGGGTGTAACTATTGGCACCTGGACAAGTGCCCAACAGTTCCCCCAGCCCTGTGCCAGAAAGGCTACAAAAATAGCAAAACGTAGATAGGGCTGCACTGCAGAGTCTTAGGATTGTAAAGGTCCGTCTTCTTTGTAATATGCCCTCAAGCTGTAAAGTCCAGGCAGAGTGTGAATAGAAAAGGGGAAAAGGTAATTAATCACAGATACAAATGCTGTTACATACTCCAAAATAAAGACAGAGTGGGTGGTGCAATAGAGAAAGGACAGCCACTGTATGGACCCAAGGACACACTGCCAGGTTAGATGATATCCTATGGGTCCAGGTCTGGGGCAGAGGAGGACAGAGGAGCAGGAGAAAAGGAGGGGCCCCTGAAGCTCAAACAGGAGCTTCAGGGGCACCAGAAGATGTTCACATGGAGATGGTAACTCAAACCGGTGCAAATAATATTGATAAACAAACAAAACTCTGTGTTTATCTTATGCTTATGCTCCATATGTTGAGGGGGGATAGGGTCCATTGTTCATCAGAGGTTTCAGGTTTCAGTTGGTCTTCATTGATTTGTTGTGAGCCGACGCCAGTCAGGATTCGCGTGTGTCTGCATCTAAGGTCTGTTTTTATTTGACACAAAACATCCTCATAATATATGATAATATATATATTTTTTTAAATAAATGGATCACATTGTTCTTTTTAATAAGATATATTTCATTGTAGTGTGAAAGACAAAGGGAAATTCCTAAATGGTTTGGAGGACCAAAGAGACTGAGTATCTTATAGAGCATTAAGATCGTCTGAAACAGCTAAAAGATTGTGAGCAATCTATGATTATCAAAATGTGTTCTTTTTAGAGGAGGGTTTCCGTTTGGCACTGGTTATCAAAGATGCTACGCCCTTTACAGTACAATACAACAACATTTCTATTTCTGCCCTAAGTATAGCAGCTCATTTACCAGAAGCAGTCTTTTTATATGACAAAAGGAAACCTAAGCTGATATCATGGTGTCCTATTGGACTGCTGACTGAGATCTTTTAAAGACACTGATCAATGGATCTGAGACATAACACCAGTATCACTGGTTCTCTGTTTTCAGGCAGATGCAGTTGTCTTCATGTGGCCAAACACGATGCTCAACAGTCCTATGTCCTAATGTCTCATCGTTGTACATTATGCAGTGTCTTGTAATTATAAAACACAAGATGTTATAAAATTCAGGAAATTCTGATTTCAAGAGGTATTCAAATATTAATGTTAGCTGTGGTACAGGAGAGTGAATGGTCAGGTGAAATAGAACGGCAGGCCACCGAACAATCTGAGCCAAAAAACCAAGAACACAAAATAAATGACGTTCTCCTGGTTTGGGCTCTGGTTTCATAATAAATCTATTTTGAATAGATATTATATTTGAATTTAGGTACAACCTATTTGTGTACCTCCTGGATTTTGAGTTAGTTATTTAATCTGACAAGGACTAGTCCAGTCCAATGCAAATTCATAAATGGATTTGGTAAGCAATGTTGGTTTATTAATTGTACAGTGCCTTGCGAAAGTATTCGGCCCCCTTGAACCTTTCAACATTTCGCCACATTTCAGGCTTCAAACATAAAGATATAAAATTTTAATTTTTTGTCATGAATCAACAACAAGTGGGACACAATCGGGAAGTGGAACGAAATGTATTGGATAATTTAAACTTTTTTAACAAATAAAAAACTGAAAAGTGGGGCGTGCAATATTATTCGGCCCCTTTACTTTCAGTGCAGCAAACTCAGTCCAGAAGTTCAGTGAGGATCTCTGAATGATCCAATGTTGTCCTAAATGACTGATGATGATAAATAGAATGCACCTGTGTGTAATCAAGTCTCCGTATAAATGCACCTGCTCTTTGATAGTCTCAGGGTTCTGTTTAAAGCGCAGAGAGAACCATGAAAACAAAGGAACACACCAGGCAGGTCTGAGATACTGTTGTGGAGAAGTTTAAAGCCTAATTTGGACACAGAACGATTGCCCAAGCTTTAAACATCTCAAGGAGCACTGTGCAAGCAATTATATTGAAATGGAAGGAGTATCAGACCACTGCAAATCTACCAAGACCCGGCCGTCCCTCCAAACTTTCATCTCAAACAAGGAGAAGACTGATCAGAGATGCAGCCAAGAGGCCCATGATCACTCTGGATGAACTGCAGATAACTACAGCTGAGGTGGGAGAGTCTGTCCATAGGACAACAATCAGTCGTGCACTGCACAAATCTGGCCTTTATGGAAGAGTGGCAAGAAGAAAGCCATTTCTCAAAGATATCCATAAAAAGTCTTGTTTAAAGTTTGCCACAAGCCACCTGGGAGACACACCAAACATGTGGAAGAAGGTGCTCTGGTCAGATGAAACCAAAATCGAACTTTTTGGCCACAATGCAAAACGATATGTTTGGCGTAAAAGCAACACAGCTCATCACCCTGAACACACCATCCCCACTGTCAAACATGGTGGTGGCAGCATCATGGTTTGGGCCTGCTTTTCTTCAGCAGGGACAGGGAAGATGGCTAAAATTGATGGGAAGATGGATGGAGCCAAATACAGGACCATTCTGGAAGAAAACCTGTTGGAGTCTGCAAAAGACCTGAGACTGGGACGGAGATTTATCTTCCAACAGGACAATGATCCAAAACATAAAGCCAAATCTACAATGGAATGGTTCACAAATAGACGTATCCAGGTGTTAGAATGGCCAAGTCAAAGTCCAGACCTGAATCCAATCGAGAATATGTGGAAAGAGCTGAAGACTGCTGTTCACAAACGCTCTCCATCCAACCTCACTGAGCTCGAGCTGTTTTGCAAGGAAGAATGGACAAGAATTCCAGTCTCTTGATGTGCAAAACTGATAGAGACATACCCAAAGCGACTTGCAGCTGTAATTGCAGCAAAAGGTGGCGCTACAAAGTATTAGCGCAAGGGGGCCGAATAATATTGCACGGCCCACTTTTCAGTTTTTTATTTGTTAAAAAGTTTAAATTATCCAATACATTTCGTTCCACTTCACGATTGTGTCCCACTTGTTGTTGATTCTTGACAAAAAAATTGATTTTTATATCTTTGTTTGAAACCTGAAATCTGGCAAAATGTTGAAAGGTTCAAGGGGGCCGAATACCTTCGCAAGGCACTGTAGTAACACATGTGTGTAATTGTAGTAGCGCATAAGGCACGAGGGATGGGTAAGCATTGTTTTGTTTTTTATATAACTTACTATTGCACATTTCATACAAATATACAACTGAATATATAGGCCACACATGCATACATATATATTTACATACATATGCAGACAGTCACTCACAGGGCTTTCATATTATTCAAAAGACAAAACGTTTTCTCATAACATGAAGACATTATGACGGGCTGATTCGTTCTTCTGTTGGCAGACTCTTCTGTTGGGACAAACACAATGCATGACATGGGTCAAAAGGTCATTGTCATTATTTATACTTGTCACAGCTCAAAATCACAACATGCTTCATATAAAAAAATAAAAATAAAATAAAACATTAAAACATTGACACTTAAGTTTCCCATAGAGAAATCAGTATAAAGGAGGTTTTTATATAAACGTATAAAAGTACACAGATTTTACGGCAGCAAATAAGCCATCTGCTCATTGCAAAATTCTAATAAATTATATCAGATTATAATCTACAGTTTCAGCATACAGGGCTGGCCAGTGAAGGCTATTATATTTCTTAGCAACAGGACAACAATGTAAGAACAGCTTGTGATGAAATTAAACAGTGTAGGCGCTGTGCCTCCTCCTCCCCCACTGCTTTACCTGAACTCACTTTCCACCTTGGTCAGAAAAGAGTCCACACAGCCTTCCACCTCCCAGCCCCTCTCATCCACACCATCCACACCATCCACACGCACTGGCCCTTTAGAGAGTTCAGAAGGAACACTTGTTTAGAGTCAGATACTGCTGCTATTCCCGGCGGGACTGGAGGCAAGCGGATAGAAGAAGAAGACAGAAGTTCTGCTGCGCAAAGGGCCATGGGTGACAAAAACGCGGGTAAGCAAACTTCCACGTGTTTCCTAATGATTTACTCGTTAGATTTAATTCTGATGAATGACGTTTGCGTGTGTCATAAGAACTGCGTGCGCGCCGATAAAACGTACTGCAACTTATTTATGAATGGGCTGCACACACACACACATATGGCGAACAATGCGTGTGCGTGATCGCCGGAAACGCAATGCAAAGATTGAAGTCACATCTTGCATGCGCTACTGTAACCAACCACAGATATCCATACTGTCTATATACCGCAGTATCCCGGCTCTGGAGCTCCATCCTCCGCATCCGACTGAATCAATCCATATAAAGTCGAGTTCAGTGCAACATCCATGCGTTAAAAACACGATCAAACTTGTGCCATTATAGAATTCTGTCCGCTCCAGTGTTGCCTTATTAAGTGGTGAAGGGCCGTGAGCTTTCATCATTGTACTCTGGGCTCAGTCAGCTGATTTGGACTAAAACTGCTGCCTCCACTTTTTTCGGTGCAGCTTTCCCCCTGAGCAGCAGCAGCGGTGACGGTGTGGTCTGAACGATCTGCGAGTGTTGTTGACAAAGCTGTTCAACCGAGCCTGTAATGGACCAGGTTCCAGTGTGAGATGCAGATGTGGCAGCGGGTGCTGATGCGTGGCCAAGTCACTGTAAAGTGAACAATGTGCACAGAAATAACTTTCCCTGCACAGACATTTTTAAGGGACATTGTGCCTTTTTGCCTTTGTCCTGTTACACGAGAACACGTGCAAAGGGCCAACATCATCAAATATTAAATGCACTTTAAATATCAGGAGAACATTGTGATGCTTAACACTACAACAGGGCTTAAGTTCTTTTGAGCATATTCCAAATGACTGAGTCTCTGTTTTCCTCATATTTGTGGTCGGTAGGTGTCATCCTTGTCAGTCTGACTTTAAAGAAATAATCCTCTGGTGAGTGAGAGTGAAATTATGAAGTTGAATAAGAGTTTGTGAAGAGTACAAGAGTACAGGTTTCAATGATAATAATATCATTTAAAGCTGACCAGTCATGATCTGACTCAGCATTTTTCACTCAAAACTAACTGGTATGTGAAGCTCAAGGTGAGCTGATGACCTCCCTGTTGACACACATAGGAGGTGAAATAAGAGACCACTCGTCTGGGTCTTTGCTCCGTGTCATCACAGACACAGTGTGCAGACCTACAGATAGGACAGTGTACGACTGTGGAGCTGCTCATTTATACACTTACTTATGGACAGCATGGGCCGTGGTGGCTGAGTGGACAGCATGGAGGTTGTGGGTTAGATCCTGCCTTTCTGTCTGACACTGGGCATGTTCCTCCCTGTGATGGACAGGATTCCTCCAGGCACTCCTGTTTCCCCCACCATAGGTAAAATCCTTCAGTAGCCCTGACCAAGAGTGTCAACATCTGAGGCGGGCATTGCACTGGTGACTGGTTGTCCCAGTGGCATAGCAGGATGAGTCAAATGCAGATGACAAATTTCCTATCGGGCCAATAAAGTATACCGTACCTTACCGTAGCTTTAGGACTGTCTGGTTAAGACCAGTTTAACATTTCTTTGATTCTTTGAAGTGCATTTAGAATCCTGCTCCACACAAATTATGTTTGTCAGAGCATGAGCCACTGCTGTGATCCTGCTGTTTTGTCTTCGTATAAGGCACTAAACCCCTTTGACAATGAAATCAATAGAGCAATTTGTTTGTTAATATTTGTACTTGTTATTTAAAACAGTCACTTATGAAGGTATTTGCAATGGAAGACATTGAACTTTGTTGAAACTTGTTGAGGGTTTGGGTGTCATTTATATTTGGGTGAGTTCACAGTAAAGTGTCTGGACTTTAAAAGATTATAACTCAAAAACTAAATTTCCCATCATAGATTAGAAAAAAAATAGATTTCAAACACAGACAAATCAAAGCGATAGTGTGGATGAAAAAAAATAAAAAAGATAGACTAATATATTTTTGGCGGAATTTGAAAAGACCAGATCAGCCTGGTCTGATTTGATCATTCAACTGTGACGCCAGTTACATAGAAAATAATAGGTCATCAGAGACAAAGCGACAGATGAACTCCCACAGATTAACATGGCTCACACAACATCAGGAAATCACTTGATTTAAAAAAGGAATCATTGCGGAAAAAAAATCAATACAAATTTAAATGACCCGTGAAAAATTTATAACGGACATGATGGTTTCCGTCAATAAAAAAAACAAAAAAACAAAAAACAAAAGATGGTCTGATTTTACATTTAATTAGTTTACTATATGAAAGCAATTACTTGGTTTCTACTCTGTGTAAAAAATGTGGACATTTGAAAATATGAAACAAACTTCCGCAGCTCATTCCCTCAAAGTCCGTTACACAAATAATAAACACAGCCACTATAAACTGGACTACAACGTTTATCTTCTAGAAACTACTAATGGACAGAAGAAGTATTTGGATAGATTAAACATTTAATATATTTTCTTGATCTTTATTTATATACCGCCTTTCACAGACCTGAGTCACAAAGGGGTTTACAATTGTTATTATTTTGGGCATTTGTCCCTCACTCCACACAGAGATGGGAGCGGGGTCGCCAGTACAGGAGGCGCATGCCTGACCTATTGTACATGTTTTTAGTGGTAGGGGAAACCGGAGTACCCGGAGGAAACCTACGCAGACACAGGGAGAACATGGAAACTCCACTCAGAAAGGCCCTGGTCCGACCGGAATTTGAACCCAGGACCTTCTTGCTGAGAGGCAAGAGTGCTATCCACTCAGCCACCGTGCCACCTTCTTATTATTAAAATAAAATGTTTGGTCTTCAGTCACATTTTTGTAGCTTTAGTGTGAACAAGTCCATTTCCTCATTTCCTGGTGAAACAAGTGCAACTATGTAGGTAACAGAGGGAGCGTTCAGGAACATGTTAAATAAATATGTGTGGTATACACAGCTTTTCAGGTGGAGGGTCCACTTCTGGCTTAGGTTCATCTAAATGTTGCGTGTTTTGACTGGATTGTTCCAAAGTTTGCCATTTAATGTATCCACTATGAGACAAACAAAGCAAGTGACTTCACATTATTTCTGCAGAGAGGAGAGATAGCTAACATGGGAATTCAGGTTCAAGTGCTGTAGTTTCAAATCATCTGAAATTAAACTATCTTTATAATCTAAACCATTTTTATCTTTTCCTAGTAACCATTTTAAACAAAGAAATGAATCTATGTTAAAATGGTGGAGAGATTATATTTAGTTTCATTCTCTTACAGCACAGATACGTCACATACTCCTGTGACAAATGATCGCAGTAAAAGTCAAAGTATTTCTCTGGGTCATTTTGCTCAGAATCCTTGGACTCATGTCTCCTTGTTCCTTGGCTCCTCTGTCCTGCAGAGGAATCTAGAACAGAGGAGGCGATTATTGGCGATGTAGAATAAACTGCTGTAAACACGCTTTTATTGACCAGTCAATAGTTACTCTATTTTACATTCATCAGCCATGAACCATTTTGTGATCATGAAAAATGTACGTTCATTATTATTAATTATTAAAAAGAATGAATATGACTTTATTTTTCTTCTTTAGCTGCGTACATTGAAGTTGAAAATGATCTTTATTTGACCAAATATTCTATAACTTATACAAAAACAAGTTTGGGCTTAAAAATTGTCTATTAGAGACTGGGATTTGAGATCAGTAAAAGCTCACTCAAATAAAGTAAAATACGTAAAGTCTACTGTAAATTTTATTTCAAGCACTTTACTTGCTTTTTGCAGTGTTCCTTGTATTTCTAAAAAAGTTTGTAGATATCTAATCTTGCAGCCCCGAGCGGAATTGATTATTGTTGAACTTATTCGTCTTCATACAACTCGTTGGGTTATGACTCCCCCTAGAGGTTTCCATAAACACTGCATTTTGACTTTACTGTGATACGAATAATGTTGTTATTTTTATCATAACGTACCGAAACGTATTTGATTTTTAAACCCTGCATTCATATTTCCCCTGTAACTTTTGAATCGCTGTTATTGTTCTAAGAAAAGAAAAAAAAAACACCTAAAATAAATGCGAATAAATACCATCACTACAATTTCTTGATTTCTTTGAACTAATATAAAACCTACTGGATCAGCTATGATACAACACAGGACCTAACCTGTAAACGGACATTATCCATAAAATTCCATACAAACTTCTAAATATAAGTTCATATCCTGTCAGGGTCACAGTTTTTTCAACACCAGTACAATCTTTAAATCTGCAGTTGCTGTGGACGGTTCCAAGTTTGCAGTGGTCAGTGTGTGCCAAAAGTGTCGCAGGGGAAAAAAAGTGGTGATCCGGCAAAAGGGCATAATCTGGCAAAAACAAAACTGGTGCACAGGGATTTAACCATTTCAGCATCTTTCACAACAAACACTTCTCAGCAGCACACAATAGTTTTTAAATCCGTGCCATCTTCAGCTTCCCAAATGCGTGCGTATTTTTGTGAATTACTTTGCTTAACCCTATCTGACCTTGCAAATAGTTTCCTGCCAGATAAATGGGGCTCTGTAAACTTTGCATCCACAGTTGTCCTGTATAGTGTTGCCATAATGCAGCACGCACCCGCGGACACATGTGAATCTGCGCGCGCATTATTATCTCCCCTCAGCAGTGACTCGGGGCCGGCCTGCCACTTACCCCTGCAGCTTAACTTTGGCGTGCATGCATCGCCCGCCCCCCGACACCAGCTCGCTCCCCCCACTCGCCTGCTTTCCCCTGCTGTTACGTTTGCGGCTGCTAAAGACGCGGGCACGTAGGAGATGTGCAATTAAAAGCACATTGTAACGTCCTTGCACTGGCGTTACTGTGGCGGAAGAAGGAGTCTGCGCGGATGACCGATGCGAGAAGCAGGAGACCGACAGCGAAGCGGGGGAAACACTCAAGATGCCCCGTTTTAGCGTCATTTGTCCCGCAGACTGTGCCCTTCCGGCGTTTTGAGGGGGCTATGCTACGCGCTACCACTGTGTTTTTGTGATAGCGCCGTGTCCGATTGTTTGGATTGAGGAAAGGCTCTCATCAACCCAAATCAATGAGGATTCTGAGGCCATTCCTTCAGAAAGGAGCGCATATGCTGCAGTGTTTCTGTGGACAACGATCGAAGTCGACCACTATTACCGACGGTGAGACATGCAGCCTACACAGTGGCCACCTCGGTGCAGTGTTTCAATTTAAGAGGGATTGATTTGCCAAAAGGAGTGTGTGGGTAACAGTCTGCAGCTGTCTCCTTGTACACCTGTCCCGAGTTTGCTTGTGCAGTCTCTAAAGCCTGAACGCGACGATGTGAGATCATCTGGTGTAAGGATAATTACATAATTGAGTCACGTTCAAATATGTTGTTTTGTTGTATCCAAAGCAGCAAGCAGTGGCAAGTGAATGAAGAATGCAAGTGATTAAAGTTGTAGGCTTGTGTGAGTGGAGGAGTGAGGGCCCCAAACAAATCAGCACCATGGACAGCGCCATAGCTGGAGCGGCTACTTCCAAACTTTTCCCATTATTGTAAAGCGTACTGGAGCACACTGTGTAGATTATGTGCTGACCACAAGACATTACATGCATTACATAATTAGACTAAGTGACGTCCATTACATTTGAACCTGTAATATGTGTGCTGATACCTTGGGACACATTTCCCACTATGCAATTTGTTTCATAGGCCACATGGTACTCTCAATGACACACAGCAGCGTATGCACACTGTCCACAATGAGCAGTTATTGGCAAGATGCCTATAGCCATGTCCTCTATACTGTCATGTCTCAGCATTTCACTGCATTGCTGATGTTTGAGCATACTAGCCTAATATACAAATGCCAAGAGTATACTGGGCTTCAGATTTATGCTATCAGTCACTTTCAGCTAGAGTAGCATGCCTCATATTCAGGCCAGAGACAATTAGCAACCCGATTAAGCACAGTCGATTCCTTTGAGGTGGTTGGACCAAAAGCAGCATGCACACTGGGAGCTGGTGTTTGAAGCATCCCTGGTCCAAGTCCTGCCTCTCTGCTGCTCATCGTTATATGAACCACTTGACCTCAACCTGAGTCAGCTAAACGGCCAGAACCATGGCCTCTTGTTTACGCTCAGATTCAGCTTTTGGGGAAAATTTGAGTAGTGTGTGTCTGCAGCTTGTAAGCTTAGTCATTCTGGTGTGAGTAAAGAGGGTTGTTTGAGAGTTTGATTAAAAAGCCTTTGCATGTAAATCTTTATATTTATAATCTTTAGATAGATTTATATTAGTGTATTATAATTGAACATACATATAGGACAAACGTGAGACATAACTACATTATCTGACTAATAAACTTAAAAAGGAATTCAAAGTGCATTGATGATCATAAAATGCACAATAGAATTTGCTTTTGTACCTAGGGCTTTGTTATTTGACTTATAAAAGAAGAACAAAAACACCCCCTTTTTGTGAATACAGTATGGCATGGTAGGATTTTTATTTTTACTGGGACAGGAGTGCTTTTTTACCCTTGCACCTGAGCAGGTTGTTGTCCCACAAAAAGTGACACATGACCAGTGTTGGGCACGTTACTTTGAAAAAGTAATTAGTTATAGTTACTAGTTACTTCTCCCAAAAAGTAACTGAGTTACTAACGGAGTTACTCCACTATAAAAGTAACTAGTTACCAGTAAAAGTAACTATTGCGTTACTTTTTCGTTTTGTTCTGGAACATAATGTGCACCCGACGTGCGCATTTTTACCTTTAACAGTGCCAATATTTCCATCTAGAAAAGTCTGTTTTGCTGCTGAAGTCCTGTTCACTCTTCATCTCTCACTGTGCTGTAAAGCCCGCCACTGTGAATGTGGAAACACCGGTGACAAGCGGTGAGGCTGGTGAAAGCACTGACTTCAGTCCAATCAGATGAACATATATATCATATAAATCAAGTGGACAGTTTGTTTGGCTACAGCAGAATACGTTTCATGCCCGCATTGTTTGTTCATACAAAACGCAAAACTGTGAGTTATGGGTCTTACCTTATAAATGACCTGCACAAGCCACTTCGGTTCGACCAGTTCCATGTTTAAGTCCAGATAATAGTTTGAGCGTAGATACGTAATCCTCCATTTGGAAATGAGTCCAATGAGTTTTAAAAAGTAAAACAAAACGCGTGTGTCCTCCATAAACTCCTGTGTTTTGCGGCAGCCGGCTGCATCCAATTTCTAAAATCAACCGCGTTACACTTCACCTCTCTTTCTTATCATTCCTATAGTAATTGAAAAATTACCCTATGTGCATTTTAGATTATGTAAAAATGTGTTATATGTATGTTAGCCAAACCTGTTGCTGTCCTTAGCAGATAAACCAGGAAGAGCAAGGAGCTTATCAATGGAATTGTATGCAGCCGACTTCTGCGCTCACATGAGCTCCTCTGTGGCTGACCTCACGGTGATACAAGCCGTGGATGAGCGCGATTAAGACCCATATTTGTTTCAAAAACACAATTTATGAGCCATCCTCTCAACTGTAGACATGTAGATTGTAAAGGAAATATGTTTTACATCAGCCAATAATTGCTGGGAGGTTTTCTCATCCTCCCTTCTCTCATGACAACACGTTCATTGTGCGTCTTGAGTAACGCGCAGTAACGGGATGTCGGAAATGATAACGGCGTTATAGTTACTGTCAAAGTAATTAGTTAGATTACTCGTTACTGAAAAAAGTAACGGCGTTAGTAACGCCGTTACTAGTAACGCCGTTATTCCCATCACTGCACATGACCATACATTAGTAAAACTTCCCCTCCCTGTCAAAAACATTATACATAAAAAGTGTAAATCCTCAACTCATCACCCCATATGTATTTTGGCTAATTTTATTTTGACATTAAACACTCCAACTAGTGGTGAAATCACTGAAAACCGACACATAAAAAAGTGCCTTGAAAGCTGATCATTCCTGTAACTTATACTGCGTAAAGTGCATTTGATACTACGTACAAGATATGTCCCCCTTCTACAGTGTTAATCCAAAACAACACTTAGCACCTCTCAAAGTTCCTTCAAGGACAATGCTGAGAGAAAACTTCAGATATGAGTGATAGTGATTTTGCCTTATGAAAGCGCAGTTCTCCGTAGGCTCCAGCAGATGGCAGCACGTTCACATGGAATGCCTCACTTGTCGTTGTAGTAGTAGCAACGGAGAACTGAGATGAAAGAAATGGTCTCTGGGGGGAAGCATGGACTTTGATTTGTAGCTCCTCGTTGTTCTGCACATGTCTGTTATCCACGGCCAGTGTGTATTGTAGCAATTAACTTAGAGAGACTTAGAGAGATTCACTGCACCATATGCTCTATTGCTTTTTTTTTGTAGTTACATCTATCACTCTACTGCAGCTATTGTCTTTTAAAGCTTTTGTTTAAAAAGTGTAAGTAATTACTGTTCCACGCCGGACCATCAACAATTGTGTATGACGTAGCAGCCGAGCACATCTGTACTTAAGAATACTTTATCTTTTCTGGCAGATGTACTGTATGTATTTTCTTGTGTGCTCAATACTCTCCATAACGATGCAAATGCCAAGGCCACTTTCACATTCCCACCTGCTATAAACTTTCTTTCACTATATATGCACTATGTATGTTGGCAAAACTGTGAAAAAACAATTCACAGACAAAAGTCAAATTAATTCAACATTAGAATCAGAAGCTTTTAGCCTTGGTGTCTGTGAACAAAATGTACAAACTAGGAATTTGCTTTGTGCAAATAAACAATGGTAAAATGATTACAACTGTAACAAGTTAATGGAATGATCTCAACTAATTTGTGTTGTAAGCCTTGGAGGTTGAATCATAATTTCTAGAGGATTTATCACTCAGATAATTTTATAGTAACTGCAGAATTAAGTGAAACCATGTTCACAAAGATTTTTTAACAAACAACAAATGTGTAAAACATTATTTCGATAGAGATGTTCTCCAGGGGCATCTCTTGAGCTTAGTTTTTTATCAAATGTATAAAAATATAAATAATAACAAACACATAGAAGCCATTGGTCCATAGGGATTACCACTGTCCATACATGGTGATATATGTGTATAAATGTTCACAAATGTCTTGAATCATCACTGACTTTTTGAGATCTAAACTAATAATCAGCCAAATAACCCATGATCAAAATAATCGTGAATTATAGCCCTAAAAATTCTTCTGTATATTGCTATGATGTCAAATGTCTGCTTTGTTCAAATGGATAAAACAAACCACACAAGTGCACTTTGGGGGAGTTATTTGCTTTTTGGGGAGATCTGCTGCTGCCTCTTTGTTTCTCCGTTCCCTTTCTCCCAGCTTTGAAAGAGCAACCCTTTAGCATGGACCACTTTGATCTATTGTATCCAAATGTTACATAAGGGAGACGTGTGTTCAGCCAGACAGCTGCGGTGCAATAACACTTCTCCCGGCATCTATCTTTGGTCGGCTTTGGTTTGGAGGAGCGAGTGTCAGAGGCAGTCCTAGGGAAAAAAAAAAAAAAATGTAAATGTTTCATGCCATTTCATCAGTGAAGAAGAGGAGGTTTGCGGTGCTGCCGAGATTTTCACGTGTTTGGTCTCCCCGCTGTGAGAGATAATAATGCACCAATGATTTCCAATGGCATATCTCAATCCTGCAAAATACTGCAACAGTGTGGGTCAAGGTTGAATTATGTGTTGTGTAAATGCAAATAAAAGTGACTAGCAGGAACATATTCATTCATTTCCAGTGTTACATGAGCTGTGCGTTGTAGCCAATTTAAATACAGTATGTCTTTGACGTTAGAGCAAGGGTTATATTAAGAGGAGCTTATTCATTTCTAAGATGACAGTGATCCATCATTGCTGGTTTTCGATTGGTTCATACTTGGTTTTGACATGAATTGAGGCTTGAGTGTGCTGCAAGTGGTTGTTCTCACCCATCACCTATCCCCACCCATAATCTTGAACCTATTTCTGGTTATTTGAAGGTTGAATACACAGAATAATTTATCCATATTTCAGCTGCTTGCCACAATTTAAAGATTCAAAATATGTATAGACATCATTTTCAATAATAATTGCAGTTTACGTTATGGTTCACAAGTTTACATACTATTACGTTCATGATCACTTTCCAGACTACATGAAGGATAGCCCAAAATTTGTAATGTGGTTTTGGATCAGAAACTACCCAAATGAAAGAGACAAAACCAAATTTACCAAGAGACAAACTTAACAGGAGAAACACATGTATAATTCGTATTCTCTGAGAAATTAAGAAATAATCAATTCAGCCTCGGTATTTGAACCTATGATCAGCTACATGCCCTCTTTAAACGCGGTTTCTTGTTAGAAGTGTGATGGATTTGGAGTAGGAAGTATAGTCTGCATGAGCCCAGACATGACATAACTGCATCATTGCCGACGACATCCCATTATTGTTCATATTTTACTGTTTGTCTCCATATATTCCATCGTGTCTAATGTTCCATTTTATTGCATGACAAACTTCAAGTCACTGTCTGTGTAAGCTTGATGTCCTGTTGTGCACATGCAGTCAGTGTGATTAGAATTGCCTTTGCATGCAATCTGTCAATGGGACAGCTCTGATAAAATGGTCGGCACAAATGTAATGGGATTCAACGAGAGACCCCCCTTAACACCCCGTTTCTTTTTCATAGTCAACCTCTTTCATTGTCTCTCTTCCATGACACTTACTGTACAGATACCCAGACCCGAGTGCTTATCTTGGGTCATGAGATGCCAGTGAGAATTTCTAATACAAACCTCTATCACGTATGATTGCGTTGAGAGATAGATCGAGGGGAGGGGGGCAGGAGGGGAGGAGGGGGCTGCACAGGGGGGGAGAGCTGGACCGATTCACTTGGTTCATAGTCAGCGACAGGACAGCAGCGTCGGTTCGGTTCGGGTTGCGCATGGGAACAACGTAAAAAAAACTAAAAAAAAATACAACAAAATACAAGGGGACTCTTCATGAGCACGATCCCGGGGCAGGGGACGGTGGACGGTGTCTCCTCGTTCCGCGCCAACTAATTGTTGCGTTTCCAGGCGCGTTCCTCGCTCCTATAGATCTCATCTCCGCAGCACAGCATCCTTTGGCTGCTCTTTCTCTTTTGCAGCTGCATTTTCAGTGCAAGCGGTCGATCACTGCCTCGATGCAAAGTCCGAGACGAGGACAGCACTGGGGACTATTGGAGTAAATCTTTTTTTGTTTTTTTCTTATAAAAGGGGAACAACTCTGAAGCAGCCCGAGCGTTTAAGTCGCATTGCCAAACGTGTTCACCTGGAAGACGTAAGGTAGTCCAATGACGCGCAGATACATCAACTTACTAGCACTGTTGCATGTCATTCCCATGCAACAGCCCGTGGACCCGCGCTCTATAGAATGTAAATAGATTCATGTATCATATTTGAGCCTGGTGTGTTCTGACTGGGACTCAATCAGCTGCCTCACTGTACTTCTGACAGGGCGCAATGCATTGGACTTGGCGGATTTTCTAATCGAATCAGGATGACGTTTGGGTGAAAAAAAAAAGGATTCACTTCATAGACTTTATTTTTTAAAGTTGCTTTTATAATCTGCACTGTCTATACCCCACATCTGCTCCTAAACCCGAGGGGTTTCTTCAATCGGGGAGATGGCTGCAATCGCCAGCTCCCTGATTCGCCAGAAACGGCAAGCGAGAGAGTCCAACAGCGACCGAGTGTCTACGTCCAAGCGGCGCCCCAGCCCCAGCAAAGACCCCCGATCTCTGTGTGAGAGGCATTTCCTGGGGGTCTTTAGCAAAGTGCGTTTCTGCAGCGGCAAGAAGCGACCAGTCCGCAGGCGCCCTGCAGGTTAGTCCGTGTGTGCGCGTCCCCTCTGTAATGTGTGCGTTATAGATGAGGGGGACAGAGCGGTTTCCCCCATCCCTCCACACCCTCTCCCCCACCCCGCCTCTGTATCCTCCTCCTCTCTCTCTGGTACATAGCACAGGCGTTTTATACTGCAGTCAAAGGCTCCCGTACAAATATAATGAGAAGCTTTTTGTCTAAACGCGTGAATCACCTGTTTCTGTAGATCTGAACGTCTCTGCAAAAGGTATAACTCAGCCAGGAAAGGCGACAGATATGACATCTAACCTGCACATAAGCACACTTACACTTATTGTTGCTTTCACTTATAATTAAATAAATCCTCATTCCACTTTCAAATGGCTTATTCAATATTAATGCATATTGAGTTACAGAGATAAGTTGCACCGCAGTGCACCAAGGCTCTTTTGAGATTAAATTATTTTAAAGGTAAATGTTTATTGCAGAGGGGGCTTTTACTGCAGTGAAGGGAGTAAAGCTCCTCTCATTAAGGACTGCCATCACACCGAACGGCAGTAAAGAATGACAGCATGACTGACCCATGAGCCCTGTACGCATACTTACTTTTAAAAATTGCTGACAGAATTCCTTACTTTCTTATTTTTAACAGCTTGTCTCATTCTGTTGTGTGTATCTGGAACACAGAAAGGCAGACATTTTGGAGACGAGTAGTAGAGAGACAGCCAAAGAGACCAGACAGGATAAAAAAACACATGGTGACATCAGGCGGTGATGCTGCAGCCAAAAATGAGAATGATGAATACAGCAATCACCTGAATAATTAGTTCTAAATTAGTTTATATCTTTGCCGTTAATAACACCCTATTTTATCCTCAATGCTTTGTTTGTATGCAAATAAGCAACTGCATGAAAACGTCTTTCTGAATTCTGCCTGTTTTTCCTTCTGTCCCTCACCCCCTTCGTAAGATGCACCCTCCAAACCTCCACAGGTGTCCCATAAGGGCTGCAGGCTAGGTCAGTAGCTCAGCCTCCATCCGTGTGTGATGATGTGCTTTCCTCTTGCTTTTTTTTTTTTTGTCATTATAATTTTTTCACGTCTCCACCTTCATCCCCTGGTCATGTCGGCCTATGGAAGGATGGGAGGGCTTAACAGGGGTGGTCGTGATCCTGGGCTCCTGACATATAGACAGTTACCTCCTCCGACCAACTGACCGGTTCAAATCTTCTTTTCTTTATCCAGCGTTAACTTTGTCTTCATGTATGTTTTCTTGAAACCGTTCCAACACTTGTGGCCCTGGAGTCGCCTTGGCTCTCTCATTCCGTTCATTGTCAGTCAGTCAGTCAATGTTGGACAAGTCTTGAACTGCTTATCGTTCTTTGTCTAAATATGTGCTCCTGTGACGTACTGTTAAGTTGTTGTGTTTGGATGTCTGTGGTATAGTGTGTTTGGCAATATAATGTTTTGACATTCACTATTCCACTATATCATGGTGTCATTTGTCATGTCCGTGTCCTTCTGCATTGGTTTGAAATACATCTTCTGATAACACTGAGATTTGAATATATTTCATGCAACAAACCGGCCATTCAGTGTGAGTTTGGGTCTGACCAACAACTCAGGAAAGCAATCCTGCAGAAGGCGGCAGTCCCTCACAGAGCGGCTCCACTTTACAGGGAGAAGCTCTGTACCAGCGGCTCTCACAGCGCTCACTAAACCGCAGCGAGATGGCGAGCTGCTCTGAACCAGCCACAAAGGAACTGACGCCTCCAGATACATTTCAGAATGTGACCATGCTCAGGTTTTTCACCCATTCAAAAACAAAATATCATGAGTCCTATATAAACTGACAAGTCAAATCTGCCTGGATTATTTGTGTGTTTTATAGTATACTGTATATGTTTTTTCTCTATATCATAAATTGTACTTTGCTTTTGATCCCCATGGTCCACAAAATGAATGTTATAATCAAAATAGTCAATGATTATATTAACTCTTTAATGATTTCCTCAATCATTTGGTAGATCACTTTTTGAGTCACATCTTCAGTCACTTTATCTGCTTGAAAATTGGAACTGAAATTTACCTCATTGGGGAATCTCTATCACTTGGTTATAGGCATCAAGCTTACCATCACGCTGCATCTCAACCATTTGGTAAAGGCCTATAATAATAATTCAAAAAGAAAAAAATTGGGGTTTTTAGTGCTCCTACATCTACATCTAGTGATACAACATTAAAGGGTAAACAATCAACCTTGTGGTGTTTTTCCTCATTACCTCGCACGTTTGGAAACATGCCTGAAGACACAGGTATATGACTTTGCGTAGGCCGCCATGAGCACAACACACTTTCTCTCCACACCCGACTTAAATGAGTGGAACTGATGAGGCGTCAGCTTCTGCTCTGCCCCACGTTGGAGCCCTAATTTATGGACCTGCAGTTACCCCATGATTTAGTGCTGTGTAGAGGCTCTGTGCTTTGACTAACACATAAGCCACATGGTCGCACATGCACGTCCTCTGCACCTCCACGCCCATCTGCCTTGTGATGGATGATGAAAATCCCCGTCCCAACAATTGATGGCAGCGAGAGTGAGCGAGAGAGAGAGAAGGAGAGGGAGGGTGAGTGGGATTGATGACCACGCAGATGAAGACACAGTAACAACAGGTCTACTGTACCGGACTTGGATCCTTTCCACTAATGTCAAATCTTAAACTGCAGAACTATAGGTAAATCTCGTCGATTTTGGCTAGAATTCTGTGGAGTTGTGTTGTGTAGCAAATCACAGACCCAGAAGTTTTTTATTTTCAGATTCAATGTCATTGGACATTTAATCTGATACCAGTGAAGGGATGAACACATTTGAATCATTGTATTCCTAAAAATAACATACATTCCAAAACCTTCGGTAACTTTTTGGATTGGTAATTGGACCTAGAGTCTGTGATAAAGTTGAATTGAATTGAATTGACTAAAGCTATGTATAAGATAAGTTCAAGCTATGGGATCTAACTTTCAAATCACACTAAAAGAGACTGAAATTGTAATCCATCTAGACACTAGTGCCTCGCTCTCGAAACAGTTAGAAAACATGTATTTATTCCTGCATGTATTCTCGGTCAGCATCTTTATAAAAAAATACAATAAAATAAATAAACTATTGCCAAACCTTAAAGGGAAAGTTTCAATTAGTAATCAGCTGTTTTGACCTGAAACCATGTCATGACAAAGCTGGAGGCTTCTGCTCCGGATTGGTCAAATTCAGGACAAATTGCCCCACGGGGATAAATTAAGTGCACTTTTTCTTCTACAGCTAATACTAATTAAAGTAAGTAAGTAACACTAAGTAAGAATAAGGATCATTACCAATTGAATGGGAGACGGCGTTAATATTCATCACATTTATGCCTCAACTGGGAGTGACAGAATCTGGAGAGATATAGCCCCAAGTCTCATTGTATGATTTTTTTCTTTTTGTGAAACTGGTGCAGACGATCTTGTATAACACTCAGGACTGTTGCGTTCCGCTGTTGCATGTTTAGAGGTTTAATCCCGGCCTCCACCTTCTCCTGAAGTGACGAGGACATACACAGCAGAATGTTGGGGAGGCGCCAAGTGTCTCCCCTTCCAAGTTAGAGGTCGCTTCAGTGTTAGAACAAGAAAACGGCTCCCTTTCATTCATCATGCCAACCTCTGTAGACATTAATGTACAGCGTTCTAATATGATTTGGGTTCATATTAATTCAACCCTCAAATCCATGCAGAATATATTTGTAATAAGTGTCATTTTACCTTTTAAAAACATATTATTGTGTAATACTAAATGTGTGCTATTGATCTGCCCATTGGGAGGGATAAGTTGTCAATATGATGAAAAATCATAGCTCAGCTGGGGGAGCACGCGTTTTGACGTTTCTGCTCTGTTTTACCCTTTTTAAAGCCTTTTAAAGCCTTTTAAACACGTTTTTACGGTGTATTAGTGTCTTTTGTACACTCTAGTGTTTTATTAATGGTTCCAGAGCATCACGTCTTTTAACACAAAGACCCAATCGAAACGCGCTAGCTCGGAGGCTACCACGAGCGCACCACAGACATGGAAAGTGACACTGCAATGACCACGAACGACATTAGTCGCCTCACATTGGAGCTTCGTGAGAGGGACCGTGCCACTATTGCAGACCTCCGTAAAGAAGTCCTTCGCCTCACTGCAGAGCTGCAGGATAAACAGTCACTCGTGTCCAAACTTTTTGATGTCGCTGGCGGGCAGCACTCACGGCTTATGTCACTGAGCGCTGCATACTGTGACACTGTCGTGTGGGAGAGATCTGTCAGCTCTGGGCCCTCTTGCTCTACACCTAAGTGCCCGGTTCGGAATAAAGAGCCTGCGGACTGCGAGGAGCCATCCAGCGCCGTGGCCCATGTGCTGAGCCTTTCAAACCGCTATGCAGCCCTCTCCGCTGACATTCCAGCCCCCTCAGCAGAACCCCTGGACTCTGCAGCAAACTCTACTGCTGTCCGTGGATCCAGGTCCACTGCGAGAAAGACACTCTTAAAGGAAGCTGTCCTCAGACGAAAGAGTGATCATTCCCCTTCTCTGACCCCAGTGCATCACCACCACTTACCTTCACCGGGTCAGCAGCAGCGACCCGAGCCTGCTCCTCACGCCGCTCCAGCGTCCCCGAGCACACAGCGTGGGTTGCCCGGAGCTGGGAATCAACACCCCCACTCCTCTCCATGTGTTCAGCAGCGCCCTGGTTCGGACCCATCCCTGGATGAGCCCGCTGGTTCTGGCCATGGACACCGAGCGCCCTCTCCGCGGCCGCGTCCACTCTTCGCCCCGACTACTTTGATTGTTGGAGATTCCATCGTGAGGCACGTCCGCTTTTTTAACGCGGTCACTCACTGCATTACTGGAGCTACTGTCCCAGATCTGCTCATCCGTCTCCCTCCTCTGCTTCAGTCCCTGCCTGATACCATTTCAAAGGTAATCGTGCATGTGGGGATCAACGACATGAAGCTGCAGCAGTCCGAGGTCACAAAGAAGCATTTTATGGATCTATTCCGCCTCCTCCAGTCCTTCGGGTTGTGTGTTTTTATCTCTGGTCCAGTCCCGACTGTAAACCGGGGAGACTGCTTGTACAGTCGCGTTGTGGCGCTCAACATGTGGCTCCAGTCTACATGCAGCACTTTTAACTTTATTTTTGTGAACAACTTTGGCCTGTTCTGGAAGCGTCACGTGGCCTATCGTCCAGATGGTCTGCACCCGAACAGATACGGCACCAGTTTGTTGACGGACTTCCTACGCCATGTTGTTCAGTGCTCCCCGAGGGGGGCGTGACTGTTTACATCCGAGGCTTCTCGGCCCCCACCACCCCCCTCCTCCTCCTCCTCCTTACCAGCACCGGGTGAGTACTGTGGTGCAAACACTGACCCCTGTCAGTCTGGCAGTGTAACGACAGTCCTGCCACTGAACTGTGCTGACTCAGTTATGCATCTGGAACTTAACAAAGTACAACAGAGTTCACTTTTTAAACCAATAGAGACTGTGTGTGTTTCTCGCACCAGCTCAGAAATGTGTTTTAACTTGAATAAACACAAATTTAAAAGAAGGACAGCAGTTAGACGGTCCAACTCTGGAAATCTAATTCCAGTTCTTTGTAATCAATCAACTAAACCCATTGACACTGATATTAATTTTAACCTTGCTCTACTTAATGTCAGATCACTATGCAAAAAATCATTTTTAATTAATAATTTTATCTGTTCGTATGATCTTGATTTTATGTTTATGACTGAAACATGGCTTGACCATAATACAGGAGATGCAGTTTTAATAGAAGCCTCACCACCAAATTTCAAATTTGAACATGAAACACGAGAAAATAAAAGGGGGGGGGGGCATAGCAGCAGTTTTTAAAGATCGTATTGTCTCCCATAGAGTGTCTCTTGGGAAATTTTCATCATTTGAGTATGTTTCTTTTAAAATAGAACAAAAGAAATCTTCTTCCATTCTTATTATTGTTGTGTACAAGCCGCCACAGTCATGCCATAGTTTCACTGATCATTTCACTGAGTTGCTTTCAGTTGTGTGCACAGATTTTGATGGTTTGGTCATTGTAGGTGATTTCAATATACATGTAGATAATGCTAATGATAGATATGCAATAGAGCTGAGCTCTGTGCTGGAAACCTTTGGTCTCACTCAGCATGTGAGTGGCCCCACCCACAGCAGAGGACACACTCTCGATCTGTTAATTACCAAGGGGGTTAATATTTCAAATGTAAATGTGGTCAATGTTGCTCTGTCTGATCATTTCTGTGTATTTTTTGACATGTGTCTTGATTGTAAACCACCAGCTGAATCTTCGGTTGTTAGAAGAAGACACATAAATGATAATACAGGCGAACTGTTCATGGGGAGGGTAAACTTTGAGAACACGTTGTGTGTTACTGTAGATGAATTACTTGATTCTGTCACCACCACTGTTTTGAATGTTCTGGATACAATTGCTCCTGTAAAGGTTAAAATAGTTACAAACAAGCAAAAAGCGCCATGGACTAAAGCAGACTCGGTCAGGGCACAGAAGAGAGAGTGCCGGAAGGCCGAGCGGAAGTGGCGAAAGTCAAATCTCAAAGTTGACCATGAGATCTTCAAAGATGCGTTGTGCAATTTTAACAGGGAACTACGTAGAACGAGGGTAATGTACTTTTCTGAAACTATTGAAGGCTGTAGCAACAATCTACGTGTTCTGTTTTCAACAGTAAATAGATTGACGAATCCCCCTGTTAAGATGCCATCAGAACTTACTTCCAAATCTAAATGTAATGAGTTTGCTCAGTTCTTTAATGACAAAGTCCAAGGTATCAAAAACGCCATCACCTCCACGATAGAAATAATAATCCAACCGCCAGTGAGGCTTTTTGGGCTGACGCACTTTACACCAGTACAAATTGAAACTGTCCAGGAGATAATCACTAGTCTGAGTTCCTCCACATGCAGCCTGGATGTATTACCTCCTAGATTTCTCAAGTCAGTTCTGAGCAGTCTTTTACCTTCACTTACACAAATAGTTAATATGTCTCTTGAATCTGGAACATTCCCAATGGCCTTGAAAACGGCGGTCATCAGGCCCCTCCTAAAAAAGAGGAGTCTGGAAGCCTTGGCACTCAAAAATTATCGGCCCATTTCAAATCTGCCTTTCATGGGAAAAATTCTAGAAAAAGTTGCCTATAAACAACTTACAGAATTTTTAATAATCAATAACGCTTATGATATGTTCCAGTCAGGGTTTAGACCCCACCACAGCACTGAGACCGCGCTAATAAAGGTAACAAATGACATCAAACTAAACACTGACGCAGGAAAAGTCTCAGTCCTTTTTCTGTTAGATTTAAGTGCTGCTTTTGACACTATTGATCATGGCATCCTCATTCAGAGACTTGAGGACTGGGTTGGTGTTGCTGGCACCGCCCTAAGCTGGTTTAGGTCCTATTTACAAGACAGAAAGTTTTTTGTGGAGATCGAAAACTGTACCTCAGACCACTTGGCCCTGACCTGCAGGGGTCAATCCTGGGTCCTCTTCTGTTTAATATTTACATGTTGCCTCTAGGTCAGTTGATTCACAGTAATAATGTCTCTTATCACAATTACGCTGACGATACTCAGGTCTATGTGTCCCTGACAGCAGGAGAGCATGAACCAGTGGACTCGCTCCTTCACTGTGTCCAGCAAATCGGTGATTGGATGCAAAATAACTTTCTCCAACTAAACACCGACAAAACTGAAATAATTGTTTTCGGACCCCAGAAACAAAGAGAGAGCGTTATTTGTCACCTCCAGGCTCTCTCTCTACAACCCTCAAATCAGGTCAGAAATCTAGGAGTGATAATGGACTCAGACTTAAATTTCAAAAGCCACATAAAATCTGTAACATCAGCAGCTTATTACCACCTAAAAAACATTGCTAAAATTAAAAACATAGTGTCTAAGGCAGACTTGGAGACTCTTATACACGCTTTTGTCTCCAGTCGGTTAGACTATTGCAATGGCCTGCTCACAGGTCTGTCCAAACAGGCTGTAAAACAGCTGCAGTACATTCAACATGCAGCAGCTCGAGTCCTGACCAGAACTAGGAAGTACGACCACATTAGTCCAGTTCTCAGGTCTCTGCACTGGCTTCCTGTTCCTCAGAGAATAGACTTCAAAGCAGCTTTACTTGTGTACAAGTCTCTCCATGGTCTCGCGCCAAGGTACATCCATGACATGTTTGTGCCATATGAACCGACCCGGACTCTGAGGAGCACAGGGACTGGACTCCTGTTAGTGCCCAGAGTCGGTACTAGACATGGGCAAACTGCATTTCAGATTCATGCGGCTAGAGTCTGGAACAGTCTTCCTGAGAATGTGAGACAGGCGTCTACTCTGGCATCTTTTAAATCTAGGCTCAAAACAATTCTGTTTAGCTGCGCATATACAACTGAATGATTTTATCTTTTCATCTTTGTTTTTATCTTTAATCTTTTTAATGCACTGTGACTATTTATGATTTTAGTCCCATCTGTGATTTTAATGTTTAAAGGTTTTTAATTTTTGTGATTTTATTTTTAATGTTTTTAATATATCTTGTGCTCTTAATGTGTTTGATTTATGCATGATGTGATAGGGGATGTGAAGCGCTTTGCGTTGCCTTGTGTAGGAAAGGCGCTCTACAAATAAACGTTGATTGATTGATTGAATATGTTGTGTTCATGTGACCTCAAAACATTACAAAGAGCCAATAGTTTTAAGTTGTGGTGGAGGGCAGCTGAAAAACATTTCCCAGTAACCCTCACAAATAACATTTCTAGTCCTATCCATCCATCCATCCATTTTCTTCCCCTTAATCCATTTCTGGGTCGGGGGGGTCGCAGTCAGAGCTGCACCCAGTCCACTTAGCACCAGCCCCTCACTGATCCTCCTGCAGGTGGTGAGTCCACAGGAGCTGAGATCTTTCAGTTGGGGCTTTGGGCAAAGTAGGGTTAAGCAGAATTTCTCTTAAATCCATAACATTATACAGTTCTATGCAGTGACATTTTTCATACATGATTATCTTCTGTGTATTTCTGTAATTGATGAAAGTAGTCCACAATCTCTGACTGTTTGTTATGTATTTGTTTTTCTGTTTGTCACAATAGTCCAAAGGCTTGCACCTAAAGGGTTAAATGCTTCTTTCCCATAGCATAGTACAGTATTAGCACCTGCCCTCCAGCTCTTAACACAATTCTAGAACATGAATACAACCTATACATTTGGAATTGTACCTTTTTTTACATTTCCTTTTTTATGAAACATAAAAAGGAAATACAGAGATGTGACTGTATCAAGTATGGTTGTATGTTTTGGTTGCTCTTCTCCAGTCTCCGTTTGAAGGGCGATGTTGTGTAGAGGTTTGGAGCTGACTGTGTGTGTGGTGGTGCTCTGGTCTGCGTGTGTGTTTTTCCAGAGCCACAGCTGAAAGGCATCGTGACGCGACTGTTCAGCCAGCAGGGCTTCTACCTGCAGATGCAGCCGGACGGAACCATCGATGGAAGCAAGGACGAGAACACCGACAGCAGTGAGTGTCGCGCTTCCATTAGCCACAATATTAAGTAGCAACCAAGCACTTAGTCATATGATATATTTTACATTTATACCCACTGCATCATCATGTGTTTATTATAAAGTGATCACTGACCTTCTGAGAGTCTCACCCAGGAACCTATTCACCTCATGCCAACAGTGGACTACATGTGTTTCATTTAAGTGTTGCAACGCACTGTACAGAGCCGTGGGAATGGTGTGCGGGAATTGAAATGTGTATGCTTAAAACTAGAACTCCCAGAGCAGTCAATTTGACGGCTTTTAGTTTTGGAAGTGTAATTATTCATGTACTTTTTTGATTTTCTCAACTTTGTGACTTTTTCTTGTAGTTCCTTTCTGTGTAATTACTGTTATGAAATTATCTTTTAGTAGTAGTAGTAGTAGTAGTTTCAGTCCTAGTGACTTTTAGCGCTAGGACTCCTACAATTAGTGAATAGAACTAGAATCTTTTAACACTAAATATGTTCTAGCCAAAACACATAAATACAAGAATTCCCAGGGAGCAGGGCACAGTGCGAGGTTAGCAGTGTGAAGGCAAATGTTTACGGTAATAACACATTTTTGCCCTTTTACACCTTGTCAAGGGACTACACAGATGGAAACTACCTGTATAACTCATAACTAATGTTTATTAATGTGTACTGTCTCTATTCAAATAAAACAATCAAAAATAATTAAAATGGAATGGACAGAAATGATAGCAGTTAAAGTGAGTTAGACATCATAGAGCACATTATTACCATTCCATGACTATATTACTCTTACAGTATTGCCGTGTGTGACGTGTGTGTTCAAGGTAATGGATCGAGGTAATTGATCGGGATAATCGAGATAATGTGTGTGCATTTCTTCACTTTGGGTACCGACTCTGCCTCTTTAATCTTCTTCATTCTTCACAGTGCAAACTAAACCTTTACCAAAAAAGCACCACTTGGATTCTGATTGCAATGCCAGCACCTGTCTCCTGTTTGGGTTCGGGGGAAATCGAATATGGATTTGAAACTCACCCAGACCATATAAGCTTCGTTCATTGAACCGTGAAATTGTAATCATCCAAAAAGGTTGCAAACAAATCTTGATGATATATCCTGCCGTAGCGCCCGCCGTAATTCTACATGATGCTGCTAGTTAACTGAGTAAAGCAGAAAAGCTGAGTCGCTCTGACCTATAAAACACACTGCTTTGAGTGGCACACAGTTTTGATTGATTTCTCTCTGAACATGCGTGATTATTTCTGCACAACTCAATTCCTGGAAAAGCTATCAGCTAAAACTACCGCAACTGCAATGGTTTTAATTCCTGATGGGATCCTTGTCACAGGATTCCTGCTTGAGCCACTTCTTTGCAATATTTCACTGTCCAGCCATCGACTTTCTATAGTGGACTATGGCTGGATAAATAGTCTCTTGGGGGTTGTCGCCTGGGGCCGCACATCTCACATGCACTCCCCCTGGAAAACAAGGGAGTCCGTTTTTTTCATGTTAAAGTCCAAGATAATATAAGAAATAACAATATGTCGATCTGGAAGGCTTTTCGAAATGTCCAGGGTAATAAGGCAGCACGCAACCGATAAGGTCACAACGCTTAAGTCTGGATCTAAGATGTGGGTAATGATGTGTTGTACAGCAGCACATTGGGATTTGGACTTGATGTGCTGAGTTTGGAGCGATAGTAATGTGTAATATATAATACACACATGATTCATGAAAGGTCTTCTACTGTATATGAGAGCTTACATAAGAGGTGGAAAAGCCTGCACAATACTCCTTCCCTCCACAGCTATATATCATCGGGCCAGTGCGGCTTTTGTGTTGCATGTACGGGTTTCCCCACCTCTAGGTAATCCTCTTTTTAAGCAGTCCCACTGGCCCAGAGATGGAGGAATACAGTGAATTATTCAGCCACAGCAAACTAAAAATACCAGCCTCTCCGTTTGTACCAGATGAATTATTCCCTGTGTGAAATGCCTCCAGCTAAGACTGTGAGTGGAGACAGCCAAAGTACAGGTGGTGTGGGGAGAGCCATTTCATTTTTGTGCTGAGAAACTGAGACAAAGCAACACCTCAGGTAAGACAAAAAGGCGACGATAGAGTCAAAGTGAAGGTGTGACACAGACACGAGCCATTGCATCGCAGTTTGATATTCAAGTCTCGCAGCAGCTATCGATTGTCCGGCCGTATTATTGGAATGATAGATTACCTCTTGAACCATGTCACTCTCTGACCTGCAGAATCCGCAGCAAAGCAACCGATGGAATTCAGCCATTTGTTCTGTTATACTATGAGCAAATGGCATCCGGTGCTGCCCACTCGGTCTTCATCTTTAATCTCGAATAATTATTCTTCCGTAGACAAGAATATCGTAAAAACATAAATTAGGAGGACAGAAAGGGCAGTAGAAGGATGATGAGGGTTGAGCTGTAAAGTGTGCCATACCACAGAAGATGGATTATTTTCGATTCAATTTTGTTTGTGATTGAGCTGATGACAATTTGAAATAAAAGGACTGTAAAATGCTTAAATAAAGTTATTGATACAGGACTGACAGGCTAGATATAGTTGTTAAAGATTGTGAGATTGGTCCAAACGGTTCAGCACTTTGGTTTTCTGCAGTGGTATTTTGTGCTGAGGTCTATTATTTTTATATACAATACCAAAAAGATAGGCCTGGTATGTCAAAAAGAGACCATGTGTGCTGTTATTTTGCCTGGCGAGACACCAGTTTCACTTCACATGATTGGAAAAAGTGAAAGGGTGGATGGGGGGGGGTCTCCATTACTGACTGGTGTCCTTGAAGGATGGGTCAAATGCAAAGGACACTCCCTACTCGGCAAGAAAGCACACAACTCAGTCTGATCCCTCAGCACATGCAGTATTTGTTCTGATTTCAACGGTAATTCAGTAATCAACTATTACCTGATTGCACAAGTTGATTAAGAACCACCTGCCGTCAGCATACATCTGTCCCAATTTTGTGTTTTGTGGAACAAGGCATTCTTTTCTTTTGTCAGTTTTTCACACAACCTAAACACGCTACATTCTCTCTCTCTATGTGTGTGTGTGTGTGAGAGCTCTGCCATCTTTGTGCCGTGTCTGTATGGCTTTTGGAGAGGTGCCACGGCTGCACACGCTAACTGCAGGGACTTATTATGCACCCACTCCTATTCTACCTGCTGGATTAACTTGTAGCTGATTAACACCTCTGTAAAAAAAAAAAAAAACTTCGTCAGACTAATGAAAGATCCCTAGAACTCTCCTGCCCAGGCTAAGAAAGATACAGTAGGATTAGGGTTATTAGGGGGAAAGGAATAGCCCTGGGAGCAATCCTCAGGTACGCTAACAGCATTTAATTATAAAATCCATCAACCAGTGCAAGCGTAAATAGCAACGCCGAACATTTAGCACAGAGCTGAGCATCTCCTGTCACAAGCAGCGTATTATTTTTCGGCAAGTGAACGAGATTGGGAGAACAGCAGATGGCAATTATAACAAAATAGCATTAGAAAGCGGCATCTATTATGTCACTTCTGCAAGCGGGGCTATTATGGTAATGCTTTTAGGGATGGTTTCAACTCAAGTATGACTGCAGCAAAAAAGCCTGGATTTATTTGAGAGAGAGGAGGTGCCAGGGGGTGAAGCACGGCTGGATTTTTGTGAAACGTGACAGGATTTTGGACTGTGCCCGCCAGCCATGAAAGGCAAATGAGACGTTGGTCAGCGAGGGAGAAACGGAGCGGTCATACATAGATAGTACTGCAGGAACTTGGTGTAATTTTTGAAAAGAAAAAGGATTCGTTCAAACTTTTTATAGTTATAAGTAATAGAAATAGTTTTGAGAAGCCTATACATATACACATGCAGTAGTTTCTAAGTTTGATTTTTTCAATACATAATTATGAATCAGGCTCTTTGTGTGTATGTTATTATTAAGTGCTACCTGTATTTAAATATTTGGATTACAAATTGCCTTTGCCGGGACATAAGCGTGGGGTTTCAAGGGTCATTCTTTAAATCGTTGTTGTAGAAATAGTTGTGTTACTGACCTGGCAGCCGAAGTTGATGTATGTGTATGTAGATGGCGTGGGAGTTCATAAGTCTCACTTGGGGGTCAAGAGGAAAATGTATATCTGTATTAATGTTAAACAACTGAATCCTGTATGAACCTGAAACCAGTCGCGCTGATCCTTTGCAGGTGGTGGGTCCCAAAGGCCAATGCTCTATCAACTGAGCTACTGTCGCCCCCCCAAAATAAAAATGAAAAATGAAATGAAATGACTACATTATATAGATAGATAGATACTTTATTGATCCCTGTAAGAGAAGTTCAAAAATTCATATCTATACGATACAAACAAACGATAATCATTTATGTGACATTGAAGAACAATTAACTATGTATAAAACTCATTTTCCATGTTTTGAATCTCCAGAATATTACTACTTTTCTTCTTCAGTGGGGGTTGAGATTATAGAAGCCCAGGCCTGAAAAGGTTGGGAACCCCTGGTATAGAGTAATATTTGATTTACCACATTACAACAAGAGGAAAATGTAAAATGTATTGTGTTACTGAAATCACTCTTCCCTATTAGCCTTTCCCTTTCATCTGTTTGACCTATGCAGCATCGCAATAAGGACAGCCTGTTCCTGAGCGATAAGGACCATTGGTGAACTTGAGCCATGGTAGAGACTATAGCAGGCAGACTGTTAGCATTAGCTGTGTATCATCTGCAACAGTGGCCCGGGGGCATCTTTCAGTCATTGGCAAACGGAAGGAGCATGTCGATATTTATTGAGTGAAATTGAATCCGCTCAGAGGACGCACGCGTGTTGGCACGTCTCCTCCGGCCTCTGCCAGCTTTATCTGATAGTCCCCATCACCGCTTTCAGAACAAGCATTCAAACAGCACTTGGTCATGGGCGTCCTCACACCCTCGCCTCTGTCAGCTGGGCAAAGTCATCACGCTTTGGACAACAGCTAATACCATTGTAAAAGCGGGTCGATAGAAATGATTGCTGTCACCGTACCAAGTGTTTGTCAGTAATGCTATTATGTGGAATACTTTATCAGTGCAGTAATGAAATTGATTAAGGGGAAAAGAGCTCGAAAGAAATACTAATCACAACATAAACTGTGGAAGGAGTGTACGTCACCCATAGGGTTTGCCATTTTGTGGACGAAGCTGATTAGAGCTAACTCTATAAGGCTCTATGAGTGGGAATCTGCCACCAATGACATAGGTAGCAACGCCCTAGCAACCAACAAGCCAAGACACCTGATTGGTCAGTTGTTAGGCAAGGCAAGTTTAATTGTATAGCACATTTCATATACAAGGCAACTCAAAGTGCTGAACAAAATAAGAAACAATCACACAAGGAATTAAAATAAATAAATAAATCACAGTACATTAAAAATAGATCCTCCAGTTGTATGCACAGTGAAACATAACTTATTTAACCTGGATTTAAACACAGTCAGAGAAGTCTTACATTTTCAGGAAGACTGTTTCAGATTTTAGCTGCATGAATCTGAAATGCGGGCTCCCATGTTTAGTTCTGGGCTCATTACAGGATATATAGAGCGCTAAACTATTGATTTTGAAGTCCAAAATGGTGAGTGTGACACAAAAATGTTCTGAGCTAGAAAAGCTTAATTGTCAATCTAATTCAATAGGAGCCAAAGCAAGTTAAAGCAAAACTTTTCCCATGAGCACTTCCCTATTAGGCTTTATTGAGCTAGGGGTTCATCACTGTCTGTGTGTTTCGAAAATTACCGCATGGCTTGTTTGCTCACCATGGGGACCTAACCAAGCCAAGCCATATCCACACTAAGCCAGGACAATGGTGAACATCTGTTGTTTGATTTGGAAATACTTTTTTTTCACAATTACAACAAGCTAATGTGATCTCTGTGTGTCTCTCTTCTGTCCATTGCGCAGCCTTGTTCAACCTTATTCCCGTGGGATTGAGAGTTGTGGCCATCCAGGGTGTCAAAAGTGGCACCTACATCGCAATGAACGGCGAAGGAATGCTTTACAGTTCGGTAAGAAAAAGTACAGTCTTTTATGCTGTGTTATGTGGTTATTCATTACAGCACAGACATCCCCTTTAATCCTCCCTCTATTGATTCAACTGGTTTTCACATACGCCGCATTAGCTTTCCCACTCGTCTTCCTGTCCTTTGTTGTTGTTTTTGAAGCCACACGGGGCATGTTATTCATTTAATTTGACAACTATGATGCTTGCACCGTTTATTGCAAAGGCCTTTTGTTGTGCCGCCCGCTGACAAAAGCTCATTAAGTTGAAACGGTAAAGAGCAATAGCATTTCGATGTGTTTTGATGTCGGAGATGCTGCTGTTGGAATTGTTTTAGTTCACTATGGTGTTCAAGCAAATACTAACTTGCCCTGAATTTCAATGATTTGGTTGTTTCACATTGGAGGAGCAAAGGTCGGGTAGCTGGTAGGAATTCTTGCCCACGCAGAGCCTTCTAAAAATAATCCCTGTGTCCAAAACCGTCAAGTTGAGTCAAAAATCAATATTTAAGTCTGTTTCAGTTTCAGTATACATACTTACATACAGCATATTTGCATGGAGTCTTTTTCAGGAGATGAAAAATTCTTTATATCAGTTTACCCCATCTACACTAATCCTTTTCATAATTAATATAACATTTTCTTTTATAAAATTATCAAAATGTGTTGCACAACTCAGGTCTGACTATAGAAACATGAAAAGATAAACACTACATATCATATATATATATTTTTAAATATAAATAAATGAATAATAAACCAATTATTTCCATTAGAAAAAAAGGTTGTTGGCTATTGCAGGTTAGCACTTCATACATTTTCTGTGTATGTGTGTATAAAGTAATCGCATTGCACTGTTAGTCAGAAATATCACAATTACATATTATGTCAAAATCCTGCAGCCCTAGCACCAACGCAAAAAAAAATTCAATACTGTGAAGGCTGATTATTTGAATTTGTTATATATTTGTGGCATAACACAATATAGGGTGCTAGCGTGGGCTGTAGCTGAGCAGGAGAAGGATGATGCAGTCACGGATGTCAGATTGAGAAACTGTCAAGTTATAGCCTCTGCAATATGCACACATGTCTTCCCTGTCTCTTTGTGACATGTGAGCTCTGCAGGGACACATGTGGAGGGGGCAGAGTAGACCTAGAAGTGTGCAGTAACATCCCCATTCTCCTTTTGCGGTATATAAAGTGGCCATGCTTGAGATTCAGCGCATAAAGGCAAACCAGAACGCGCGTGAACATTGTCAGAAGGTTGGAAGCGCTGGTAGCTGAAGTGATGAATAAGTGACAAAGCTGGGACACAGACTGCCCATCAAACTTTATCAAAATGCAATCATAAAATCCCTCAAGGACACCGTGTAGCCTGGGAGAATTGCATTGCATTGCTTATTGATAAGAAACAGCGTCCACTGCGGCAAGACAGTGGGGCCTCGAGAAAGAGCATGTGCCAAAAAGAATGGATCACTTACTGCGATTTAAAAGTGCTTCTTAATAAATTGAAAGGCCAAACAAATCCAGGAGCATTCTTATCAGGCATTCAGTTCAAATACATAGAACGGTATACCATAAATGCTCTCTTGTAGTAAGCAAGTTCAGTGCAGGACACCCTTTGAATGGTATGAGTCAGTAGTTTCATTGATATCTATTATTAACCATCCTCCTACCTAACTGCATTGAACTTAGAGCACATTTTACTTCAGGAAACCTTTGCCAATGTCTGACCCAAACAGACAGCGACTCTATATCATACCGCTAATGGTTCAATGGTCATTATTAATCAACACAGACACTTGAGGTCGTATGACACCGCTCACAAATCTGCGACTTATCAACTGAAGCGACGTTGGGATGGGAGAACCTAAATTAAACTTTGAACTGGTAATTGCTCCTCCAGGCAGTCTTGGTAGTTTGTTGAAAAGAGATTTAATGCCATGGCTTGTTTTGCCCTCTGGTCAAATGGAGGTGATGCGAGTCCTCAGATGCGAATGAGAAGCCGAGTGCTGCTAATAGGGATCACGGGGTCGTATGAATGCGTTAAGAAAATGAAGGTTGAATATTTATGCCACCGTGACGCTTTGTTTCCCTCCCCTGAAGCTTAGCAGTTCTCAAACATATCCCTTTTTAATGTGATAGAAAAAAACGTATTATCTGGTACACTTTATAAGCCCAATTTAGTTTGTAAGATGAATTTTGACTTACCTTTCAACACTTTTTCACTGCAAAAAGTGATTTAAAGTAAGTCAAAAAATTTGCTAAATGTATTTAAGTTTTGAGCGCATTTTGGATTGCTTTGAAACAAGATGTGCCAATGGGAAAAGCAAAAGAATCTTGTTTTAAAAAGAAACAAGAAATGTCTCCCTTGGAATGAGATCAAAGTAAAAAAGGAGAGCTGGGTGGTTTTATTTTATTATAACCTGTGGTAAATTAAGTTGTAATTTCTGTCTGATAATGTAAGGCAAGGCAAGGCAAGTTTATTTGTATAGCACAATTCATACACAAGGCAATTCAAAGTGCTGAACAAAACAAGAAAGCATTAAAATCATAAATTATCACAGAACATTAAAAAGAAAGATAAAAATATAAAATCCCTCAGTTGTATGCACAGTTAAACAGAACTGTCTTTAACCTGGTTTTAAACATTGTCAGAGAGGAGGCCTGTCTCACATCTTCGGGAAGACTGTTCCAGATTTTAGCAGCATGAATCTGAAAAGCAGCCTCCCCATGTTTAGTTCTGACTCTGGGCACTAACAGGAGTCCAGTCCCTGTGCTCCTCAGAGTCCGGGCTGGTTCATATGGGACTAACATGTCACTAATATATTTTGGTGCGAGGCTATGGAGAGACTTGTACACAAGCAGAGCTGTTTTAAAGTCTATTCTCTGAGCCACAGGAAGCCAGTGCAGAGACCTGAGGACCGGACTTATGTGGTCGTACTTCCTGGTTCTAGTCAGGACTCGAGCTGCTGCATTTTGAATGTACTGCAGCTGTTTTACAGCCTGTTTGGACAGACCTGTGAGCAGGCCATTGCAGTAGTCTAACCTACTGGAGACAAATGCATGGATAAGAATCTCCAGGTCTGCTTTAGACACTATGTTTTTGATCCTGGCAATGTTTTTTAGATGGTAAAAAGCTGCTGATGTTACTGATTTGATGTGGCTATTAAAATTTAAGTCTGAGTCCAGTATTACCCCTAGATTTCTGACCTTGTTTGAAGGTTTTATGGAGAGAGACTGTAGGTGACAGATGTATTGTAATGTATAAATCAACTTTTATTTTACTGTTTTACAACAACCTGCTCAGGGACTACAGGTGTAAATTAGCACTGCTGCTACAACCTGGTACAAAGCATCTCTCCTTTTGGCTAATGTTTATGGTACACTGTCCCTGTAAAAAATTAAAAACCATACCATACCATAAAAATTGCAAAATAGTTCTTGAAATCAGACTAAATGGCTTTGTCCCAATAGAAAATCTGGGTTTAAGACAGTACATATTATTACCTCATATTTGATCATTTTTTGCAGTGTGTGGGCAAGTGGTGGCACGTGGCCTGTTCTCCCTGTGTCCTATGAGATATGAGATATGTCCAATGTTATATGTACAGTAGGTCTGGCATGCGCCTCCTGTTCGGCGACCCTGTTTGATTGGAGTGAAAGAAAAAATGCCCACAATTGTAGTGCGGTTTGTAACTCTGTCTGTGAAAAGTGCTGTACAAAGACCGATTGCTTACTCACGTTGTTTAGTTGGATATTTCACCCAGCTATAGCGTAGAAAGAAGGAGTTGGGTTCGGCCCCACGTCGGCTCGGATCTTTATGTGCAGAGCCTGTTTCTTTCCTGTAAGCCACACTTTATTGTCTCTGTAGGGACCTTACCATCGCTGTTTCTAACTTACCACAGCTGTTTATTGCACCTCTGCACTGTATTTAAATGTCTTTTCACATTAATCGAGTTTGCATCCAGGGAGAGTGTCTAATCATAGCACTGATGCACGTCATGGAATTTAAGGTTATTCTGGGCTCCGACAATAGTTTAAGCATTTATGTAAGTTCATTGATTTTACTTTTTGCTGATGAAGCCACAACGGAATTCTTGGGAGTGGAGGAGGCATTTATGTGGAAATCACAACACACCTGGTTTCAGTGATTTTATTTTTTGGCACACACACACATATCAGATATGACCACTGAAGCCAACATCGCGTAGTGAATGAGCTATGGATAGTATATGATTTTTATTCAATCCCATCCCTCCAATGCCTCCAGGGAAACCTGTTAAGACCAGGGGTAGTTATGGTAGTGTATGGCAGTACAATGGCTCCAGTTGTTTATTCTCAGCTCGGTCAGGACTAGTTTCCTCTGGTGCATAAGGCTCAGTGTAAAGAAGCTAGTACTGCTTAAATATCTATGGTGCATGTTTTTGGTGCAACATAGAATAGGGTTCATTCTTTAACTGCTTCTGCATTTGGGAAAGATTTCACAGCTACAACGTGTGTCTCCAGTTTGTGAGATAGGAGTTGGACCGAATCTGCTTCAAAAACACAAATATTTGTTTTAGAAGTTATAACCTATATAACCTAAGACTATTTCTCTACATTTTCTATCAAGCTCCTCTCTCATAAAACGGTGATTCAAAGGCATGACATTTTTGAAACTTCAGATTTAGTTAGAGCTTGTCTTTTTCTTGTTCCTAATTTTGTTTTGTCTTCAGAACAGTTTCAATAGTGCAACTTCTAAGACTGCAACACAACAATATAACACACCAAATCTAGTACTAAATCTCAAACTCTGAAATCCATTTCTTTTAATCAAACCCATTCCGATAGAACACTCAACTTTGGCCGCAGCCCCACCGCTCGTCCATGTCCCTGCAGTTTGAATTTACAATCCAGATTTACTAGTGCTGATTATGCACGTGATTGACGGCATACGAAGCGTGTTTCGAGGCGACAATAAAAAAGAACACTGTGGTTCTTATTCACTCTTTTATGGCTCTCCTCA